ATAACTTTAGAGATCTAACCTACCTTGCCTACTTGATGGGTCGTCTGCATCAGTGCATGCGCTAATTACCGAATATAACCACCAATACCCACCCGTTTGTCCAATATGGAGAGTTGTTTTCAATAAATAGGTATTCATGAAGGCTGCGATGAGTAATAATACACCTTGACCGGACACATACATTTGACACAATTACCCACAAGACTGGTTGGATTTGACGAATGGAGTTGTCACAAATCATAATGATACCATGCAGGCACCGATTCGGTATGGCCACAGAGCCTGTTTCGCAAAGGGCGGCAGATCAGGTCACGCATTATACGGACTCGTCTTCGTGATGTGTCTGTCCACGTCGTCGCGCACCGGACCCGACATCACGGGGTTCAAAGGAGAGTTCCGCTGGGGGCTGGAGTGCTGGAGTGCTGGGGGGGCTGAGTAGGACCACCTGCGATCGGCTCTTCCGACCTCCCGAAGCTCTCGTGGCGTCGATAATTGTTGGTTCGATTTTGACGTCAGTGTACCACAATCGCGGGTTCGTGCTTTGCATCATGGACCGTCCGTTGTGGGTGAAGAAATGGGTTTTCATGCGGATTCTAAACTTCTAAAGTGCCAGAAGCAGAGAAGGGTAAATCGAACACCCCGCAGCGGGCCGGGCGCCCAGGTTTCCCAGATTTCTCTTCATGTCCATAGGCGCTCGTCGGACACGCCAGACCCGATCAAGGAGGAATGTTCGAGAGTTACTATGTAAAAGCGGAATAGAGGGGGTGAGGGGGAGGGGAGGGGAAAGGGAAGAGGGAAGAGGGTCGTCTACCTATTGCATGGTTGATGGTTGATGAAATTGGCCCTTATCTCAGGAATCGTTTGGAGTTGGCGGAAGCCAAATGGCGGTGACGATGTGGTCGATTTTCTCTGGCTAGCTGAAGGGCCCTAGTATCCACTTCGCCGCCTCATTCCCCGGCGTCCGTTGTCCCCCTTGTGATCTGGGCTGACCATATGTATCGCTTGACTAGGATATCGGAGGATGGTGGAGCCTCATCGTTGATGTAGCCATTAACAACTACAGGAGAAATGCATACTCTATGCATATCTGGTGGAGTTGATGGAGTTGGGCAGCATCACCGCCTGGAACAATTCGACAAATAATAAGGGGTTTCGTTCACTTCCCACACGTGCTAAACATTACTAGCAAGAAAAAGAAACCCCCCCTTCTACTTACTATTCCTCTTTCTCCTTTTGAAATCCCTAATCCCTAATCCCTAATCCCTAAATATAACTCCGAACGAAATCGGCCCTCCTTCTTAATGCCCCCTTCTCTCTTTTCTTCTCTTTCTTCTGGCTTCTCTTCTCTCTCGTCAGAGATGGGACCCCGCGATCAAGCTACTATTAGAAGTGACTCAGGCTATGGGGACGATGCGTCCGAGGTGCCGCGGGACGGGCCAGATGCTCATCCGCTGAGTAAGTTTGATTTGTAGTTATTGGAAAAATCTATCATTTACTGTTTTACTGTTCCCCGGTGCGAGCCTGTGCAGTTGGATATGTGAAAATATTCGTATCGTGTGTATCGCTGACATTTCATTCCGCAGCCCTTAAGGGATACGACATCGGACCGGCGTCCAAATTGCAAATCGGCGACGTGAGTTTATTTTGATCTAACTACCGAAAATGTAAAATTAGAAAAGAAGGAAAATGTGCTAAATCTCGCCCTTTTTAGGTCTTCGAATTTCTCTGGGCTGACGCTCCGGAGTTCGAGTGGGAGTGGAAATGTCTCGGATACACTCGCTTCATCGTTTTGCGCCATAGCGATACCTTTCCTCATCATTGCGCTTGCATGTAAGTAAACGATCATACCACTCCGTTTCACCAACATTACTCCCATTTTCTTAATTTCGCCGACACCATGAACTCCTTTTTGAACTACTCCGAGTGTTTACGGATAAACACAAGAAAGCGAGCGAGAGTTAGCTTCACGAGGGATCGGTTTCATCAATATTTGACTGACCGTGACCCAAATCAGACCTATTTCCATAGGAGGCAAGCATGAGTTCGCCAAGCCTGGCATTGACCATTTCCAGCAAGGATACGTCTTCGGCAACGGTGATCCGACCCCGGGCCTCGACCAGGGCGGTGTAGGGCAACGCCTACCGTATTCCCCCGTGGGAATCGAGCTGCGCCCCGGGAAGCTCCGCGTGAAGGAAGACTCCCGGGCCAACTATGCCGATATTGTCGACGTCGATCACGATGCTCAAGTCATGGTTATTGGTGATGTGGTGCGCTACTTCGACCGAGTCAGGAGGAACGTCAACAAGGCCTTCATGCGTCAGATTCTGAGGAGGGCTCTGGAAGAGTATAAGCGTCATAGGGCGAACCAAGCAGAGAGTAACAGGATGTCCAAGATTCCCCAGTCGGTACTCGACGGCGACGAAGCTCAATTCAGCGCTTCGGAAAGCGTCGTTCCACCTTCAGAATCAGCAAGCACAATTGGGGAGACAAGATACGAGAGGGAAGGGAGGAGACAAAGGAGATATTCGAATTCCAGTTTAAGCTCTCGAAGACCGAGGGCCAACTCACAGACGGGCAGCGTCAGACCGCCTCGGGAAGCCCCCCAAGAAGGCCGGAACGAAATTGACTACGATGTGAAGTCCATGCACAACGTTGCGATGGCCGGATTGAGATAAAAAAAGAAAAGGAATCGGGACTAAATTCTAATTCATGAAAAGAACCTAACCCTGCATGGATTTGGCGTACGGAGAAGGAGTTAACTCGAGAAAGGGGACTCGAGCATTTCCCAAGATGCAACATGCAACATGCAACAGAACAACATAGACAGGCAACAGGTACGACGTGTATATTACGATTCTACGACTCCCCGAAGTTCAGATAAACGACAAACAACACTTATAATGATTTATGCCAGATTAAACAAACTAGTTAAAGACGCGAAAACGCGCATCAATGGTTATGAAATGATATTTACCGTATACCAAGCATACGAAACCTTTCGTGGAGAAGTGGGATTACCTGCAATATTTTGCAGAGGATCAGAGAGCCGGGTTACGCATGTGATAGGCTGCTTCAGCCTTGTCGTCCAGTGGTTTTATTATACCTCACTGGTAGAGTTCTTGATATCTCATGAGCTTGAAGATAACCCGAGCCACATGATCATCCACGTTAATAATATATAATGGTCTCAAACTATGAGGATGCATGAGAGTGAATGAGCTGTACTAGAAGCTATATAGATAGGGTCTGTAGACTATTTAACCTGATTTAGCATCTTGTATGTCTTACTTACCGGCGCGAATTCACCCATTTGCCTTGCGATCTGACCCGAAAATGACACCAAAGTCCAAAAGTGGGATGTACGATCTACCCCCCGATCATTGGATCTCTTGGTCTCATGGTCCCTGCAGCAAACCGAGGCAGCCGCTGAGAATGAAGCGTTTCGAACGATCGGGTAAGATTAGTTGCATCTACAGGGAAAAGGATCTCTGGACGAAATTTCTCGGGATTATTATGATTATATGTGGGTTTGGGGACGAATAAGTTGACCACCTCCTTTATTTGGGGGTTATAGCAACGCAAACGGGCCGATCTACCGGGTGGTCAGAAGCAGTACGACCACCGGGTATTGACTCATTGGCTCGGTGGAATTTCATATTACCGGTCCAGCATTGCTCTGAGTCCCGACTCCGTCGTCACTGATGCAACCTAGGAATTAGACCGTGTCTTCTAACACCATGATACCCAATATTTCAGCGCCAGGTATTCAGGGAGGCGGGCAGATGGATGTAATATGTTTGATTCCTATCTGAAGGCCTTGTCGATCCTCGTCTCTGGGTAAATGCCGACATGCTTGTAAGGCTTTTCGTATGATACGTGACCAATAGGCGCGCCGGCTTGTGATTTCGAACCTATGATGGTGGGCATAATGGGCATAATGTACTAGTCGTCTTATGGTATATATCATCGCTGCCCCCTCCCGACTAGGGATTCTCTAGGGACTTGGGTAATCAGTATGAACTAGTTGATTCGTCATCGGAATTAGATCGCCCAGCATGATCCCAGAAGCAGATCTCTGGGGAAGGCTCCCCCTAGAGTTGATCGAGCGGATCTTAGACCTTTTGGTAGACGACTATGACCAGGACCCTGCATATCAATGGACGACCTTACGGCATACAGCAAGAAGACAGATGCGCCGCATCGAACGCTATTTCTTGTGGTATTGGGTCCCGAAGCTAACTATTACGCTGTACTCGGGGCCACGATGTCAGATTGATTATAAGCTTTCTAATCATACTAGTGAGGGCGGCTTTGAAACTAGTCGCGTTCGATTTCAGACCTCGGGAGCTGGCCTTTCGAATTCACTGAACAAAAGGGAAATCCATACCTTGTGGAGTCAATATAGCTTCGAGAATCGAGTCGCACATATCAGATTAGGTGAAGGCATCTTAAAGAAGGGCATGACAGGGGGCTATATTGTCAACGATACCGACATCGTCGATCTGAAAGTGGAAAATGATGGCCTCGATATCATGTTTAACTGGCGGAAGACCTTTGACGCACTGCTTCGGGAAGAGGTAATGATGCGTAGGGTACAAGCAGAGATGGTATGCGACCTCTATTTCCACCTTGCCCAGTCTCTCTCCGAAACCTCTGCTTATTGTTGAGCAGGCTTTGGATAAGAAGATGAAGTTAGCAGCTGAGAATCGGTGGCCACCGTTCCCCAGGATTCAGCGGCTGGCTCTCGTCAAGCACTTCGTGCTGGACATACAAATGGCTAAACGAGTTGCCGTCCAACAACACCGTCTGAAGCATTACGATGCATCCAACGAGATTAAGCTAGGAAGCCTAACGCACGAGTCCCAACACCTGCATAAGCAATACCTGCCCCCGTTGCCTCCAGTGACAAAGCCGAGAAGAGCGTGTTGCGTAATCTGCTCTCGCCAAACGGGCCCATCCATATTCGAGGTTGTCTCCTGTGAGGAGAGCGTGGTGCTCAGCCTAGACGGATGGGAGAATCTCGGCAAAGAGGAATTACTCGACTTGTATGCTGAGGCGTACGGTTGGAACTGTTACCGATGTCTGGGACAGGAGAACAATATCGAGTGGCAGCAGATAAGTAAGAACGACTGGCTCACCGTATGCGCCAGCGGCGCTGAGAAACTGCATGGTGTACAAAGGTGGAACCCTTGGTTCTAGACGTGATTATGGAAGTTTGGAACGGTAGGGTTGGTTTCTCTTCTTGAATCGATGGCATAAGCTCTAAGTTGGACCGTCTTAAGACAATGTATAACCAGGAAGAACAGGTGTGTCTCAATCATGTTTTATAGCTGTAAGTCGGGGGGTGCTTTTCGTTAGGGAGTAACGAGAAGTTAGAGTGCAAGTTTGCTACCTTAGGCTATCAGTGCCTATGTATCCACGAGTTTACGTAGCTTAGTTAGTGAGGATATATAAAAGTGTGACCACTTTCAACTATGCCGGAGTTCCAAGAGGTTCGGACCTCGTGTATCCTAAACTGCATTCAAACAAAAGCTCCAAGTCTAGCTAATGATTTCCATCAGGTTGTTAAGTCTGTGACTGGTTAATCTAACAGTGACGAAGCCTAATTTTTAAGGACTCGGAAATGGTTAGGTGAGCCAAGGAAAATATATAACGACTTCACCGCAACCCTCCTCGACCTCCCCCCTGGTTGTATCTCGCACACCACCAGCCATCTAGGTTAGACAACAATACTCCCTACTCGCTGCAGTAACAAATCGGACAACAGGTAATCAATCTTACCACTTTAATACCACCAACACCACGATGTCCTCAAGCAACGCCGCCGGTAACAATGATCCGTCTGGAGCATCCAACGTGGGTATATAGTTCAAGGCGTAAAATAGACAACTAGAACGTATAGACTTTGTGATAGCCACTTTGAATATAGCCCATTAAGTACTTTACATTAAACTATTAGTTACCTATCTACCTAGATACACGCGTCTATTCAGCGTACTTCTCCTTAAGGGGGGTGGTTTGCTATTCAAAGGTAAAGGGGTGATCTCAGGGCATTTCTCGCTTAACTTGAAATCAAGAAACAGAAAAGAGAAAAGTTGTTATATAAGCCTGAGCCTATCTGATGTAAGAATACTGATATAGCCGCAAGCTCTCTGTTTCGGGTGTCTTAGTAGTCTTGGAAGGACCTAATTTGTTAATATTCAACGCAACTCGGTCTGTTTCATCCGAGAGTCTGCTTAGTGATGATGGCATGACATGGGAAACTATGGAGTGTAAATATTAGAGATATAACTAGTAGTTATTCATATAACCCTATCCATGAAAGCTACATAAAGCGATGTCATTATTGCCAACTAGTAAGGTCTTCATTTATATCATAGGCATTTATATCAATGGTGTTTCATATGTACTACCAAGACTCAGAGGGGGTATATTGTCTATCTTCATATCTCGTGAATTCGTACATGGACCTGCCCAACGTCTATTAGTTCGTTATAGAACTGTACAATGCACACGATAGCTTGTCCTTGAATACCGTTGTTTCCTATTTCAACCCAAGCCCTGGCCCCAACATTTCTGTAATATTCTGTTGCGGTGTTCGACTAGATTTGGGAACTCGCTTACGATTTCAGTAAGCCACCTATCTTCCCATGATAGTCCCTGGTCGAGTAAAATGTGTGTATAACTGAACACTGTAGAGTCAAACAGACTTGGCTCTGGTGCCTCAAAGAACCAGTCCCCTGAGCCTAGCACCGTTGACAAGGCCTCAAAGGCTTCCTTCGCCCCATCATATAGCCTTTTCGAATCTATAGTTGGCGTGCCTATGGATCTTAATATCTGAGCCTCCGCCGCATGGCGCAATTGGTATAGGATTGTCGCTCTCACAATCTGTGATGCGGAAACCGGTGTGACGTAGAGATGCGAAAGAAGGGCCGAGTTTGGGCGGGATAAATATAAGGAGTAGAGCCACGCGTTCCGTATGCGGTGATCGAGCAGTGATTCGTAGGCTTCAAGCTTCAGGCTTGGGACTTCGGAGATCTTGTGTCTGCCACTTTCGGCCGCATATTGTTCTAGTTTGTTGGATGGTATAGGTAAAGGTGCGGCGAAGCTGTTAGGATTCGACGAAGGAATCAGAAACGGCAATGCGCCTGTCGGTGAAGCGTGATTATTTGAGGGTATTACTTGGAAATCGACCCCGGCTAGCTTGAGAAAGGTCTGTATCGACTATTAGGTATAGAAACTTGGAGCTTAGAGAATATACTTGTAACATACCTGCCATTTGAGGCAAGATGGATTGAAGCTAGGTAAGCCATTTAGGGCATCTTGGTCGGATATAAAGACATATAGAGTCGCTACATCTCTAGTTCTGGGTGAACGAATAGGAAGCTCGTTGGGAGGATATGTTAAGAGGGGAAATTTCTTAAATAGTCGAGCCAAGGGAGCTGGTATAGTTAACCAGCCCGTTGCGCCAGAGGGCTTTGGACTAGTAACACCGTGGGTTTTTGAAGACATGTTGAAGAAACCGTGGCGCGTGTCAGTCGTCTTGCTTGTAAATGCTCATAAGAGATGAGATTTGAACAAGTTGACCCGCGACTTCGCGTAGTGTTTCTAGTCGCATTTAGTAAAACTCCATCACTTGAACCCGCAAAGTGGAAGTCATAGCTTGGCAACCTCATATCTTATCGATTAGATCTTGATAAGCACGTACGGAGGTACGGAATACAGGACCTAGGTACTTCGTAGACCGAGGATTTAGCGAGCTGGCGAGTCAACGAGTTTCCGACAAATTCGCGTGTCCTAAACCTAGACTCGCTAGATTCCGCTAGTCTCGGGCGTTATGTGGAATTATGTGGGGTCATGCAGATATTTTTCAGGGTCCTCATCGCGCTTAGATAGGTATTCCGAGGTACAATGCTTGCACGATGCTTTGACGTAGTAGGTACCTAAGTATTTCATAGGTGGGCTGAAATCAGATGAGGTGTTTAAGACAACATCATTCAACATACCAAAAACTTGAAGATGATATCAATCGCTTAGACTAATATCCTTAGCGCTATCGATATTAGGTACGAATCTAAGATGTACAAGATTAGCGCAGGAGGATTCGCGCAGAAGCAGGAGAGCGCCGATCACAAGCTAATTCCGACAATGTCAGACATCCAAGAGTCCGGGGCGCATTGCGGGGTGAAATTCTATTTTACCTCATCCGTGGGGGGCACCAATGGCACACCAAATGGCAGCAATATTGGGGGCTACGATGTAATGCTCATCTATATTTGTTAAAAAGTGGAACGAATTATATACCGAAAGTCTACGTAGGTTAGATGTACTTCCGGCTTACAGAGTCGGGCATCAACTCAGCCCATATCATCCTATCTGAAGAGCTGTTGGCTGATGTCGCCAAATGCCGATTGCTATCTTGATGTTTCTTGGTGGTCAGACATAGTGACTCAAGAGTTTCGAAGCCCATCCGCAATTCTTCGAGAACATCGCGTAAATTTCCATTCGTTCGATTCGTTCCATTGCCAAGAAAAATACATGCAAGATGGAAGAGCTGGAATAATGGAAGAACCCAACTTCTTCGTCCTCCGGTGGAAAGATATCTTGACATGGTGGTGGGGGATGCGATAGAAATGGACTAGAACACTGCAATTTTAAATAACTTTTAATCGCTTCACTTGCGCTCATCGGTGCACGAGCCGTTCATCCGTTCACAAGAGACTACCGATGACGCTAGAAAGTCTAAAGTAATTGAAAATGGCGGTTATATTCTCGATAGACAAGATCTACCTGCTCACTTGAATCATAGACTACATTATTACGGATTCATACGGATCCAAGCGGAGGACGGACTTATGCTGTTTCTGGGCATGGTCGACGAAATCGACTAATTTTCCCGCTGCTAAATCTACTTTTAGATGTACTACGATGTAGATTCTCAGTAATGAGATCTGAGATCAGTAGGGGGAATCGAAGCTTAAGAAGCTTAGGAAGCTGAACGTGATGTTCCATTGCCAAAGTCGCATTTGGGACATCCCTAGCTGCGTGGTACTCATTGCTACGACACCTGACGAGATCTGTTCACCTTCCCTGCGTTCCCTGCGGGATGCTGTTAATAGCTTGGTTTACCGAATGAAGCTGAATATAAGTCTAAGTGTCTAAATGACTTATATATCTGGGTAATGTACCTATAGCTTATACCTACATGCATGTAAGCCAGCAGATAAGCCGGGACGAATAGTTGCGACAGCAACTGAAGTGAAAACTGGTTACTGGGATCAACATTGTCCTAATTGCCTTTTCTACCTAGGTAGTAAGGTAATCAATATGTTCTTTGTTTTCCCTTGCTGAGGGGGTTAAGTGCTTGATCGAATACTTGGAAGATTCGGCAACTAAATATGTATCAAACACTTACCCAAATAGGTTATCCTCGGTCATGTCGTTAATCTCCGATTGGTGTAAATACTTAACTAGTACGATACTGCGATAGAGGTATATATTGTTCCGGACGGCCGTTGTTACTGCCATATCGCCATATCACCATATCACCATATCACCATATCCAGAATTTCGTCCTGATAGAGGCATCCGTAAAGTAAGGTAAGGTACACATACATACATCGTTCGGATCTCGCCTGACTTGCTGCACCGGACCCTATACATATGTATGCAGTCCCCTCCTGAACCTCTCGAATATCGTTTTGGTTGCTACTATATATATATATATTAAATGGCTCGATACCCATAATTCTGAACTGTTCATCCAGATCCAGCCCATTCGACAATCTGCACGCACTTGCAGCCGCTACTTGAAAAAATTAAGGGCCGGTTGGAAAACCCTGGTCTTGAACGTGCGTTATTGAACTCGGAATTGGGGGTCAATACAGTAAAGCCCTCCTCCACTTTAGATTGTTATCAGACAGCCTTGGAACAAACAAAGCGAAAAAACTAAAAAAACAACTGATCACGATACCTTAATACCTCAATACCTCAATACTTGAATACTTCAAAGATACATATATCCCCACGCTACTTCCCTCGACCATAATTTCTATTTTACTCTCAAGCAAGAGACCATCGAAAATAGGAAACAATCATCAAGCTTTTCTCCAACTCAACCCACTTTCTTCCTCGTGAAAAAAAAGGGAATTACGACACGATATACTCTTCGCCCTCTTCGCCCTCTTCACACCCTTTACACCCTTCACACTAATTTCGTCACCGCCTAACCCAAATCAATTCTTGCGTTGCATCCTGATCGACGGCTTGGCTTATATAGTCAGATTCGCCTTTAAAAGCCTTTACCGCCAGCCTGTTGTTAGCCCACGAAAAAACTCTCGTCCTCGTTTACCTTCACATCCTCAAAACACGCCTACTCCCAACTTTGGAAGCGAGAGGTACAAAGTCTCACGCCTCTGTTGTTGTTGTCAACTCATATAACCGCTTCTGTACACCAGCAGCAAAACTCCACCTGTCGTACGACATCGCACCATCTCGTGCTTTTGCTACCACAGGACCTACCCTAGGATAAAAAGGCCGACGTTAGACCAGACAGCGCATACTCGTTGTGCGCATCCCTCCACGAGCAAACCACTCTACGTTCTCTCTACGCACTCCAGCAATATGAACGCTCCGATCACTTCGCCCACTATGGCCCAGCGCCAACTACCATCCACAACAACGGCTGTAACGGCTACAATGACACAAGGCTTTGCACCACCTCCTCCGCCGGCTCAAAAGACGCCTAGCACGGATGCCTTCATTCAGAACCTGAACCTAGTAGCAGAGGCTGCGAAACGTGCACAGATGGCGGTGCTGATGCGAGATCTAGAGGGCATTGCCATCTCGTGATTTGCCCCTACTTTCCCCCCCTTTCCACCCCCTCTCTGCTACTTTTGAGAACCTCTATGTTGTGTTGCGACAGTTATATTATACTACTTAATACGCCCTTCTTGCTTACTTCTCATCACTATTTTGGAACCATTGGGTACACAACCGAGGTTGGAGAAGGTCTGTCGAGAACGAACAAGCCGGGTTCATCACTGCTCTTTGTGCTACTTTGCGGATTTGGCACCTGACATTGGCATCTTTGGGGGTCACGGATATAATGACGTTGGGCGCTTTTTTTTCTCCCCTCACCTCCCCCACCAACACCAACACCAACAGCAACAGTAGCGACCACGCAGCGAGAAACTTCGGTAACAAACTCCAACTCTATCGGCATAACCCGGAAACTTCTTTCGAGACGCCCGTCATCATGATCATGACTTGTTCTACATATATGAGATTAAGTTCGGCGAAGGGTTGAAGACGGGGACACTTGATCACAAGCAAAGAAGAAGAAGAAGAAGATAAACGAATTCCTGCGAAGAAAAACTCAATATCTAATACTTAATTTCTGGGCTGTTGTTTACACCACTACGCTTTTTCTATCGTTCCAGTGCGAAGGGGCTAGGCTGTAGAGGCAAATGGGAGAGGGGGGTTTACCTATATTTATTGGCACCGTTGCAGTTAGGGCACGGCTGGATTCGCGAAGCCCCATGCGCCGCTGCAATGCGGCACCACGCACGCATCAGAGCGCACGCAGCAGAATAGACGGGTGGTGGACATGTCTGAAGGGAAGGTCGCAGCGATTACATTAAATTTTTCTTTTCCCCCCTTTCCTACCTGATCTTCATTCATGAATGCATGCGCATGCGGACGGATTCATTTCCGGATACAATTGATACAATGGATGGATGCTAGGCTGGTGCTTCGGTTGGACCAAGCCGCATGACGAAACGGCCATCGCCCGGACAAAGGCGAACGGGATGAAATATGCATACCTCCAGAATAGAAATAAAGAAACTCAAAGATCTCGATCTTATTTAAATAGTCTCCAAATCCAAGCCCACGCGACGCGCGCTGCCCATATTTTAATTGGTCTCCTTTTGGCTTGTGGTTATGGTATTTTGTTGATGTGTGCATGTGAATATAAATGCGCGGGTAGCGGAAGTTGCATGCCTACCTGGTACCTATCTAAAGCATCCCTCTATTCTGCCGGAGCAAATGGGTTCTTGGATTAATAGATCGATCGGATTCCATATAGTAGTTGCTATATATCTTTTGCTCACATGTTAATTTCCAACATACATATATGTTGTCGTACGTCGAATGCTTGTGGTAAGTTTCTTCAAGTAAGTGCGTAGTGACTAATATCAAGGTCTGAATAGCCTCCATGCCACCTTTACATGTGACATGCACTACTAATTTAATTGCTTACTATATTAGGTAGGTACCTAAGGTAGGTAGGTAAGTCTGTCCGAATCTCTGAACCTGCCAACTTGCATGCTATAACGAATTCTATTCATCTACGAGCAAGGGTGATTTATGCCATTTTGTATGTACATTGAGCATGGGGTTTCCTAGCCCAGCTATTATCAACTCGGCTAGTCTATGATAGGATAGACTACCTACTAATTAAACAACTGACTTCGAGGGAGGCGTTCGATTCGATTCGATTCTGCCCCGCTGTATGTATGTATGCGCCTGGTTACCGGAAACCTATGATGGAAACCCCCAAAGAGGTAGGTATGCGAGGAGTGAGGGGGGATGATAAGACAAACTCGTGCAACGAATACAGAAGAAAAGTGCTAAGTAGAAAATGCCTATTCGCTTCTCCCCCTTGCCCTCCTAAGTCTGTACCGCCATCGCCGAGCTAGTCTAAAAATAAGTAGCGTTTCTTCCTCCGAGGAAGCTTGGTTTGGTGAAGGGCAAAGTATCGAGGACAATATACATGAGTTTTGAGACTGAAATATTTGTGTTGGATCTTCTTCAATTGAGCTTCCACAGGACGAGAGGCGGGCTAGTTCTAGTGAGGTTGGCACTTCTAAGTCTCAAGTTTTACTATGAAAACAACGCAAGAAAGCTTAGGGCCTCATTGATGTCATCATATGAATTATGATTCGGTTGTCGATGAGGAACGAATATTACGCTCCGCATCTAGCCACATTTTATCCGTCTTGCTCGTTTGGTGGACGAGGTCTCGGCTGGAAGCAGAGACACGTTGCAGCGTATCGCTCCAAGTCAGAAACTCATCGTTCTAGAACGGTTGAGGTATCGAGTCGACAACAGACTGAATGGTAATAAATGAGCCTGGCCCACCATCTTCGCGCAGATAATCCAACAAGACGCTCGTTTGTCCATAGAGGTTTTCTAATGCTGACCGCGACGATTTCCCCAGAGACGCTAGTAAATTGTTTAGTTACACACCGAGCTTCGTAGGCGGATAGGTGGACTTACAGAGTATTGCTGAGTTGAGCTCTTCGGCTACAGCTACTCTACCTTTGCGATCCAGTAAAGGCGCAACCTCCTTAACCTCCAGGGGATTAGGATATGCCAGAAGCGAAAATACCTCGTTAAGTGTTTTCGTGGTCTCTGGTCTCGTATCATCCCTAAAATCCTCCTGTAACGATTGCCCATATTGGACAGCTTTTACAAGCCAATCCTCTTGATCTGTTTGAGTATCCAGGCCGTCTTCTTCCATCTGGTCTGAGAAGCCATTCTCATCGACGTCCATCTTGTTAGGAGTGTCGTCGTATGGGTGCCCGTTACTCTTTTTGGCATTCGAGTTGCTTATCTCAGCTGATTTCCGTACCATTTCGATGAAGGTTCGACACCTCAATTTAAAGTACACGTCGTAGTTTTCCTCCAACACACCTGGGTAATAAGTATAGGTGTACTTAACGGCCTTTTCAATATCGCCCTCGAGGATGGCTCTCCGGATGCCTGGTGTAGTTAGTATAGGATAAGCTAATGTCATAACTCGTACATACGTTGCCTATGGTGAGCATCCTCATCATCCTTAATGTTGATGCCGGGTACAGGAGTTTGTTGATCGATTTGTAAGTCTCGCTTTTCTGCATGTATCTCCTCGGCAAACGCCCGGGCCGTCTCGACGTACCCATCGTGTTGTAAAAATTGCAAGACCTAGTACGTTTCGTTAGCTAAAATGAGAGTTTAAGACATGCCTGCCAACTTACGAGTTGCTGGATTAAGTCCGTCTCATTCTTGGGAGGCGATACTAATCTCTCCATGCTACATCGTATAAGTCAGCTTTCCTGCAACTTAATAGTTAGTTGAATGTTAACTTACCTTGTCCTATTGATGGCTGCCATCATTTTTTCTTGCTCTTTCTAAAGACAATAATTAGCTAGGCTGCCTATCTCCCGAGAGAAATTCAGCTTGGAATATGAGAAAGTACCTTTACCAAGTTATCGATTTGGAACATGAACTTCGTCTGGCCAAAGTTGACGCGAATGTGTTCCCCTGGTTTCTTCATGCCAACGGTAGGGTAAAGATCTCCCTTTATGTCCCGAAACGCAGTTTCTGTATTCAAGGTTAAAAACCGATCTGATCACGTCAAGGCTACGTGCGCGTATGCATCGGAAATACATACTAAACTGCCTCCCATTCTTTGTAAAAAATGCTTCGCGAGTTCGGAAGTTGACTCCGCATCCAATGATGTCTGGCGGCCCGAAGTTTTTTCCTTCGTAGGGCTTCCCAATCTTATCCCCGGAATAGATATCACCGTCATCACCGTGATAACCCCATGAGTCAGGCTCCCAACCTGGTGGTCGGGCTAGAGGGACGTTCTTTGCCGAGAAGCCAATACATACTGTGGTTCTACGTTTACCCAAGTTAGACCCTCCCGGAAGTATAGAGAATTATTGCTTAACACGTACTCGTCTCTTCTCCTAGAAAGAAGACTAACTTCAAAATAGTAGAGGCCTGCTTGCCATGGCATTGGATGGTCTGCACGAATCGCACAGGCTTCATGCTCTTGTTCCCTCGTGGTGCGACCTGAAGCGTACTTAACCTCCAAGCCGTCGGCTAAAACCTCTAGGGGACCTTGTTTATCGTCCTTATTCCATTTAGTAGGTAAAGGTGGTACTATGGTCTCATCGTCGACAGTCGGTGCCCGTTCGATCAAATCGTATGTCATCCCTAGGTGAGAGGCTGGTGGCTTACTTGCTAGGGCACCCGTTGTCGTAATACCAGCTGATAACCCATTTCCTGCTTGCTGTTGAGCCTCTTTCCGCGCCTGTTTAGCCTTGCGCGCTTCATCAAGCTTCCGTATATAATCTGAACCATCTAAATAGGATGGTGTGAACGCGACCTCTTTATTGTGCTCTTCATTATGCATAAATTGTTCGAAGGCCCTCGAATATAACGGTAATTGCGGGAGGCGAGTCTGGGAGGATATAGCTCCATCCAAGTAGCCATTATTCATATCTGTGTCCATGCTATCATTAGGTCTTTGGGAGGAAGGGTTTGCCGCATAGAGATCCGAGGTTGGTTCGGATGGGGAGTTGAGGAGATATGAGAGGCGGTTAAGCGGCGAATTGGGCGAACGTGTAAAGCCTGCACCAAATCTGCTGGTTGGAGGTGGAGGAGGTAGATCCCTCATCTGGGGATAGGATCTCTGGGGATATGAATTCGTATACGATATATCTGTTTGGAAGCGATCATGATTAAATGGGTTTGCCATAATCAACCTTAAGTCCGAACTGTGTCGCAGTACGAACTAAGGAGGACCAGGAGCTCGTTGGATACGCCTTGAGTCTTTCTTGCCCGTGGTACACCAATCCGAATAATGCGGAACAAGCGGTAGGAGCGTAGGCTTAAAAAACCGTGGCCTTTATAGGGCGAACTATAAACTCGTATAAAGCGATTAAGGGATGTAAAGCTTGGATTTTGCGCACGACGTGGTCGTTTTTGCTCGAGAAAAGAGATGGACCGTTTTCGTACCGTGTCGTAGTGCAAGGACACCTGTATTAAGTGATTACATGGGTATATGTCATGACCAGCTTCTATGTCAGTAATTATCAGAGGCGCTTTACTACGTATGTATCTCGAAGGCGGTGTGTTAGATGTGTGTTAGATGGGCAGCAATGATGCTGAGGTATGTCGAGTGATGATAGGTTATTGCGGAGAAATGCCAAAGGTAGAGGTATGTACAGCACACAGAGATGTAAGTATGCATCAATCACGAGGTCACGGATGCTGTTGCTTGACTTAGTCCGACTTTCCCCAGATAACGTACTTCGTACAGCTAATGCCAAGTTTGTACCTAGGTACATATTTATGTACTTATGCGATAATCCTATGTACAAATCGATACACGTACGGGATACCCAGTAGGTACATATGCACGAATTAGGTACCAAAAAGGTGGCTTTTGATATCTCATTTTTGATGTAAACATTTCCAAGTGGCTGGCATAAAAATATTACATGCCTGTGGGCATTAGATTCCATTACCTAGTTAAGATCAGGTATTCATTTGCTTTTTGCAGCCATAGGAGGTAGACTTGCACATGCTCATTAGGTGGTTGCACATGTGGCTTATAAGAACGCTAGGCTAAGTACGTACTGCGGTAAATACAATACCTCTCGAGAGTTATCAAACCAGATGATGCAACGATTGCCTTGCATTGCATCTTCTAGATGAGTTAATATATGCATTACAGGTACGACGGACGATGAAGAGGGGCCGATTCATTAAAGTGGCTCTACCTCATTATATAAATTCTAGATGTTAGGTACACATTTGGTGTAAATTCATCGCTGTCACCAGGTAGAGATAGGTACCGGATACCTAATAAGCGCGATAAATGCAGTTCTGCATTGTAAAGGGGTAGATCAGATATCCAAGGTTCTTCCGGATATGGGTTCTTATGAGATGAGCCTAGAATCCGCTATCGTTTCTCACTTTCGTATGAGTACTTAGGGACGAGCCTGAAAAAGATTGTGTGAAGATTGTGACAGATATATTATATGCAGGGCATCACCGCATCACCGCATCACCGCATCACTGGGTCAACTAATCTAATAATCCTCAAAGCTCATAAATTAAGCAATAGGGGCTCATAAGCCAGTCACATAGATCCCATATTCTCAAGCACCTAAGCAGTAATAACAACATTGTATAAGAATTCATAGAAGCCATGACCAAGGCAACAATCAAATGTATGACTTTGCTTCACCATTGTTCCGTGCCGACTTTCCGTATTTTTATAGTCGCAACGCCAGAATGTAAAGCATAGTGTACAGTCCTCCCCCTATCCCTCTAACGCCATGTAAAGCAAATCTGAATCTGCCCTCTAAACCGAGACTGCATTGGGACCTGAGGCAAGCACCTCGCAGTCTATTAGTACGAGTAATGTGACCCCTCGTCACCCCTAAGCTCGCATCGTAGCTGCGGTCCTAAACGCCTTGCTTTTTCCGTCAACCCTGTAGACCCTTATCAAATACACGTGGCGGCCAATGGCGCCATTATAATGGAATGCCAATGTAAGGCATCGCCTAAGAAGCAGCGGCAACAGGTGTGGGAGCCGGCGAGCTCGCGTTAACACTTGGTGGCATGCTTTGCTGTTCACCATCAACATGGCTATTGCTATTCTCGCTCTTTAACTGGCTGCCCTCTTTGTTTTCTTTATTGCTGCTCTCGGCAGAGGCAGCAGTCCCCTCTGCTGTGGGTTGGGGCTTAGGTTTAGGCGGGGCGGTCCAACGAGGAACCTCCCAGATCACACCAGTAAAACTCTTGACTCTGAAGCCACCCCTGTTCCACTTCCGGCAGGGAGCACCTGAGCGATCAAGTGCGCGAAGCCCGGCGTTGATAGCACCCTGATTTGCCTTCGGTCCGAGTTTGTGATAGTTGCCTCCGTTGGCTCGTCCACTAGGATCAATAGTGCCGTCCTCCCTAATAGGTATAATTAGTAAATAAACGTAATAATAGTTGACATTAAACCGGACGCTCTTTAACGGTAGCGCCGTAGAAGAGATAGAGTAGCTCAAGCCAATAATGACAACACATTATACTTACAATCTAGGCTTCTTCTTGGGGCCAGGCTTGCCCCTAATCTTAGCTGTTGGGTCAGATCCATTCGCCGTAGCAGCACTTCTCTTCACGCCTTTCTTCTTGGGAGCCTCTGTCGGGGGTCCCATGGGCACCTGCGACGGCGTTCCCGCGGCGGCTGGGGTACCGGGACTAGACGCGGAACCATTGTCGCCATTTGACGCGGCCGGAGCTGGCTCGCTGGGAAGGGTAGTCGAAGTAGGAGACTCCTTCACGGGCGACTCTTCCTTAACGGATGTCGGGTCGAGGAGCTTCTTAAGCTTGATGGACGGGACGCGCAGGGTGATGAGATTCGAAGATTTGCCGGATGATTTTCGTCGGTCCTTCTCTTTGGCAGAGGCAGACGCCTTGCTTGGAGTTGGCATAGCGAAAAAATACGCGACGATTTGATGAAGTTGCGTTGGAGTTGCGTTGGAGTGGTGATGCGTCGATGAGACAATAAAGAAGGGTGTGGAAAGGTGGTAGGAATGTGCGAGAGTAAGATCTTTCTTTGGGGGAAAACCTTTGGTGGGATTGTGCACTTTGTATTTAGATTGGGTTGGGTCAGGTCATCAACCTAGCAAAGTGTGAAGTGATCCACCCGAGATCCGACGTTTAAAGCGCTTCTTGTCCTAAGAGGCGTCGGTGCCAATCTGCCCTTTCGGAGATAGGCCCTGGACGGTGCGGTGCCTACGGACGCCTGCGATGCCTAGGGTTACGGGCGAGGCGAGGCGGTGGTTTGTAGGCTGGGCACGGTCTGGCGAAAAAAGTGACGCCGATGATGGGAATGGTGGTGATGGTTTGGGGATTACAAGAGGAAGAGGAAAATTATCATGGGATGGGAAATGGGAAATAGAGATGAGGGTGCGATGGCAGGGTCAAATTATGAATTACGGGGGCAGCCATTGTGCTCGTTGGTGGTATGTAATAAGTTTTTGGGGCAGTCTAAACTGTACAATCTTTTTTAAAACGGCCTCCCGGGCTGCTGCTCTCTGTCTGATGGCTCAAGATCCAGCTCGTCGCGAAGAATCCAACTTGGTGGTGCACGCACCACATGCCATCGCATATAAACCTTGGAAGGTCACGTGCTGTTGCTGCTACTGCTGCTGCTAGTCACTCGTCCAACCAGATCCATTAAAAAAAAGGGGATTACCTACCTACATGTACATAAGGTACCTAGGTATGTAGGTAGGTAGGTACATACATGTAGGTATGCGATTAAGTATATTTACATGTAGTGACGTACTTACATTAGGTACATATATGTACTCGCAATCGTAACTTAATTCTTGTATCCATACATTGTATGGACACTTCAATTGCTGGCTGACCTGAAGCTTTCTAACTTCCAAATTCTATTCACAATCTTCTTTTTCATCCTGTTACTATCGTCATCCTGTATTCATTTCTCTCTCTCTCTCTCTCTCTCTATCGTTGACTGTACATTGCTTGGTCCTTGAGTTAGTCTTAAAATTTGAAACCCCATGGCTACTAGTATTTATTCTAAACTACAAAATCCCTCGACTCTGCCTACATTGAGATAGTGACACATGTAATCAAGAAGAATGAGAGGTACTTACTCAGCCCCTCTCCCCCCTAGTAGCCTAGCAGTGATACTGTTTTGTGTCACCCGTTGATGCCGTTTGTCCTCCTGCCATTGCAGTAAATGAGCCTAACCAAGTAATGGGGCTGGTGATCAGGATGCCCGTAAATGGGACCTTTTATTTACGCATCGCGCGGAGCAAAGGGGGCCGACCGTTCGCCAAGTCAGCCGATAGATTATTCTCAGGCTTACAATTTGACCTTCCAAGTACTTTTTAGGTGTCGTCACCTACTCCTAGTGCGCCCCGTAGAAGCGCTCCGGCTCAACGAAGACTTTGAACTACCTACGTATGCCCTTATGCCCGTATGCCCGCATGTGATCAGGACACGGATTCCTAGGAAGATGGGACCATGTGCAAACGCCGCAGGTATACTTTGTTAGGTCAAGCCCAAATCCAATAACGCATCTAATTTCCACGCGCCTAAGAGGCAAATTTTTCCGGTTTTCTATTCAACACGCGAACTAGGTCACAAGCCGAGACGGTTTTTTTGTCACCGGCTGTACGTTCAGGTCTGACCACATACACTTCGCTAATATACGCATGATTTAATGCCTGATTTTTGCTTCATACATACGCGCGTATACGTATTATTTCATCCGAGCTTCTAAGTCATCTACTGCTTGCGAATCTCCACACAGCCTTAAACCAAACTCAGATAAATAAGCATACTGCTACACAGAGAATTTGGTTCTAATTGGAGGATACATTCCTTATCAAGTCCCTTTTCCTACACAACGCCGTCACATCATTCCTCCGATCATAAGTTTGGGCGCAAAAAGGCGTATATTCTATATTAAACGACCTGCCCGACAATGCAATATCCTCTCAATCCTGATTTGTATTGTAGACCGGCTCTCGGGGCTATCTGCCGTATCGTAATTCGGCCTTCTCTCAGGATTTATCTACATACGAGACGTTAAGTTCGAAGAGCCCAACGGCAGATGAGTATCAGTAACCCAGCATCTAGGCGTCTCCCGTCAGGCCTCGTGCATCATGATCAGCTCTTGGTCATATGTGGTCAAGTTCGTCATCACGGATTATCTCTAGGACCATCTCGAGGTCACGAATTAATCCAGATAGCCCCAAGGATATCTTATTATATACCTATCATTTCCACGGTACAATTTGGGAGCCCTACAAGCTTGCTATGAACTAAGCTAAACATATGGGTCAAGTTAATAGTAGATCATGTAGTTATATTGAATAGGACTTGAAATGTTTATAGTATTTGCAATAACTCCAGTCTACCTAGTAAACGTTAGTTTTGTAAAAATACGAGTAGCTAAGAAGTGAGAACACAACTTTGTTATAGCCCGAGGAACTATGAATCCAGTTAAGACCGGACCACCGGTATAGTTAAGAGTTCTTTGTCTCAGGCATCCCAATAGCGTAGATATCTAACAAACTTAAAGTCGGGATTTATTATCCCTGAAATCTTCCACTAGGTATAACAAGACTATAATTTCCCATGGTCTATTTAATCTATTGGATAGTATATTTTGAAATCATAACTTCAATAATAAAACTCGTCTACAAAGCTCAATATTTTGATATCATGAATATCTGATCTCAAACCCAACACCACATACCACTCAAGTTCTATTAGGATATACTCATAATTGGTTAGAGAGGCCCATTATGCTACTTAAGATTAATGACACCAGTGTCAAGCTTATTCATACCCTTTCTGAAAGGTAGCTAAAGACCCCTTTTCGTTGGTCGGCTCACCAAACTTATATCTGCGTTACTAAAGACTAATCTAATAGTTTATTGTATAGCCAAACGCCGCAATCAATTAGAGTATTTTACAATGATATGTTTAATACCTTAGTATATATTAAATTGTAGCCCGATAAAAAAAAATGAGACTTATATAATTGAAAAGCCCGCTAAATCCTTCCATTTGGCCTCAGTGTGACTAATTGTAGACCAGTAGCATCGAGGTAAACATTAAGGACAGTACGCCCAACAGTCTGTTTTCGAATTATATTCAAGTATGCAAATACTCAAATGCGTATTGGGTACTTTAGACGGCGATAACTTTAGGTACCCTTGTTGCCATAACTCTAAGACATCCCATCAGAATGCAAAGTAGAACTTATATTAACCTTATCTTAGGTGTGCCGACGAACCTATACATGGAAACGCCTGGTTTGTAAGAAGCATATCAAGTAATTCAACCCTTCGATGAGAAGGTCATCCTATCTATTCTATCCTTCCCAAAACCATATTTGTAGAACAAAACGTGCCCCCCTTTAGAAGGCTAGCTATATGAGGTATATACTCTAATCTAGAGTTTAATTGCTAGTCTTCATCGAACTGGAATCTACAAGATATGATCAGATGCTTGAAGCACTATTATGAAGTATATCAAGAAAACGAAACAGACCTCTGGGAATGAAAGGTACGAATATTGAAGCTATAGCATCCTGCGCATCGTTGGGCAACAAAGTGGCATCATAATGCAAATTTTGGTCTGGCCTTCCTAAGCCTTAGTCCTCTATAAAGGTTCGTGGAGGTTCTTGGTGCCCAATACTCACCCTAAAACACATATCCTATATGATTGGCTACTTTGAGGCCTTTTCTAGGAATATACGAAGATGATGTTGTTTATTGGGTTTTAATTAGTCATATAGTCATATAGGCGTGCGTTCTCCTCGAGGTAATACCAATATGTCCTTCCCCACGCAAGGATTCTGCGGGAATACTCCCCTCGGAATAAGCCGACGGATACCCACAGCACGTCCAGTTGGGGTTTCGGTAGAAGTATAGTCTATTATTTCTTGGCCACCTGCAATAACTTGCCTATCCACTTCTTATTGCTACCCCGACCCCCACGATTGCTGTATAGTGCATGTAGAGCGTCACGCGAAAGGTCACTGGTCTGGAATAGACGATGTTGAAACTTAGACACGCGGCCGGCTACGGATAGGTCGTAACTGCCAGGGGTTAAATTACATATCTCCCTTTTCTAAGGGTACGAAAACTCTAAAGGTAATCTTTACCTTACTGATTGTCAATTCGCGGGATCAGTTCGAATTATCCGGGGTTTAGCTAATCTAATATCACATCCTACTATACGACATATATGTGGCGTGAATACAATTTGTTGAAGTTGACATTTTCAATACAAACTTGCATACCTCACGAATCATGGGTTCTAACGACGTTGCAACTCTTGTCAACCCGTTACATCCTACTCTAGTCGAGAGGCTCGACCCGGCCTTTACCGAGATCTACATTCGCTACCAAGGTATTGTTTATCTTGAAACTGCCTCTATATATCATATTCGGTCACTTACCGGCGAGCCTACAGCATCCAAACTACGAGCTGATCAAGTTTCCTACGAAGAGTATGATCGTGACCGAAAGAAATACGACTTCCCGACAGCTAAAGTCGCCGGACCGGCGCCAGACGTAGCCAGCACCAAGATCTACCAAGTTCCCGTCTCGAATCCTTCTGGTGAAATAGCTATACAGGCGTACGTGCCTACACCGGAAGCAATCATCAGTGCCGGGCTTGAACGGGAAGGCTTGCTCCCGGCACTCGTGAACTTCCATGGTGGCGGCTTTGTAATCGGAGGCCTAGACTCTGATGAATCTCTGTGCCGAAAGATCTGCCAGAGGGTTGGCTGTATTATAGTAAACGTCGCATACCGGCTTGCTCCAGAATATCCTCACCCAGTTTCGGCAACAGATAGTTGGCAGGCGCTGAAATGGATATTTAAAAATGCAGACGCGTTGAAGATAGATCCCTCACGCGTGGGCGTCAGCGGACTTTCCGCCGGAGCGTGTATTGCGGCAGTTCTCGCGTTACAGGCTCGGGATGACCCGAGTTTACCACGTCTTGCCGTGCAATTGCTCATCGTGCCGGTGGTTGACGCGAGATTCGTCCCGAAGGAGGGTTCGTGCGACCCTACGAATACGCCGTATAGGAGTTATATCGACTTCGAATTCGCGCCGATGTTACCTCTCAACCGTCTAGTATGGTTCTATAACCTGTGGCTGGGAACTGATGAAAGCCGCGAAGAGAAGGCAAAAGACTTTCGTGCGTCACCAATCGTCGCCGATTCGCATGCCGATCTAGCGCCGGCTATCATCCGTTGCGCCGAAATCGACCCACTGGTATCAGAGGGGATTGCATATCATGAGAAACTAACAGCAGCTGGAACTCCCAGTAAAATTAAAGTCTACAAGGGACAAGGACATCCATTTGGCCATTGGGATGGATCTAACCCGACGTCGAAGGAGTTTGTTACTGATTGTGTCAATGAGTTAAAGGCTGCCTTTGCTAAGAATTAACGGGCCTTTTTTGCTCCCTTACTATTGACATATATTACAATGAAGCACAAGTTACACGATCTTTAGTCTTGTGAGACTTGGCTATATGGTTGGTAGTGTATGACTTACCAAGTATGTATAGGTAACCTAGCTATAGCAACTTGTCACTATATGTCTTTTGATTAGAATAAGCGAGAGCTGTATATCGAACATTATAAGCATTAATACAAAAATAATTGTATGTACCTAAGTAGGTACTTTAGGAGATGTGCCTCTAGGCAACTACATATCAACTTTGATCCGTTTCTACGGCAGTTACAAATCCTGAACTTCATTTTCCTAAAGAAGTACCTAACTTAAGGTATACGCAACTGCCTAAATTGATCCCATCAAATGTATTGCTACAACAATTACGACATAATTTGCTGGCGTGGTTTCCATTATTCGGTTAATTTATAAAAAGACTTACAAGGTTTAATAAACAGTTTATTAATAATTAAATATAATTAATGGTTATTTAATAGTTATATATAATTAAACGTTAATATTACCACATATTAGTAAATATATATATTTAATTAATTTTAATCGTTTAAACCGTATTAACGTTTAAAATATTTATAATATTTACATTTTTTAACGTTAAAATTTTTTAACGTTAAAAACTTTTTTAACGTTTAAAATTAATACGTACTTTATATATTAAAAAAAAAAAAAAGGTATATTAATTAAAATTATTAAATAAGTATATATTATATCTCGTAATTTATTTAAATAAGTTATAAACCGTAATACCGTAATTTAATTATATGTAAAAATAATAATAAAAAATATAATTTTATTTTAAATGTAAATAAATAATTTATATGTAAAATAATAAAAATAATAATATACGACATAAAAATATATATATTTTTATATTATATACTTTATATATTAATAGTTTATTTATAATTTATACTTTTTAAACGTATAAAAGTTTTTAACGTTTATACTTTTTAACGTTTAAAATATTTTAAACGCTTATATTTTTTAACGTTAATATTTTATAACGTTTAAATAATTTTAAATATTTAAATCAATTTAATCGCTTATATTTATTAACCTTTACTTAAATATCCGTATTTATATAAACGTTAAAAGTTATCAACTGTCATTTAAGTATCAATTAAGGGTTTACTGAACTCTGCAAATCCTGGTATGGTTGTCCCCAAAAGTAGTAAGCAAATTCGCTCTTTCTCTTTCACTTTTACAGAAAGACTAAGTCGTAAAGTCAAATTAACTCCCCTTGTTTGGTCGACCAACTTTATTTTCTTCTACTCTTTGACTCAAGAATTTCAATTAAACTACGGTACCCCTTCAGAAAAAATATGCAGAACAGTTCTATCCAAGTTCAGTAGGCTACTCGAGATATTCTCTTTACGACTGTCTCGTCCTCAATATTTACTATATACCGGATAAGGATCATAACAGCCAATTCTCCGAAAACAGCTCGGCAACCTGAAGAAAGTGAGAAAGGAAAGCAAACCCAAGAAACACCAGCGCACTCCCCCAGCAACTCATAAGACCCGATGGAGGGAAAGGACATAGAGCAAAGTCGGAAAATAGTATCACCTCTCTCTGATAATCCCCCCAGATTACTTCTCACTTTACCATCAAGTCCGCTACCCAAACTATCGGCTCTATCTTAAATAAACTAATCTATCGCCTTATTATTTCGACTAAGCATACGGCTTTGGTCCAACACGCAGAACCCAGACGAGTGTCATTGGTTTGACCCGCAACAGTTTGACATAGAAACCATCCGCACATTGGTTCCGGATCGATGTTTTACAGAATTCCCTATACTCCATGCTCACGTACCCCTGACAGTCCTTGTCCAGTTAGCGGAGAAAATAATACAGGACAAGTCTCACTGCCTGTTTAAGATCTCTTTCGGATGCAAGCATCAGCTTCGTCGATAGTAACGCGACTGATACAAAGCCTAGTCGTCTAGCCTAGAAGCCCCAAAATTCCAGCCCGGGAAATAGCTCTTGAAGCAGTCGAGGTCTGTAATCCGTCCACCCCTTCCCGCCTATATATATGTCATCCGTCTAACCTATCCTAGTATTCGAAGCAACTTAATGGCGAACCGAGTAGTTGCGAAATTCATACCATTATCAATACCGTTTCTACACTTTGTCGACCCCCTTTAGAAGGGAGGGGTAGCTACCTAGTAACCTATAATATGGCGATACCAGCCTTGTCAACGTGAGTAAAGTAACTGACTACCTCATGACCTATGTTGGATAATTGAGATACTAACACTGAGATACTAGCACTTGACTAGAAGCTACTTGCGTCTTCTCATTTTACTTAATACTGGGCCCACCTACTAGGACTACAGCCTAGACAACTAGCTGGGGGCATATGTAGCCCCGAGGAGGTATATGATTAGGCGGAATACGTAAACACAACTTCTACGGCGCGGTCGACCTAACTCTTCAGCGCGCTATAAGCCCGTCTACCGACTAGATTCCATGTCATCATCCAAGTCTTCTACCCAAAGCAGCACATAATAATGTCTGCACTATACTATAGACCTACCCATATCTCTAAGATGGGCTCTCAGGCTTTTGGGAACATTACCGTTGCCTACATATAGGCATGCGCTACACGTTTAGGTTGAAACGTTGCTATGTAGCTAGCACATGCTCGGTTATTTTGATTCTCCGTATTCTTTGGACGCATTCATTAGATACACGCACGAGGCGACCGTCGTCCGGGTTCAAGATGGTCGGCTGATACCGCGTCGGCGCGTCGGAGCCGCATATGCTGGATGTCTGGTAATTAAGATTATCCAATGGCTAAGGAATCTTATTTAGGGATATTCGACGATGGAGACTGGGAGTTTCGGCCTCTGATGCGACTGAGAAAAACTGGCAATAAACCTGCTATTTACTTTACTCGTTTGCGATAGTTACTTTGTAGTATAGTCTACTTGAAGGGTAAAATAATATTTAGCGCCATTGAAATAAATTTTCAACGAGATTCTAATTATGTTATCATAGATGGTAGAATGTACTAAGTGCGGGAATGCAATGGATACCACGGTTACTGGGAACAAGCGAAATTAGGCCCTACTAGCTACCGGCTGCAAGCAGCCACAATATCTTGTAGAACCGCACGAGGCACCGGAAAGAAGGCCTTAAAACCCCAAACTCCAACCTCTAGATAGATTACACTCTCTTATGTCCTTTCTTATGTCAGGCGGTACTCTAGCTCTGTTCCCTCCAAGGGAGTACTCTAGACGTCTAAAGCGCCAGAGATGCGCCGCTGTAATTACGCAAGTAGATATAGCAGACCAATAGACGTAAACGTTATCATCATCAATGGATACCACGGCTAGGAACAGATAATCTAACTTGTGTTACTACACTGACCTAGAACGCACTTAACTCTAAGCCAATAGGCATTCGTTTGCTGCCGGTAAGTTAATGCAGATCACTATTCCATCTTCTCATAAATGCCCGAGAGCTAGTTGATCCTCTTACATTACGGAGCTGATAGTATATTGGAACAGACTATACGACCGTACGTCTCAAATATCGTGTCCTTATACAATCATATTCTTGGGTACCACGCTCGAAGAAACTACACAATATGAATCCTTCTATAGGTAGAACGTTGCTCAGAAGCTACCGTTTGCGTTTGCCATCGTCGTCTTCAAACCGACTGTTCTCCTTTTCTGTTCCCCGTATGTCGTTAACGGAACCACCTCTATCTCCTGAGCAAGCCAAGTTGGTAGATATCATCATGAGTGGACACAATGTATTCTATACCGGCTCGGCAGGAAGCGGCAAGTCTACAGTCTTAAAGGCTTTCACTAAAAAGCTACAGGACCAGGAAAGGACGGTTCATATCATTGCTCCAACCGGACGGGCGGCCTTACAAGTTGGTGGCTCCACCATATGGTCATATGCTGGATGGACCCCGGACTCGATGAAGGAAGGCATAGAGGCACTTCTGCAGGACGCGCAAAGAAAGCATTGCAGGAAACGCCTCAGGAATACCGATGTTTTAGTTATCGATGAAATAAGCATGATTGAAAACTTCCACTTTGAGCGGCTTAACGCAATCATGAAAATGAGTAATAGGTCCGATATGGCTTTCGGTGGTGTCCAGCTAGTCGTTACCGGAGACTTCTATCAACTTCCACCTGTGCAACCCTTTCGCTTTTGTATCAAATGCGGGAGCGAGATGATCATAGATCGCACGGAGGGGTTCTATACATGCACGGAACACGGCCGCTTTTACGATGAGGACAAATGGGCTTTCCGAAGTCAGGCTTGGGAAGAATGCAACTTCGTCCATTTTGCTCTGAAGTCAATCCACCGGCAAAGCGATGAGACGTTTATAAGAGCCTTACAAACGATTCGAATTGGGGACCCATTGACAGAAGGTCAGACCAACTTGCTCATGGATCACCCGTGCGTTACAACAAATGCAACTAGGCTCTATGCCTCGCGCAATGAAGTGCGGGAGTTAAACACTCGGGAGTTTAAAAGGATATCAGCGACGAAGTATACATATAAATGTGTGGATAGCTTCTTATGGAACGAGAAAGGGCATCCACATCTCGAAAGTAAGAATCGCCGAGCAAAAGACAAATCCTTACTAGCACTCAGTGAGCATCAATACGAGAGTTATGTCGAGCTAAAGCAAGGCATGCTCGTTGTGCTGCTTTATAATCTAAACTTGAGCCAAGGACTATGTAATGGCAGTCAAGGTATTATCTGTGGGTTTGCGAGTTTCGATCCCACGAAGTCCTTGACCGTCACGCAAAATAAAAGAGACACTGATCCTACGAAACCGCTCGAAGATATATTAACCCATATCACTTCATCTCAAACTGATAAGTTCATAAAACAGGTTGAGACGAAAGTCTGGCCGGTCGTCAGGTTTCACAATGGGTTAGTAAGAGTAATTGCACCACATTGCTCCACAACCTGCTTGGGCGATGAGCAGCCATATAGTATCCTCAGCCGCACGCAGATACCGCTAGCTCCTGCGTGGGCGATGACGATTCATAAGAGCCAGTCGCTGACGCTCGACCGCGTCATAGTAGATCTGTCGAAGGCATTTGTCGAGGGGCAAGTCTACGTCGCCTTGTCGAGGGCGAGGAGTCTAAAAGGCCTTAAGATTGAAGGCAGTCCGAAAGACTTGATGGCTGGGGTAGGGGCAAGTCCTGAGGTACGAAAGTTCTATAAGAGAAAGTTTGGGATATGATGTTTTCCAACGACCTATTAGATCTCTAGTGTTAAAGTTAGAATGCTATATGTACTGTATATAAACGTAGCCTTGATGAGGAATTAGTTGATATTGACTAGTTCTAATTGCATATGCCTTATGGCTGCTGTCCATATAAAGCAGCTATTTTTAGCTATAATAGTTTATAGTGTTTCGACATAGTGTAACCTTTGAGAGTATTCATATGTCATTGGGTACACTTAGGGATACGTATTATGTCGGTGTCTTCGTGCGGAAATAGAATCACTGGGTAGGTAACAGCGACTAAGGGAAAGACCTCACTTCGAAGCCGACAATATGGATGTTGCTCAATAAGGTAGGTAGTTAGAAGATGGTTACCCCTAAGCTCTTGATGAACTGGGAAGTAGAATAATTAGGTACTTTCATTGGCTGTATGGAGATCACTGCCTTGTTTTCGCAACCTACATTATATTACTTAGGTTCTGCCACTCGTTGGATACGAGTACTGCGAATGAATACGAGGATATTCTTGTCACGAGGTGGAACGAAACAGTATGGAAACAACTTCGTTGTTCCGCAAGGAACTCTAAACTACCTATGAAGATCTATCGTCTATACATACTGAACAGTTCCTTTGTTCTAGATGTCTCATCTAGAATCCTGACAATTCTTACTCTTTGATATACCTAACTTATTATCACCTGAATTCAAGCCATATAAGGACGTGTGTATATCCTTAAGATGTGTTTGTATAACCATCTGCCTTATTAGAATTAAGTAACAAAATCTGACCAAGAGGACGGGCCGATAACTCTCAATCAGGAGTTGTATTAAGTACACCAAGTTCATATAATACCTCAAGAAAAGCACATGTACCCTTGTCAGATTTGGAATTTGTCCCCTGGGACGATCAAACAGCGGTAGCCGAACAAAGGTCAACTCATGCGTCTGAGTTTATCCGGGGAAACGAAAAGCATCTAAATAGGATACCGAACCAGGTTATGTAAGTCTCTATTTCCACTGCCGGTGCTATACAATCCGGGGTTGTGGCCTATATGACAGCTGCTAATGCGCCAAGATCAGATGCAGACACATCCTATTATCACCTTACCATTGACTTGTGATCTGAAAACGTACCATTTAGCTCCCTAACTAAGCTTTATCTGATCCTCACGGAGGCAGGCCCGTGAAAATCTTGCTGGTTTGGTGCTCTCTTGGGTGTTATTTTTACCATAATGGTAGCTAACACAGCTGGTCTAGAAGTAATATGCCCCCAACTGCGATCCTTGGCGTGATAAGGCGAGACGATTCTTGGCCGTTCAGTCAACATTTATGTAGAGTCGCCATCGCTTAACTCCCCCACGATTTTCCCACGGTTAGTGGAAACCAAACCTAGCCAGCGGCAATACTCGCAATATTCCGCTGCGATGTCAGGCACAACGTGACAATCCCCCCTGTCTATCCCCGTAGCGTGAATGCATATTCGCGGCTCGTCGTTCCCCATGGGAAACTGGGACCAGGGGGTGATCTCGGCTATATTCGCGATATTAACCGCCATGCTTCTATACGACGACACCCGTGATGGAACGGCAGCAGCATGCAAAAGGAAATGAAGAAAAATCTCCGGGGAAACCTGAAGTAGGGAGATTCGTTCACCCGGCCACGAGTTTAAATAGGCGACGAGTTCCGCATCGTGACAGCGAGCCTGAAGAAGCATCTACAACGATCGCCTTCGCTCTTCTCAAGATGCAGCTGACCGTGAACTCGCTCGCCGCCAGCCTGGCGCTGCTCGCGCCCAGTGTCCATGCGCTTCTACGTTTCTCGTGCTCGCAGCTCGTCGTCGAGCGTCTCGACCCGCTCGTCTTCCCCGGCGTCACGGGCTCCCCGCACGTCCACCAGATCATCGGTGGTAACGCCTTCAACCAGTCCATGGAGTACCCGCGCATGGATATCCCAAGCGAGGCCACGTGTACCACGTGCACCTTCGCCGAGGATTTGTCCAACTACTGGACTGCCGTCCTCTACTTCCGTGCCCGCAACGGCACTTACAAGAGGGTCCCGCAGATGGCTAACTCCGGTTTCGAGGGCGCAAACGGCGGCATGACCGTTTACTACACGCCTAGCTACAACAACGACAAGGTTACTGCTTTCAAGCCTGTGAGTAAAACATCTGCCTAGCTAGAGATACAACCTGGAGGCTAATCGTAAATCTAACCCCTAGGGCTTCCGAATGATCGTCGGAGACCCGTCATACCGAACCGAGGCCCAGGCCAAGAAGTTCCGTCAGCTTACTTACACCTGCCTCGACAACATCCTCACCCGCACTGGTGAGACCCTTGACATGCCGAAGAAGGTCTGCAAGGCCGGCATCATGGCTAACATCCGCTTCCCGACGTGAGTACTTACTGCTAAACCAAGCCTTTGCCTCCTGAAAATGAAAACGCCATACTGACCCCCTTTAAAGCTGCTGGGACGGCAAGAACCTCGACTCAGCCGACCACTCGAGCCACGTCGCGTACCCCAGTGGTACCTTCGAGAGCGGCGGTGCCTGCCCCTCGACCCATCCGGTCAAGATCCCCCAACTCTTTTACGAGGTCATCTGGGACACACGCGCGTTCAACAACCCCAACGACTGGCCTACCGACGGCAGCCAGCCCTTCGTCTGGTCCTTCGGTGACACGACCGGATATGGAAATCACGGTGACTACATGTTCGGCTGGAAGGGCGACGCTCTCCAGAAGGCCATGGACTCCAACTGCAACATCAACTGCCCTCAGCTCCAGACCCAGTCCATCTCGCAGGGCAACCAGTGCAGCAAGAAGGTCTCCGTTAACGAGGAAATCGACGGCTGTAAGTAACACCTTTTATTCACTCTGACTCCGCGCGTATCCTATTGGATAAATATTCTAACACTTCGTATTTAGGGCTCAAGCAGCTTCCCGGCGGGATGCCCGTCACTGATGCGACTGGCAAGGTCCTCTACTAAGCGGGCGGTGTTTGAATGATAGTGTAACGAATGTATTTAATGAGTAGAAAGATTAATGGTTTCGGTACAACGAAGACTGGCGTGTAGGCGCGATTTTATCAAGATAGTCTAGCTAATACCTAGACACTCAAGCCATCAAAGTTCAAGCACCTGATATTGGTTCATAAGAATGTATTCATCTTGGCCTCTATGTGCTTTTAATGTACGCCATAAAACGACAAATCTCTTATACCTTAGGTAGGTTAGGTGCCTAGCTTAGTTACTGTAGAAACTCGCTTCCTAAGCTATTGAGAAATTTGTCATGGTGACATATGCCCGGACACTAGGACATTCCAAGGGCGTGGAAGAGCTCGAGTGCAGTCTGTTGTCGTTCGTCAGAAGGGTCATGGCGCAAATCGTCATAGGCTCCAGAGTCATTAATTGCGGCGACGAGCCAAGAGTCTGTAGTGATATGTCAGCCAGAATGAAATTCAAGTGAAAGTTATATTAACTTACGCTCATAATCGGTGCCAACCTTCATGAGAAGAATATCCCATTTGCGCGTGGCGATCTGGGGGCAATCCAGGAGAGTACCTTCTGAGCTAGCAGTGCAATCATAGATGATCATGGCATCCCAAGTGCAGGTCGAACAGCTCTCTGGCGGTCCCTTGAAGAATTTCCACTTGCTCCAGATGGAGCAGAGGAAACCGGTGGTGGCATTAAACACGCCTCGTTTATCCGCCGGGATGGTGATCTTGACGTGGACTGGGGGCACATTAGCAAGGGCGTGTTGTATTTGTAGGGACGGAATAAGAGCTCACGTTTTTTGTTGAGACACCTAGGGGTCGAAACGAAATCTCCAGGTTGTTCTTCATCACGTCGAAGTTGCTGTTCATGCGTGACGAACCATCCATCTCCAGGAAAGACTCTCACCTCCAAATCACTGATAGTCTATAAAATGTTAGCAACATAGAAATAGGTTCCGCGGGATGACTTACCATCTTGAGGAGGTAGCTTGTGTGATCGTATCCGATAAAGTCGACAGGACCGCAGTTGAAAAGCTCAAGGTCTCTCTGAGAGCAAGGCTCGAAGCCCATCCAAAGATAGGGGCGGGCAGCCAACGTTTCCCTTCCACGGACGAGTCTCACACGCACATCATTGGCCTCGCCGGTGTGCTCCTGTCCTGCCATGATGTCCAGATGAAGTGATATGGAGACTGGAAGGATATGGATGTAGAATATCCGTGTTCTCTAGTCCAGTTGTAGAAATTACCTAATGGAAGCTGGAATGCGGTGGGAGGGGAAGATGAAACCAGGGAACAAGGTCTTCTTAAATAGATGACTTGAAGAAAAATTTCTATGTCTCTAGGTGTGGCTTCCTCGACTCAAAATCGAAACAATCGAGAAATACGGGGCTACACTGTAAGTTGCTAGGCGGAGAACTAGAATTTATCTACTGTTGCTGCTTTCACATGATGCGAACTGTAATCATGACTCTATGGCTTTATCTTACTGCAGCTGCCAACAAATGTGGTGTTGGAAGGCTAAGGAAATAGCACGCGAGGTGAAAGCTTGATGCAGATTCTTAATTTCATAGTTCGAGGGCTTTCCTTTGAAAAATGTTCAGTGTTAGTCATATCTTCACTCACGTACCATCTAGTGTCACGATCCAGCTACGGGGCTACTGCTTGCGTGAGTTTCTTCGAGATGCCTATCATCTAAATATACTCGGTTGGGTTGATATCGGTAAGTTTCTTATAATCTGCTTGTGTTGTGTAACTCGAGGGGATACTGCTTAGCCCCGTTGAGCTATCGGCTGGGAGACTCTAGGCGAGTTTAACGGAATCGAAAGTTTGACGAAAATCGGTACCTAGACCTACCTAGGTAGTTAAGGAGAAGTGTTGATGGCTATCCGTGTGATTAAAAACTTATATTAACAAACCGTAACAAGCAAGCACGCATTGCCTTTCATTGAGCCTTCTAACATAGAATCAAAGGCTACTCGTATTAGCTGGGGCGTTACTTGTAGCACGATCCGTGTAGCTTATCTTCATGATATTTAAAGATAGGTACCTATATATAGGAAGTTTACTTCATAATATATGTTATGTACTTGTCAAACTAGAAAGATTCGTGCGTAGCTTACCACATATACGCTTTTTAGTGTGTCCATCTTCATATGCCTTATTTGTTCAAGTGTCCAACAGCAGATTCATTTTAACCAAGCTTTTATTCTAATATATATGTAAGAACTTCATAATTCTCAAATACAACTTATCTAGAGATGGAGAGAGTTTCGATGGCGGTAGGAGTTATGGCAGATACCTAAGGTATTTACCTAGGTAACTCTCGATAACATAGGCCCAGTATACTACAGTTAGAATCAATTAGGTAAAGCTATTAGGCTAATATTTCCATATTTTTTTTCGTTGTTAAGGAACTCGCAAAGTGGGAAACTATTGTTGTAAAGACCGCAATAATAGTTGCTGACACAACTGTTTAAAACTACAAGTCATAGTTGGTTGCCGTATACGAAGCTTGAGCATCTGAATCTAGCGATGTGACACGCGAAAACTATTTTAAGCCAAGCAGATAGATTGGTATTCATGGTAACAAGCGAGATGGGACGGATCATTTTCGGTAGCTTGCTTGTACGCGATGGTAAGTGTCGAATCGAAGGTGTAGTTAGCGAGGTGTGACACTAGACTTACAGGATTGGGAAAAAAGTAACGCTCAGCTGGAATACAAGTAGACGTGGTGTCTTTTACGATTTAGATATTGTCTTAGTTGAATAAATACCTGACTATTGGCATCTTGTATCGATTTTTCTTATTATATCTAAAGCTTTTACAAGAATAAGTAGAGTAGGAGTATTGCTTAATTTAACAATTAAACTCGTTTCCTCATTGCATTGGAGAATTACTAGAATCCTAAGCCAATGGTTATGCTTGTCTTACTCAAGGACGTACAGTCTCCGTCTACATATATAGTGTAATGTTACACATATTGTCTCAGGAGGCGCGTCGTGGCGGACCGAACGTATGCTAAATAAACCTCAGGTGCTTGGTTAAGATATTAGTGCAAATAAATCGCTACGAGGAACAACGGCAACACCAAATCCCGAGGCTGCGTGGAATTGTGAATTGCGAATACGCCGAGCTTGGGGTAGACATCTATCCCAATGGTTGAGTATCCTAGGTAGGAAAGGAAAGGAAAGGAAAGGAAAGGGGGGGCAAGCCTCGGTTCCTATCTACTACCCCAGCATTTTTTCTCCACTGCTTCCAGGCTGGTTTGCGGGGATAGCGACCGAAAAGGGACCATTTCAACCCAATCCCATTCGTCACCGTCACCTTCTCTTATAGCCCTTACGTTCTAGAGCCAATGATAAGGCTCACGTAGCGAAGAAGCCATGAGTTGCATCACTATGGGCTACGGCACCAACGAAGTCATTAGTTCGGCTCCGTATCCGCCACGCCCGAGCGAGTTCTATATTAATATGATTCCTCTTATATACGAACATACAGCTCTGACTTAACCTTGTTTACGTCTGTGAATCACAAGAAATTGTGAGCTCTGAGTTTTCGTGATAGAGGCATTTCGAACCGATACAGCTGCCTGAATCCCCTCTTTTCGGGATAGTTCATTCGCGGGGCGACGAAAAGCTATTACTTTTTTCGGGGAAGCTATTTGACACTTCATAAGGAAGTAAATTCGGAAATATTTTAATCACTTCTAGCTGCGTTTCTTTCTTATCATTCTCGCGATATCTATTCCCGCTATGGTTCTAGAATCAAGATGGACGGTACCAATACCGAATTGCTCCCTGCCAAAATGGGTATTTGGGTCCTCCTTCGACTCACTTCCAGATAATCCCCAATTCATTGATGTTGACCGCCCGGAAACGCATTTCATCACCCAATCTGATTTTCGGCTGTGGTCGAAGCGGCTGGCCTTAGGATTGATGCGAGCAGGTTTGAAACCTGGCGATCGCGTACTCCTCTTCTCTGGCAACTCGCTCTTCACACCCGTAGTTTTCATGGGTATTCTGATGGCAGGGGGAATTTTCACAGGCGCTAACCCTAGCTTTGTCGCTCGGGAACTTGCTTACCAGCTGAAAGATAGCGGCGCTTCGTTTCTAATTGCAGCCGACGCTAGCATGGAGATCGCGATAGAAGCCGCTGACAAGGCTGGTCTTCCGAGGAGTCGAATATATAGCTTTGACATAAGCGCTCTTGATAAGCAACCGGCTAAGGCACGACTCGGGACTCAACATTGGACTTCTCTCCTCGCCCCTAAGAACGATGCAGTCAGGTTTGACTGGGCTGAACCCGCCGATGCGAGAACGACAGTATGTGCTCTTAATTACAGCTCAGGGACGACAGGTGTGCCGAAAGGCGTCGAAATCACACATTATTCCTATGTGGCGAACGGCCTCGGGGTTAACTACATGGAGCGACTAGATCCTGAATATGATGAAAAGAAGAAACGATACCGCCGTTTAGGCTTTTTACCGATGTATCATGCATACGGCCAGACCTTCTTTGTCTGCAACTATCCGAAAGAAGGCGTTCCAGTATACATTATGTCTTCGTTCAACTTTGAAAAGATGCTGCAGTGTATTGAAAAGTTTCGTATTGACGCTCTCATCGCCGTGCCACCTGTCGTGGTTCTACTTGCCAAAAGTCCACTTAGCCGCAAGTATGATCTCAGCAGCCTCGAGAGTATAGGCTCTGGTGCCGCACCGCTAGGAGCCGAAGTCAGTGATGAGGTCGCTAAGCTTTGGCCAGACGGTGCTTTGAATCTTCGTCAGGGATGGGGAATGACAGAATTAACATGTACGAGTACAAGTTGGCACCCTAAAACGGCCGGTAAATCCGCAGCCGTCGGCGAATTATTGCCAAATTGCAAAGCGCGTATCATGAGAATCGACGGCTCGGGCGAGATCACCAAAGCCAATGAGAGGGGCGAGGTATGGATTACTGGGCCTACGCTCTTGAAGGGCTACTGGAGAAAGCCGGAAGCTACCGCGGCCACCCTCCATGTCGATCCAGATGGCACCCGTTGGCTGAAAACAGGCGATGTTGGGTTTGTGGAGAAGTACGAGCCGGGTGGATTGTTCCACATCGTTGACCGCATCAAGGAGCTCATCAAAGTGAAGGGTAACCAAGTAGCGCCGGCCGAACTTGAGGACGTATTACTCGAAAATAAGGGTGTCCGCGACGTCGCTGTCGTGGGCGTTACGATTAACGGCGAGGAAGTGCCACGTGCGTACATTGTGCCAGACCCCGAGGTAAAGCAGACGGAGCAGGAAATTGCCAAGTGGATGGAATCGAAGGTTGTCAACTACAAGCGGTTACGAGGTGGTGTGAAGTTTGTCGAGGCCATTCCTAAGAATCCGGTAAGTCTAACAAGATGTGCGTGCTCAACGAGAACTCGATGGCTAATAGGTACATGTAGTCCGGCAAGATCCTTCGCAAAATACTGAGAGACCAGGCAGCGGACGAAGTTGGTGATAGCAAACCAGGAATGGCGAAATTAGCCTAGAGTTGAACTTGGACAATACCTAGCTAAGATATTAAATTGCTTTCTCTTGAAGATGCATGTAGGGATATAAAGAGAATTCAATGGTATATATACATTCCTCTGGGCTTAACAGATTCACGATATCTAAGAAACTCATGAGGGATATTAGAGGCTGCTTCTCCCAGCGCTGGTGTGGGGGCGTATTCCACCAGTACACGTACCTTGTTTTTATATAAATTTAATTCAACGTTTAGAATTTCAACCGCTGCACTAGTAATCAAGTAACTATTAAGACGCCTATCCCTTAGAAAAAGAAGGGTTATATAGATGTAGGTGCGTATGTGTCTAGTCCGCGGGGGTTAAATCCGTAATTAGTTCTTTGTGCACAATAGTTATTCACATTGTTAGATCGTGAGAGGCTATTTTGTCTAGCTTCCAGCTCCAATGACTCAGACCTAAGACAAAGGGGCTAGTTTTGATATATTAGTAACTACATTAAAGTGTACTTTCTAGAGTGTAGTATCAGGCTAGGTATAGTAACTATCCTCTAATAAATATGTTTTAGCTAATGGGTAATAGGAGTAGGTGCCAACATACTCCTTTAATATATCGTATACTTTGGCTCTCTTTCAGCTACTTAATTATTTTTCCCACTCCATGTCCGATATATTATCTACAATACTGTGCAGCCCCAACCTTCCTCCTCCAAACATGTCAATTCCACCCTTGATGTTAAGAGGATTGTCCGGCTCGTCTGGGTATCCATAATGGCCCGTGTTGTCCGATCCAGATATCCAGCAGCGGCGCATGAGATCATCTGCCTCCTTATGGAAAGCTTGAACTCCAGGTTTTCTTTGAATTAACGGTCGCATCTTCTGGAGAACCCTATAGAGCCAATAGCGGCGGCCTCGACCGTTCACCATGCTGTAGTTGGTTATTTCGCCAGAGCGATCCACATGGTACACAATGTCCTGTAATTTGAGGCCATCCACGCAGCGGCGTCCAGTTAGGTATAAGCTGGTATTACGAAGTTTGTCGAGATCGTTGCTTGGGTGGTGGTCATCAGTCAAGGCACGGAAAAGAAATATATGTGGCCCGCCAGATTGACCTCTTCGTAGCGAGCCGTCGCATATCTCAAGAGTTATCACTTTACCGCTCTGAAGCTCCAGGGCAATCTTCCACGTGTTAGGTAGTGGAAGAAAACGATCCTTTGATGGCAGAGCGAACAACCAGACGCTTTCTACAATTTCTTCCCAGATGAGGGGCCAGACGTTAACTGGTGTGGAGGAGGTGAGGCCGAACCAGAAATTGAGGCTGAAGTTGTATGCGGCTATGTCTAACTCCTCACGCGAGCGGGTGGTGAGGTGGTCTGTGACGTGCTTGAGCTCTGTCTTCATCTTGGTACGATATTAGTACGATTTAAGGTGAGTGTAAAGTGACGTTGGTATTATTAGACTACCTGGTTGAAAGTATTAGTAGGCAAAGTGTCTTAATTCCGAAGACAGAGTTAAGTTAGGCGTTTAGTTTGCAGTTGGAATTCTTTTAGCTTGAATAGGGGCCGAATAAAATTATTTTTATACGCCATAGACCTAATAGCTAACTAGGGAATTGTTTCCTATCAATATCTAACTATGTCGTAGTTTAGTAACAGAATCAATGTATGCGATGGTTAAATACCTATACAATAGTGTGTATTGTGACAAAGAGACTGTTGTTAAGGTGTGATACGATTTTTAATGAAGTGGAATTTATTTGGGTTCTTAGACTAGTAGTTATGGGATAGTAATCATTAACTTACGTAGGATCTGAAGCCAGAGTCTCCTTAGGTAGGCTTGGATGTGTTTATAATATAATAACTATTCGTATTGGAGTTAATTAATTTTACTGTAACTTAGGCACATAGAAGTAATAGTCGAAGAAGAACTGATGCTCACTTGAATATCATACTAAGCACTTAACTTACTATTACGATGATGTACGTTTCTATATATTCTTAGAGGTTACCTATGCCCTTATGAAATAAGTTGAGCATCACCCTATATAATATAAACACATTGCAAGTCAGTTGTTTTCTTCTCATTCAATGAAATTTGTTTACCGCCCATAGGGCTAATGAAGACCACAAGACGGTAATGGGGTTGTCTTTAGGTACATTTAATCGCCTGTACCGATTATTAATATAGGTAGTTGTAAAAGTAATATACAGGTAGTGCTATAAGTCTATCTAGGAGTTATTAATCTACTTGACCTACCTTATATTTATGATTGGCTATGGTTGTCGATATTGACCACAACTTCTTGCTATGTACACTATATGAGTTAATCTCAATGGGCAATGTGCGTATACTGTCTAGATACACTGTATATGCTACGCCAACACCGCAACCGTGGTTTAGGAAGATGTTTTGAAATAGATCAAAGTATGGAGTGTTGGTATCGTACGAGGTTACCGAGATACCTTACCCGTATGCACGTATGCGCGTTAGACGGACACTGGGGTTTTCGTGCTATACTTACATAGGTACATCAGGGTATACACGACCTAGTTCTTGGTATAGACCGGCAATTGAGAGCAACCTTCAATTGATTCGGCTATATGGCCCGAGCGCCTAACCCCCTTCAACCACAAGAAAAAAAGGAAGCTGGCAAAGCGAAGCGCTGTAGTATTATGTTAACGACGCATGTTTAATTCGTATATGTCGGAGACCTGCAGCGCATGCGCGTTTATCATTGATAGGGTGCTGATCTGATTGCACCAAGAAGAAAAAAAGGTTGATTCACAGATCGATCGACAAGACAGAAACATCGCAGGAACGGGAAGGGTGGGAAGGGTGGGAAGGGTGTCCATTCAGCCCACCGATTCTTCCTGTTCCTATTTTCTCCCCCTTCTCCCCCTTCTCCAAAAAAAGAGGCTGGGCCAATTGATAGTGGAGACAAGAATCGCGTACCCAGCCTCCCCAATGTACAATACGAACTCGGAACAGTTTAGCTGTCATAAATCTGTCAATTTTCAATTGAATCGACACCGCTTCTAACATTTCCCAATTCCAATTCCAATTCCAATTCCAATTCCAGATTCCAGATTCCTTTGTTTGTTTCGTTTTCTCGCACTTGCGATAGCCACCAAACTACGCGCCTCGTATTACATACTGTACATACTGTACATACCGTACATACTGTACATACCATTCATACCGCCACGATTCATGAAATGAAATGAAATGAGCAGTAGTACATCTCGTCATCGTACCACTATGAATTCACCCTCCTCTAGGCCTCGTCCACGCCAGGCCCAACAACCACGTGACTACGAAGACGCAGCGGCAGCGGCAGCGTACCACAACAGCGGGAAAGCCCCGCGCTTCGATAGCCACGACGACTTTTACGCTTTCCTCGATAGCAATCGAGGAGGTCCTATGTCCGGCCTAGGTGCTAATCCAGCCCCCAGCGCGAATCACGGTGCTGCGATTCAAGGCCAACCCTCACAAATACCTCCACAGCAACAGCAGCAGCAGCAGCATCAGCAGCAACAACAACAACAACAGCAGCAACAGCAACGCTTTAGCCAAGGCAGCCAACCTAGTAACAGCCCGTCGCAGCAGAGCAGACCGCCATTGACAAATTCCTTTCCCCCACAAGGAGGAAACACACCGAATCAATCGCGGCCTCCGTCATATTCAGGCAGCAGTCGTTCCGAGGAGATGCTCGTAGCAGACCGTACCAGCGGCGACGGCAGAGTCCAGCGCCAGAATGGCCGTCGCGCCGGACCGAGCAAGCCTGTGGCAGGACCGCGACCGCCAAGTAGCTCTGGCGGATCCTCCCCGCCACGGAACTCAGCAGGATACCCGACCAACCACCCGCAGATCCAGCAAGCCCAAGCCCAAGCCCAGGCCAAAGCAGTAGCAGCAGCAGCAGCAGCAGCATCAGCCTCCTCAGCATCCGACCCCAGCTTAGCAGTCCCCAATGCCAGCCTAGGCGCGTCCATCCAGCGGCTCAAGAGCCCCAGCGTCATGGATTGCGTGCTGCAGCCGCTAGACCAGAAGGTGCACGAATACGCCGAAGTGATGCACCGCGAACAGGACGAGATGGACCGCCTAGACGCCGAGATCCGGGCGCTACAGGAACGACGCGCCGACGCCGAGACACGGTTCCTAGAGGCCAAGAGCAAGCACGATGACTACCGACGGCAGTATCTAGACGTCGAGCGTGCTATGCGCGGTGAACCGCTACCTCCGCCTACCCCCCGGGAGCTGCCTCAACCGCACCAGGTACCGCTAGCACGACAACACACGCGGCCCATGAGTTTCCAAGACGATGAGGACGACGACGATGACGAGTTTGCGCCTCCGCCGTCGTCTCATCGTCGCATTAACTCCCAGCAGTCATTCGGGCGGACCTCGCAGAAGATGAAGGGAGGTCGTTTTCGGTTTAGTTTGTTCGGAGACAAATGAACCAGGGGTACCTGATTTGAAATTTAATGCTTGAAAGATATTTAAAGGGAAAAGGATGATTGGTGTAATAAAGATGGATGGACATAAGTAATGATTTATGCTAACGTCTTCCACTTATCAATGTAATATGATGGGATAATGGTAACGACAATTAGAGCATGTGGACGGGCGTCATGGAAAATAAATTTAAACTTTTTCAGGGCCTCGGCAGCTGAGACCCCCTCCATGCTACACCTCAATGGGAAGTGTAATTGGACTCGGAACAATCGATTGGGGGAATAAGGAAGCTATCAAATAATCTATTTTTACCTATTACCTAGGAACATCGCACATGCTATATTTCGTGTTAGGACAATGCCAGCTGAATCATCCCTCTCTACAAGCTCGCTAGCTGAACTTAGCACATGCTAGAACTCGTCGAGCTCGTCGAGATCTCCTAGATACCCCTCCGAATCAGCCGATGCTATCGAAGCAACTTTGAATAGATCCACTACCACTCGACTCCCATAATACAGAGTCTTTCGAGCTGAGACGACCAACCAAAAGTCAGCGTAACGCGTGCGTACAACAGTTGTTCTTCGATATCTCTAAGTGCAGCGGTGTCGAAGATTGTTAAATCCTCCCACGACTGCTCCACGAGGTTGGTTTCCGAGTCATCCCCGATTTGTAGTTCGTTCGATGTGCCTCCAAAAAAAAGTTGGGACCAAGCATCATCGTGCCACACGAGCTTACTAGCCGTAATCATGCCGCTTTCATCAATCATTGATCCGATTATACGTGGGTTGACTGCCAAATCTCGTCGCGTATCGCAATTCTTGCAAATTGCAACGGGTTTATTGGCGTAAACTGGCATACCACAGCTGAATAGATAGTTAGATTGGCAAGATGAGATGTAATGTTGGACTCACCACTCAAAGCAACAAAAGGAATGTTTCCGCCACTGTTCCATCAATCCCATCTCGAGAATAATAACATTCAATTTCCCAGTGAAGTCGAGTCTCGGCTCGGGATTACGTACTTGATCTTCAATATCGGCGATCGTGAATAATAAACCGAGGGCCCCCCGTGTGGGAGACCACAATAGCCCGACTTTTAGCAAGGCTCATGCTTATGTCATCCCCTTATGTCATTACTCCGAAATTTAGCCGCTCATTCCACTAAGGTCACGTGCCGCCACGCCGGGCCGCGCGGGGGGGGGCGCTCGGCCCTCGCTTCGCGAGGGCCTCGCACCCCCCCCCTCGCGCGGCCCGGCAGCGGCGGCACGATGCTCTAGCTACTTTAGGCTATCCTCTCTCGTAGTATTTCCTTATTCGTGTAAAAAGAAAAGAATATAAAAAAGAACGTGTGGGATTCGAACCCGGCTTCCTGTATAAGTCATGTGGTGTTGTCCCGAAATGGGTTAGTTTTGCACTAAGAACATGTGACCTGTATATGGGCCTTGTATTGGCATATGGCCACCTAATGTGATTGGTTAAATTTTTAGCCTAAACCTGGTGCACAGGCCACCTTTTTCCCCAATCCTTTTATCTCTCTTATCAAAAGCCTTTTTTATCAAAAGCCTTATCCTTTTATCGGCTTATCAAAGGTCTTATCTCTTATCAAAGGTACGTACCGCCGAAAATATCCACACTAAAATTAGCTTAACGCTAGTCATGCAGCTAAAGCCTTAGCTTCATATCTCAGCCAATGAGAAGCCTGGGATCCAGACGCTAGTGGGGTGCACAGACGAATTGCCTAATTAGGAAATACCATCTTGGCCAAACACAACATCCCTCCTAAAAGTCGGGCATTCGCTTAGGGCCACGAATCGCAAGATTAATATCCCAAGTATCATAAGGGAAGGGGATGTGTACGCTCTGCCTCTTGCTCATATTCTTCACTTTATCTCTAAGCCAGTCGGCATCTGGGAACTCAGGATCCACGTCGACCATTGAGGTGTAACCAATACCAAGTCCAGAGTGTGGATCATCCTGTCGACAGGTCGGTTTGGATATAAGGAGAATAGTTCGATTTGGAATCCAAGTTTTAGCCGAGGGAACTTTATCCTGCCACAGCTTCAGGACGCAAGTTGCCGTATCGTCAAAGATGCTTACGTCCACCATATCAAGATCACACTGGCGTTTTTTCGAGTGGACAATTCTACGCGGTCCGACGCTTCTCACGCAGACAAGAATCCTACCCTCTGCCATATCGTATCCGGTAGAAAGATAAGCCTTTAAAGTCATGAGAGCAGGGAGATAGTTATACTCCTTTAAATTACAATCCAAAGGACGGCGCAATATACGGTGGCCATCCGAATCGGGAGTGTCGTCATGGAGGGCAATGTGGTTTGCAATGTTGCGGCCAGGATAAATCCTAGTAGAAGATGCACAAAACGGTATGTTGCCCGTACCACCCTGAGTTGAAGCAGCAATAAAAGTCGCCCAAACCGTGACTCTCTGGCCAAGAAGTAATTGGTAGTCGGATGCTTTCGCATAGTAAAGCTTAACCTACAAGATCTATTAGCGTCGAAATATAAAATAGGTCACTAGATCCTAATGGTCATACTGCAATAGCGCCTGATCCATCAGATACGACAAGGAAATGATAGCCTTGCTCTTGGGGGTTGGTAGAAAAGTTTACAATCCTCCCAGAGATTTCATAGTTAAAGGGACCAGTCTGAAGGAGTGAAATGGGACATTGTTCGTATGATCGTGGTGGCTTCCAGGGTCGTGAAAGCGGTTTCATCACTACTTCTATTTCAGATGACGTGAAACCATCCCCAGGGGCTTGAGAATCTGAGGAATCATTATTTACGTCTTCGGGATTTAACTGTACTTCCCTCGAATAGAAGGTCTGGATGGATGGGAAAGAGGTACCCATGTTGACGAAAACGGCTTGGTAAGAGGTTAGGTACCATAAAGATTGATGAGAGGTGTCGATATTCTTCTTCTAAAGTTTCCTACGTCGGCATGGATGTTGGTTTGGTAGGTGCTTCCCACCGATCCATTGGAACTTCCTTATTTTAATATCCCTAAGGACGCACCTACTTCGTTGCCATTTTCACCAGAGCACGCCTTACAAGGTAGGTACCTTAGACCGAGAGCATCAGTTACATGTATCTAATCTTGCATGTGAGGTAAGTGCGTATCAGATGTACATAAGGTACCTAAGCCGGTTTCGATAAAGGTGGCTTATTATTATTTTAGGTGCATTCGCTATATTCTTCACGCAGTCACTCATAACCCATTACGAATACCCCCACTATCCGATTTATTTTTCTCTCGTAGTATAACCCCCCTAAGAAGAATGCGCACTTCGTCTATCGTCACAGTAGCTATTTAAACAGCTTAAGGATCTAGATTGACATCTATCTATTACTATAGCTCTAGGCTCCCTTTTTGTCGGGCTGTGGCTTAAATGACTTACAGGCACCCGGGTTACAGCTGAATATTTGAACAGTCTGTGGCGAAGATGCCGAAGTAAACAACACAACATTGAAATAGTCGAAATACACTGATTTCTAATTTGTCCAGCTATCATCAACAAATCCCAATCCAGAACTCTTCGACTGAACTACCTAATTAGGTATCAACCCCTAATGTTGTTGTATGTGGTCTGTCTATCTATTTCGCAGATCCACACCTTCCTAATGGGGTCGCTGCATACTTCGGGTCACATTGCATTGATGTTATAGCTTATTTCAACGACGAAAACTTTGGCATCTTTATCATTAAGATTAATTATTGAGAGTCTTTAGAGAATATAGATAAATAGAAGGTTTCGCTATTGGTATGCTGGCTGGTTTGTAGCTCAGAAGACCGCCCAGGCTATCAACCTATCCAATCAACCCAACGTTTTATATTAGACTGTGATACTGGTAAGTAAGACTAGGGCGATAACCATGCTTGCGGTGGCAAATTATAAACAGCACGGTAATAGAGCCTAGCCGATATATCTTTTCGGGGTTGTACTATAATCTCAATATTGATCATTATTTACATAGACCCCTTGCAGGTTATATTGTAGAAAGTGGATGGACTTCCGGATAGTAATTACACAAGGTCAAGAACCCGAGAGGAGAGATATTTCATGGCTTGGATTTGTATTTGTATATATACTTTCTACACTAGGATAAATAATGTAGCCGCAGGTGGATTGCTTTGATAAATCTTGGTTTGCCCCATCATCAAAGTTTGTGGGGATAGCTTCTTTATTCGCTTCTTTTTTCGGCGATAGGCACTAAAGTTGAATCGGTAGGTAGTTACAGTAGGGTACTAATAGCGCTAATGGGAAAAGAACGCCAAATTTGCTCATGGTTAAAGCGGTAATGTAGGTAATAAAATCCTCTAGAAGGGTATGAACTAACTATGTGTTTTTAAGAACGTATTATTTCCACGGCGGTGTGACCTACCTAACCTTAGCTGGTTCACTCAACACCCCCTCCCCCGATATCGAGATTCTACAAAGCATTGCTGTTGTACAAGCTTACGGTCTTGTGGTTGTGGGGTGTAGTTGGTAATGTCAGCGCTACTTTAAGCTTAATTGACCATGGGGAACTGATATGGGGAAGATTCTGACGACATCATCTATTCCCACATGTTGTGTAAAAGGGGCTGTAAGATCTTTGGGTTATGTAATGGAGATCGATCCTCTGGGGTTTGAAGTAAAGTCTCTTATTCTCGACGTTAGCTATCCGGACACCTTAACCCCAACCCTGGAAAGCATATAACTTACGCAAGTAGTATAATGTATAACTAGTGTAAAGTATTGTTGTTCTTAGAGCGCTGTAATCGCAGGGCCAAGCATGTAAGGATGTTGAGTGTGTTTTCATAACCTTTATTTTCCCCTCTTTTGACTTATAAGCTTGATCAACGTGGAAGATCCAGCCCGCTAGCTCATAATCATTGCGCATTAAGATAATCTAAAGTCGTGTCAAGTCTAGATCGAAGTCACGCGTATCGTAAGTGGAGCATTGTGAATAATAAGATAGGTATTGGCATGGTGCTAAGCTAAAAATGATTTAACAAGGCCGCTAATTCGAATCTTTCTGACTAGAGCATCATCCATAGGATTCACCAAGACTCGAATCCAAGTATCTAACAACAAAACATGAAGCTTCACGCGGATTGCCATTTCAAGACTTCCTAATGGCGAGGAGAAATGATTTCGTCATAATTGAATGCGCTATATATAGAACCGGGATGGTAGTTAAGGGATGACTTAGGTATTAAAGCGGAGAGATCTATAGTGCTTATAATTGGTCAAATATAACGTAACGAGACGGTTGCGTGGTATTAGCCAACCAATTTTAAGAGAAATGTAATACGGTACAAGCACACACTTTACTAGATACCTAAAAAAAGGTATAAAGCAAATATGTACATGTAGTGAGCTAAGTTAGTTTCACCATGTTGTGTGTTTGCGTACCACAGTGAGGACAATCGCGGTTGTTAACAATAGCAAGACGCAAGCTCGCCGAATTAAGTACCTACAGCAAACCATACATTTGACAATTCAACACGTCTTTTTAGTCATGCATTGGGACGTCGACTCGGGCTTTGTCCGTCTGCTACGCATGTGGATAAAGTACCTAAACTTAGGATACCTAGGCTAAGCCGAACCACCATTGTGTGCACGAGTTTTAGTAGCGGGGACATGAAAGCATGGCACGTGCAACTATTTATTGCAAATAGACATGAACTAACAAAGAAAACCCAACAAAAAGCTTTAATTTGAAGTTAGAAGTCAGGGAAGATGTCAGTACTAGACCCGAGTCATTCGAGGCTATAAGACAATGCTAAACAAAAGTCCACATGGCCGGTAACTACCCTAAACGATAAACGGTCTTTTCGTTAACCGTTCCAATCAGTGAAACAAACGTTAGGATGCGACGTAGATCTGGGGCCAATCTGGGGTAACTAGCGGTGGTTAAAGTGGAGAGGCTCATTACCTATCCTAGTCTATTTCTAAGCGTATCAACGTCATCCCAGCGGAAACTAAGAAGTTCCACCAAAGTAGCCGAGCTAGCTGTCCTCGCTAACATGCTAACAAATTTTTTTTTTTCTCGCGTAGGTATTACCTTGTTAGTGCCCGAGGGTAATTGGGTGTGCTACAATCTCAAGCTTAGGACATGAAAAGGTCTTCACACTTTATGTACTTCCGAACCTGCAGGACAACTCCAAATACGCCAAGCTACTAAAACGAATTAAAGAGAAAGAAAGAAAACATCTCATTACCGACATCTATCTAGCAACCAGTGCATTACAGCAGCCGAGAAGGGCCAAAATTGCGGCTTTTCTGGTTTCCATACTAGTATCCTTCTAGTCCTTCAGTCCTCTTTTTTTCTCTCTCTCTTCTCATTGCACATTACACGTATACCTGACGCACATACGGACATACACCAAATACGCAAATACAACTCACACATACACAAGTCTTTGTGCATCTGTTTCCATTCCCCATTCCCCATTCTCCATTCTCCATTCTCTATTCTCCATCTTCCCACTACTTCCCGCTACCTTTATTTCTCCCTCGGTCTAGGTCATTGTCGCTCACCTATGGCGGTCGCGGGGTAGGCAGTCTTGTCTGCCTCATTTACAATACCTAGCTCCAGGTCTCCTCACCGCCACCAGAACGCATATTTTCTTACCTTCCCTCTTTTCTCTCTTTTGCTACCCTTCGTCTCCCTCGACGTCTCCGGCCATTTTATATTATACACCCTTTGGTTGATATTTGGTTAAATCAACACCCCCTGGAAAGTTGGTCTTCCTTACTCCAATTACGGCCTCAACGACAATTCGTTCTTAAGGTCCCACCGGGCTGCACTTATATACCTAGGTACCTAACCTAAGCAATACTGATTACAACTCGGCCAGTGCTACATGCCTTTTATTCACTTAATGTCCCCACGTAGTATAAATCTAGGAAGCACAATCGCCTTAACCTTAACGAGACCGCTTCGGTCAAATATACTATAATTCACGTTCCCTTAAAGGCATCTATCTCATCTCCTCCAAGGAGCGGATACGTTCTAATGGCCTTGCCTGAGGTACCTAGTCGCAAACGACATCCCCATACTAAATATGTCGTCAGGCAATTTCCCCAATCGCGGTCCTGCGGTCTTTGCTGTGACCATAGCGACGCTTGTCCTGACTAGTTGCATCGTTGCGGCAAGGCTGTTCTGTCGGATCCGTATCGTACGAAGAGTTACATGGGACGACTACTTCATCGTTATTGCCTGGATTATAGCTTTTGCTCTTAGCTTTGCCATCGATCTGGGTGCCAGTAAGGGACTCGGCCGACACGATGAGGACATACCTGCTGAAAATTGGGACACTCTGCGGCGTTCCGAATATGCCTTTTCAGTGCTATATGTAAGCCCAATCCCACCGTAGAGGGTACGTTGAGCTCGAATCTAACCATACCGTAGAACCCGGCCTTGATGGCTACAAAGACGTCCGTTTTAATATTCTACCTCCGTCTGTCTAAGAATACGCAGAGGGTACTACGACTAGCTTCGTGGGCTGTTCTGGTTATTGTCAACCTAGCTGGCACAGTCTTGACATTGATCAACATCTTTCAGTGCCGCCCGGTCCAAGCGGCATTTGATCCATATCCCGATACGGCTTACTGCATCCCATTGCTTACCGAATTCATATGTTCGGCACCGGTCAACGTTGTAACGGACCTCGCGATCTTAGCTTTGCCATTGCCTGTTCTAACTAGCATGAGGCTTCCACGGCGACAGAAAATCATTCTAATATTCACGTTCGCTTTGGGTATATTTGTTACTATAGTTGACGTCGTCCGCATCTACTACCTCGAACAGGCCATCACTCAGGTATCCTCAACAGCCTCAAGTAACCCAGAGGCGACATTCGGAAATTCGTCTCAATTCGCCTGGAACGCATCCTTTTCCCTCATGTGGTCTGCTGTCGAAGTCAATGTTGGTATAATCTGTGCATGCATTCCAACACTGAAGCCTCTCATCCGTCGTATCTTGCCTGCTATGCTAGCTGGCCCCAATGCGACCCGGACATACGACAAGGACACCTCGACAGACGGGAATGGAAGCTCGAATACTGGTCGACCCCCAACCTCCGGTATTCTAACTGACGACCAGGTCACATCACCTTCTCAAACACATGCGGCAGGTAGTCGAGATAGTCAGGTATCTGCCCTCGATTTTCTCACTACGCCAGACATGAACTCGCATCCAATTCCTACGCCAGATCCGCTTGATCGATCGCCTACTGCGCTAACGAGCGCCACGGGCACCTACTCGACATTCGAAAACTCAGTGTATTTTGGCTTCGTGAACATGCGTCGGCCAAAAAGCATGATTAGGACCTCTGTCCGGGACTCTTTCAAGTATTGTACTGTGGTCACAATCTTGTTTTTGTTGTGGGGGTTCTCCTATGGCCTTCTTAACCAGCTCAACGACGCGGTCGCCTCGGTCTCAGGCATGTCAATAGCTGAAACGATAGGATTATCTTCAATTTACTTCGGAGGAGGCTATCTAATTGGCCCACTGCTCGTTGGCGAGTGGATCTTGCGACATGACGAGCATTCCCGGTCGAGAAAGAAGAAAAACGGCCCGGACCAGATCGGCGGTTATAGGGCAACGTTCATTGTAGGACTCTGTTTCTATGGCGTGGGAACAATTATGTTTTGGCCTAGCGCTGTTCTGACTTCGTTCGCCGGCTTTATGATTTGCAACTTCGTTGTCGGATTCGGTTTGGCGATCATTGAAACAGGGGCCAATCCATTTCTTGTATTTTGCGGGCCGATGGATTATGCAGAAATGAGGCTTTGTTTAGCCCAAGGAATCCAGGCTATTACCACCGTCTTGAGCGGACTTCTAGCCCAGAAGATATTCTTCACTGCCGACAGCACAGAGCCATTATCACTACTGGACGTCCAATGGACGTACTTGGCCATTACGCTTCTCTGCGCAGCACTTGCTCTCTTCTTTTATTACATGCCGTTACCGGAGGTTACCGATGCTGAGATGGAACACTCTACACGTTATCTCCCGGTGGACCCCCAAAAACGTAGCTGCGGCGGGCTAAAACTCCGGACCTGGACCTTGACGTTGGCGGTTTTGGCCCAATGGACATATGTTGCGGGTCAAGAAACCACCAGTATCTTTTTCCACGAAATCCTGACGCAACAGGATCGCGTGCAAACCCCACCAGGTTCTAGGGACACGACAAAAGAATCGTTGCAGCCTCCACCGGGTCTCGCGCTTTCAGTTCCGAACTATCTTCTTATTGCTCATTCTGCTTTCGCCCTTTCGCGTTTTGTTGCCGCATATCTCGCATATCTCTCCCCGACTCATCCAAAGGTGCCACAGCCACGCACAGTCTTGAGCATCACGACCGGACTGAGCATCATCTGTGGTATTTTAGTAGCAGCTCTCCGTGAGACTAACCCGAATCTTATCGCCATCCCTTTGATCCTTTTCTTCTTCTTTGAGGGACCTATGTGGCCTCTCATATTCACACTTGGGCTTCGCGGACAGGGAAAACGTACGAAACGAGCAGCGGCGTGGATCACCATGGGAGCATCCGGGCCGGCATTCTGGCCATATGTCGTTTATGCGATCACCGAGAAAGGTGGTAGTGTTCAGACAGCTTTCAGCTTGGTTCCCGCTCTTCTCGTTGTTACTGGATTCTTTTCTCTCTTTTTGGATTTGAAACGCGACGCCCGTGCGTTGGTTGATGCTCGAGTCGGCGCCGAGGACCAGTCTAAAATACAGGACCGAGCTAATCGGGATATGGACCTCGACACCATTCTTGCAGCACGGCGAAGGGCTTCGGTGGGTTTAATGCCTATCGATGAGGAGAAGTCTAATTTCCTCAAGCGTTTTTCAGTCGCCTTGAGCAAAGGGAGCACTGCGCTCCCAGGGAGAAAAGGCTCCGACCCTGGAGCAGCCGCAGAACTCCACGGGATAAATGGTGGCAGTCCCGGCAGTCCCGGCAGCCCTGGTTGAGACAGAGTGCAAAGAACCAAGGTGTAAATGAAATCCATAATAGCTATTAACAACTAGTCAGCATAATACCCCTTCCGAGCCGACTTCCTAGGGATACAGAATTACCGAATCGGTTCCGGCTGAGAGGAGAACGAGATGCGCCACGAGGTGAATTTGTGAGCCCTTGAGCTCTAACTCTAAATAATGGCTATTCTACTTATTCTCAAAATTTCGGTACTTCGTTGCTTTAGCGGATGGGGATACTCACCGAAAATTTTCGATTTGCTTTACTTCAGCTTTACTTCATATGCTCTCGGAAATATTCTAGAGATCCTCACTTGGTGTACAGGGGATGAGTTCGCTAGAAACTGTCATTGCGAAGGTACGATCACAGGTATTCGCGAGATTTTCTCTGCTAATAGGATATCGACAGAAGATCATGACGATGAAAGAGTATATATAATCTACGTATCAGCGCTTGAACGTGTTCGGGAGATTTGGGGCATGTAGAAACCCCTAGGACTCAATCAAAGCTGATGAGCTAAGTTGCGGTCCCTAATGACGAGCCGCTTACATTCAGGAGTCGAGTTATACGGCGGGGTTCGCCTTGCGCAATTGATATTGCGAAGATATAATTAGATAACCCGAATGAGAACCCAGTTCATGCTAGATACAGCAGTGCGGTAGATAGCTCCATTGAAGTTTGATACGATGTCGACAGTGTCTTTGAATACTTATTCCAGCACTAATCAACCTACGGATATTTGCCGTGCACCTTAGAGACGACCGGAAGCCTCGGGGTATTTAAAATTATCGACATTTATGGGGTCGGAGACCGTAAAGCAAATCCTTATTGGCTAATACATTCCAATAGCAATTCCCAACCACCAGGTATCAAAGAAAAGGAGAATTACCTATCCTAGTAGTGCCGGGGTAAATTACCTGTTATTCGAAGACCGAGCAATATGCATATAAGAGCTTACATGCGCCAAGCAGAACGGAATACTACTACATAGCCCTGGACATGACCAGTACTGGAACACGACTTATTATGAGCTTACCAATCAGCTAATCCATAACAGGCATCTGAGTGATGTCTTCAATCTTAGATTCTATCGTACAACATCATACAACACTCTCATTTTATTTATATATTTTATATATATATATTACTTCAGTCTTGCTTTTGTTCCTAGGTATTTACCTAATTTTCCCTATTATATTAGACTTAAATATAGAGGAAGCATAAACGAGAGATTATCGTGTTAGCACTTCGGTATCGTGGATGTTGTGGGTCCGAGAGCCCTGGTATTCTTGAAGTCATCATGACCCCCCAACCCGAGTCTTCCAGCGGCTCTCCCTCCAAAGCTAGTCCGGGAGAGCCTGTCGGTTCTAAGGATTGGCCCTCAGTAGATGATTCTGTCACGGAGGAGACACCGCTCCTGCGCTCCGAGTCGAGTTCTCCGGCCGCGGGCAGTGTATCATCTGCCACCTCTGAACTCTCGCAAGATGAAGACTCTCCTGACTTAGACACCCCGAACCAGAGGGTTAGTCGGGCACGAGGCCTAGCTATCGTACTTAGTGTCTACCTTCTGATATTCTTACAAGGTAGGCTCGACTTTAAACCCCTGTTCGCTAGTAATCACCTGTCTGGTACTAACGCTGTCAACAAACAGCAACCAACATGTCGGGTATTACCATGGCGCAGTCAACGATAGCAGCCGACCTAGACTCATACGAGAATGCAATGTGGTTCACGACAGCGTTCCTCGTAGCGATGTCCTCGTCGACGCCCCTGGTCGGGAAGTTGGCCTCTATCTTTTCGCCTCGTACCATGGTATTATATTCGTCCACGCTCTTCGCTGCTGGATGCTTCATAACGTCACAGGCTCGCTCATTCCCGGTCTTTATCCTGGGGCGCCTCGTCACGGGATTAGGTGCCGGCAGCTCCACGGCCTTGGCCATCGTCCTCATTCTCGAGCTAACAACGAAACGAAAGCGAGGGCTGTTCGTTGGACTGCTGTAAGTTGTCATGTGAATTAATTAATTTATATCTACCATATATCGAGATGTATTCAGGGTATAACGTGTTCTAACATTTTTGATCAGGAATGCCGGCTTCACTACGGGCGTCTCATTAGGGGCTGTCTTATCCGGTGCGCTGATATCTGTAACTGGCTGGGTAAGGGTACCATCTTCCCTGAACTGAAATACACGAACTTACATCGTCATTTAGAGAGTTCTCTTTTGGGTCCAAGTCCCTCCTAGCTTAATCGCCGGGCTCGGAATTTACTTCAGTATCCCGCATACGTTCTCGTCGGGGCAAGGCTCTAAAGACGGTTCGCTATCCACAAAGCTGAAGCGGATCGATTATCCAGGCGCTCTGTTCTTGGTAAGCTTCAAGGTTAAATGCATACGTGCAAATCGACACCTCGCTAACCTACCTCATGCAGACCGCCACTGTTGTGCTTTTCCTATATGGGCTGTCTGGTACTATCCAGGCCGTTCCGCTTATCATCTCGTTAGCGACACTTATCATCTTCGTGTTGATTGAGTACTATGTTGCGGTTGACCCTATTATTCCGATTACCGTCATTCAGAACCGAGGGGCCATGTTAACATGTGTTTCCCAACTTGGTTTCATGGCAGCTCGCTGGACGGTGTTGTTCTATGCTCCGATCACAGCACTCGCGGTGCGCGGCTTCACCCCAGCGACCAGTGGTAGTATTCTTATACCCACGAACTTAGGATTCGGCCTTGGTGGACTTCTTGTTGGTGTAAGTTGTTCCTATCCTTGTTAGTTTTCGACAGTTTACTAACAGCGCTCCAGTGGCTACATGTTCGCCGCATTGGGAGCTTCTGGGCTTCTTGCGTCGTATCTTTCATCCTCTTCGCTGCAAGCCTCTTTGCGCTCTCGCTGGCATCCACTCCAGATATCCCGATTTCCCTATACATCATTACCGTCTTCCTAAACGGTCTCTTCGCCGGTGCAGCGCTAAATTATACACTCGCGCATCTACTACATCTAACTTTACCGGATACTCACTATATAGCTACCAGCCTGCTCGGCACATTTAGAGGATTTGCGGGCAGCTTCGGCAGCGCGATCGGTGGCGGCATCTTCTCCAGGACACTACGAGCATCTCTGGAACAGGGATTCAAGTCAATCGATGGCCCTAACGGCCCCGAGAACCGCAGTGAGCTAATTAGGAAGCTTATCGGCAGTCCGGCTTTAGTCTTCAATGGCGGCCTTGGAGCCGAAGAGCAGGCAATCGCAGTACAAGGTTACGTTGACGGGCTAAAAGTTCTATTCCAGGCTGCCGTGGTTCTGTCCATAATCGTCTCGGTTGTCCAAGCTGCTACGGGGTGGAAGGGTCCAGGGGATAAGCCGAAGTACCGGGAGAGCGGGAGCAGCAATGCTCTACGTGATGAGGTGAGTGAAGATGGACAGTAGTTCAGTTGATAGATTAGACTTCCGTTAGTTAACTCCTAAATGATAATAAAATATTCTTGTCAAGAGCAATATCCGTGCTATTTCAGACGATATACCATGATTAAATAGGTGAAGTAAAAAACTCGGTTATATTACCGCTTATTACCGCTCGACCAACCTTCGGATCAGATGTACATACCGAACAACGGACAGTGCAAACACTGTAGGACTTCGGCATTCTATCATTTAGCTTCTGTCAGTTTGGAGAAAGAACTCCAACTATATCGTCAACCAAGCTCGCGATTGGTGGGAGATATTGTTCATTACAACTTCCCCGCCAAGCGGAGGTGTGTGAGCGATACGGGACTTGTTTTGCATAAAGGGGTCTTATATATATATATATATTTACCGTCTCTAGTTTATACTATCAAGAAGCTACTTTTTAGTTCTTATTCTACTTATCACGTACCTTAGGTAGTTAATTGAACAAGTTCATAGTCGCAAAATGTCTACCACAGAGACGATCACCAAGACAACTCCATCCTTCTCCATCGCTGAGAGAACCTCGGTTAATGGGTCCAACGGAAAGGAAAGGATTGAGAACCCTCCCCAAATCCAAGTCACCGGTACGACGAAGAGCGGAAAGAAACTAAGCATTAGGACTTACCCCAAGTTCGAGAACCTGGAAGACGAGCGGCTCTATCGGAAACAGCACCTAGCGGCAGCATTCCGGGTCTTCGCCGACCGTGGCTTCGACGAAGGCGTTGCGGGGCACATATCTGTCCGGGATCCCATTCTAACCGATCACTTCTGTAAAGTCCCAAGCCGCTATGAATTCATATTTCTAACCCTGGTCTTAGGGCTGAACCCGCTCTCGATGCACTTCTCGCTGATCAAGGTGTCCGATCTGATCCTTTGCGACGAAGATGGCAACGTGGTCGAAGGCGACGAGCCCGTGAACGCAGCCGCTTTCGCAATCCACTCGCAAATTCATAAGGCGCGGCCGGATGTGCATGCGGCGTGCCACGCGCATAGCGTCCATGGAAAGGCGTTTTCGGTCTTCGGCCGGGAGCTAGAGATGATTACTCAAGATGCCTGTCGCTTCTACAAGAGCCACGGAGTATACCGGGACTTCAGAGGCGTGGTTCTCGATAGCGAAGAGGGAAGGAGAATCGCCAAGGCCCTTGGAAACGGGAAGGCTGTTATCCTCCAGAACCACGGTCTACTCACTGTTGGTGGTAGTGTCGACGAAGCGGCTTTCTGGTTCATTAGTCTCGAGAGGACCTGCCAAGCTCAATTACTCGCGGATGCAGCTTCGGTTTCAGGACACAAGAAAATTCTCATTGACGACGATGAAGCCTCTTATACTTCTCTTCAGGTTGGAGGTCCTGAGAAGGGATGGCTTGCTTTTCAGCCATGTAAGATTTTGCTAATTGACACTCGTCCACGAAAGCTTTATCCCCCCCCCCCTTTCATAGCACTATGATATTGGTAGAATCTCTCTGACATGTACTAGATTATGATGAGCAACTCGCAAAAACGAAAGGCGATTTTTTAAATTAATAGCCCAGCTCTTCTCATTTTCTATCTATATACCGGCCAACCGAAATTGATGACCAAGGGGGAATATCACAACGGCCTATATTTCCTATTTACAAGTTGCCTATTAGGAAAGTTTTCGCGGAAAGGTAATTAGGTACCTATTCATGATTTATACTGTACACAGGACCTACATATGTATGTAGCTACGTGGTGGCTTAGCTCTACATTTTCTTTCATATGACCTAGGTACCTAACGTATAGTCACACGTGTATGACTACCTACCTACCTACCTACCTCCTATATAGGTATGTACCTCAAATACCTAACCTATACCAAAGTCCCATAGCTCCTACTCAAAAGCGAAAGAAAAAACATGCGCAAATTGGATCAAGTAGCTGGATTGCTATGAACATGTGTTCATACAATTCATCCCTTGTGATATCATGAGCTGTCATTATGACTTGTCTATGTATAACGTTGCTTAGCAACGCCGCCGGCTCCCATGCCATAAATACAATCCCTATCTTCATATTCTGGTATTTATGGAGCTAAATATTTTAGATCAAAAGAATGGTCAGAAGAAGGGTGTTCAAAATAGACAGAACACCAGAATCAGTCCAAGTCACCCAAAACCAGTTGAATCTCTCGTGCATCCCACCGCGTCTAATTCAAAAATACAGATCAAACCCCCTCATTCACTCTCAAAAATATCTGGTTTATTCTAACATATTATCATTAGTTTCTCTAATCGCATCCCATTCTTGTATCCCCCCAAGATGGCAGGAAAACAGAAGAAGGCGGAAAACGCTACAGCCAAAGCTATATCTAATGATATCGTGGAAATGTACAACAGAGGAATCCCACTATTCACAAAAGAGAGTATCCTTCAAATCGCTATGCAGCTTGACAAGTACAGAGACGATGAGCTAGAAGGTACCAAACTCCACTTCACCAATATGAAGGGAGAAGGTGTCGAAATTACCCTCGACCCGAACAAGCCGCCAGTTTGGGTGGATAGGCGGTGCAACCATGGTTACAAACGGTAAGAAGTTTATAAAATTACTCTTTTTTTCCAATTTGAAGTCATATACTAACTTCTCAAAAGTGTTGGCCCGTATATATACTACCGTTCAATACAAAACATCCTTGCTCAAGAAGACATGGTGACCCCCAACCCCCAGAAAGCTTGCCTCGGAATAGGGGTTACGTGGCCAGGCCCATGCCCAGTGGTACATCACCACAAGGTGCCTTCGCCCGATGCAACTCTGTCCACCGTCTTCTCTACGGCGGAGCTAAGTCAAGTATTCAACAGCGTGAGACGGCAGTGGGAGACGAGCGAACAGTACAACCAGCTCAAAAAGCTACTCAAGTCGAAAAGATCGCAGTTATCCAACGTCAAGAAAATTGTTGCTTTCGCCTTGGGAACGCTAACCAATGGCTCGAGAATTTCAAATCCTTCGATGGTCCAGCACGCGCTTGTCCTCAGTCTTCAGCAGATGCTATCGAAGACGAAAGGGGGCGACAACAGGATCTCCGGAATATTCCAGACCATTAAGGGCTCCTTGTCGAATAGCAAGGCGGCTGAGCTTCCAATCCCGTGTTTTGCGCAAGATCCGGCTTACTTGCCCCGAGACAAGACGGTCCTGTCGGAGGCAGGAATCACGGTTATAGAGGATCCTTGGGCGTTTCTGGAAGTGGACCATACGAGTCTCGTAGTGTCTGTTGATCCTAACATTCCTGTGCGACAGATCATTGCTGATATCGCACGCCCTGTGGCGATTATCCAACACAGAATGATGGAGATGAATGGGCCAAAGTCTCGAGCTTGGTAAGTTTTGCCCCTGCTTTTTCGATATTGTAGGATACCACTAATCACCTACGAATTCTTCCAGTGCTGATCACTCATCTACGCGAGTTCAACGGATGCTAGAAGATGAGTACGATGAGGAACATATAGCTTATCATGAATCTTTACACGACGTTGTCATGTACATCAGAAAGCCCATCCGCGAGTAAAAATCATGTAACCAACTTAACTTCTTAGTTCAGTTTAAACTGGCTGTTTCTATTAGAGCTAATTACTCGATACCGCTAGGTATAGCTTCAAGCTAACAAACACAAGCTAACAAACACATATACATGCCTATGCTATCGTATCATAATAACCCACGCTCTCAAAGGGGAGAATACCTAGAACCTGAAAGCTACTCTTCCCCCAAAAAGAAAAACCAGACCGAATTCTCAACGATCGTAAAATTATACGGAGTTCGAAATTTAACCGCCACGAGAAGAAGTATTAATAGTTCAAAGAGCGTGGTAATACTTTTCCGCAGTCTCGACCATTTTTTTTAGAAATCACCGCTCGCCACCTCCTGAAGCAGCAGCTAGAGGGGCCGTTCGCGCCCCGGCCTGATTTTCAATCATCATCACCGCAGCAGATCTTGTTGATCCAATACGCGCAGCAGCCGCAGGGTTCTCTGACACAGTTTCCGGTATCCCCGCCGCGGAATGTGAATTCGCTGCTCTCGCTCCCACCCGGCGCGGCTTGGGTGGCTTCAACTCTACCCCGTAATAGGCCCTCCGCCCGCCGCCCTTGCGGCTGTGGCCTCTGGATCGAACTCTGCCCCTGTTGGTTATCATGGCAGGCTTGTTTGGTGGTGGTGGTTTTCTTGGTAGCAGCCGGCTTAGCCGGTCCTGGCTGGCCGGCGTGGGCCCCTCTGGTCATCGGAACGAGCGGGACGTCCTCGTACTCCGGCTCGCTACTCTTGCTGCCCCTTTGCGCTGCCGGGATATTCGGTCCTGACTTGTCAGAGACTTGTCGACCCAAGCTACTAGGACGGTTATTAGAGAGATATAGCCTCGCAAACGCTTGATGGTTATGGGGCTAAGGATAACGCACCCAAACAATCTTCGCAGAGGCTTAGAACCGTTGGCATTCCCGCTTCTGGCATTTCCGGTGGTATCACCACCTTGAGAAGACTTTTCGTGTTTAGGTGTGCTACTACTGCCTTGAGCAAGACTCCCATGCTGGGGTTCAGCTGTCATCGGAAGATGAGGTCGAGGTCCTTTTTGAACAGTGCGATCCATTTTTACCGTTATATTATGTAGGTGGTATGGTATAAATTAAACGATAGACTGTGCTGCGTGTTATTCGGCAATGTTTGACGGGATACTTGATGCTTGGGTCCAAAATTAAATGATAGTCAGCTAGATAATTCCTCAATGTTGTAAGATGTAAGATGTAAGAGAGAGGAGAGAGATTTTGTAGGCAGAAGCCTCTCCTCTCTCTCTCTCTTGCCCTGGCTCGGCCATAGTTTCCATCCGCGAGTGAGTGAATAAGGAAGCCATGATGAAGATATTCATTTTATATTCGATGTCAGGCAGGAAACATCTGACATCCAACGCGTTAGGCAGGTATACCTATATACCTAATGACGTGTGTCCCCCAGTGGTGCGTCCGGGTGAGTTCATTTCTGTTGGTGATCCTGGATTCGAGGAGGCCAGCTGAGGCCGACGTTTCACGAAATGCTGGCATACATGTAATCACACACACCATGATCCTCTATTAGCTCACCATATGGCATAATATTCACAATCAATACGAAAGTAAGCGGGAGCGTATGAGTTGATAGGAATCGTAAAAGTAAATTAATGCTTGACCTAAGCGTTTCGCTGCGAGGCCTTATCAATGGGCCGACGGCATAACCAATATGCTCATCACGCCGGTTTCAATATTAAGCGCTGGTGATGCGGCATGAATACCTACCTCTCTTCATTTCCAAGTAAGCGCTAAGCCCATGATACGATTTACCTACCTCACCGAAACCGCCGTGGCTAATGATTATTCACATTTAAGCCTCATCTGATTGAGCGATAGGAGCAGTTAATTTTAAAAAAATTCACCCGATTTGTCGTGGTCATCTTCGATTTCGTACAAGTGCTTGCGCGTATTGTTTAAGCTCTTTGGTCTCATTTCAAAAATCGCGCCGCATTTCTTACATACCTACCTAGGTAGGTACCTTGGGCACTTCACTAATTTACTTTCAATATACGCACCGGATATTACATCGTAGGAAATGACCAGATATTTCACCTAACTCATCCTGAGTCTACTGTAAGTTTCTGACGGGGATATATTCATGAGCCCATAGGTGGTAGTTTACCGCTTCTCAAGGTTCAATGTCCTACTTATGCCTATACCTCTTCCCAAATGTAGTTTAATCATCATGTCTTCATCAGCTTTGTCTACGAATGGTGCTTTAGTTGTAGCTATAAAATTGTTGAAATGAGTGGGCAAGGGACTACTTTCAGGTACAGCAGATGGGATCTTGGCATGGAATGTATATATAAGAAGGACCTCCCTCCTGGCTCATACAGTTGATAGATTGAGTCACCCTACAAGTACAGCTCATATAGCGTATCTTTCAGAAAAGATATAGTGCTTATTCGTTGATATGTTAACGACTTTACACTGTTCTACAGCTAGTAGTTGGTAAGTTATTACCTAATATATAAACCTAGTATCCACGAAGACTTCTTAGGGCCTTATATTTAAACCTTTTCCGTTATCATCTTCAAATTTAGGTATATATTCTAGCACTCGTTCACCTGCCAGGACGTAGCCGCCGATATCCTAGATGAATGGACCAATTTCCAGGCTTATCAACAACCTGGAAAGAACGTCAAGGCAGCTTTTCCTGCTCTATATAGTCAAGAAGCCGACCCCATAGAGGTAGACACCGAAGCGTCTACATCCGAAAACAAGGGAAACTCTCGACATTCCCAAAAGGGACGAGGAGGGACCCAAGCAGGTAAAGGCAAAGGAAAGAGGGTTGGCAGAAGTGGAAAACGGGAAGCGATGCCCAGCGTGTTTGCTCTTCTACCCGGAAAGATGGAGGCGTCATTTGTGATTACACACAAGGCGCATGGAATATTTACCATGACCATTTATCCATCAAAGAACTTAGCCATGCTGGATTCCGGAACTACGCTTCATATCTTCAACATGATGACTCGTTTCTTGAACTTCAGAAGAGCGCTGGAAGGGGACTACATCTATGCAGGTGATGTCCGGATACCTTTCCTAGGATACGGAGAGGTATATATCAAGGTTCACATCCCTTATAGGGTACACATTATGCGATTGTATGATGTAGCTTACTACGGAAACTTTATCTATAACCTAATATCACTTCGCCTACTCCGAAGGAAAAGATACTAGTGGGATAACAAATCTCCTAACAACTGCTTACAACGGAAAGATAGTTTTAGGTATTGTTTGCAATCTCACCGGTAGATTCAACCAGTTCGTCATGGAAAATATCCCGCTATCTATAACGAAAACGTCATTTAGAGCACGCGAAGTCACATACAACTCATACAACTCATAAACAAAACGACCACCACAATCCGTTTCAAAAACAAAAAAAAAAAAAAAAAAAAAAACCTTTAGCACCTACAACTTAGACATCCAGGGCCTAAAATGTTAAACCACCTCTCCGAGCACTCTCGGGGCGTACAGGTAAAAGCAGCGGTCTCAACAAGCCAAGTCAAGCAAGTTTTTATTAAAAGCCTGGCCGCACCCAGTTCAAGTCAAATATATGACTTTTTTTATTTAATTGACGATAATTACGGACTGGCTTGGGTCCCGGAGCCGGATTAGTCTTAGTCCGGCAGTACTGATTTCGAACCCACATAAGCCACAAAAGCCACATGCCTTAGGTAGCCACATACCCAGCCACACACAACCTACCTACCTATGTAGGAAGCTTCTCCAAGCATCCATGGATCTAAATTACCCCTGCCGCACATCACTCTAATTTGGTAGCCAATTAGGGGCAATCGCCCGACAAGCTATTACTTTAGGTATGTATTCCGTTATATATTGACCTAATACAAGCAGCTATTATAGGCTTATTATGGAGCGGTTTGTAAGCGCACGAATACATGCGTTATGCGCCGAGAGGGGTAATACGCAAGATTAGGTTGACGGGATCTCACCGCCCCCAAAGGCACGGGAGGCTATCAGCGGTTGAAAATCAAGGAAGATGCTACCATGTTCGTGGTTCGTGGGTTTTTGACACATGTGAAATGGCGCGAGTCTTAAGCGAATGCCCGACATACTGCCCTGCCATCAAGTGATATATCATATACATATGAGGTGATATATGAGGTAGGTCCAGACTCCACCTGATTAGCAATTGCTTACGCAGTTATAAGTCTCAGGGTATTAATACCAGTCTTAGAAGTGAATGTATGGCTCGTGGGAACACAACGGGGCGGCTTTGCTCCTTCGAGTAAGTCTTTGACAGCTATCATGATCTAGAACGGACTCCATCTAAGTATATATGGGTGCATGGGTAACTTGATTATGCATTGATGGGCCTCCCCTCACATTCTAGCAAATATCCATACCATCGCCAAGCAACCATGAAATTCATAGTTTATACAGCTTTCTGCGCTCTAGTCGCTACTACTGCAGCTCTCCCGCAAGACATCTCTGGCTCGGGGCAGATTTACGTCATTAACAGCACCGACTTTCAGAATGCCTCTCCCGCCGATAGCATCGGGTGTCTAGACGCGAAGGGCAGCTTTTCCGAGTCGGACTGCGCGACCTTCACCCGGCTCGACACTTATCCCAACACGCTTTCCAGCAGCGCCGGCAACTGCACGTTCAGAGACTCTACGCAGCCGGCCAACACGGACAATGTGTATGGCTCCAGGTCGTACTCCTACTTTTGTCGGGAAGATTATGAAGCGTCAATTGCGGATATTCTGTATACCATCAATGTTCGTTATACTCTTACTATACTACACGCTTAACACGCGCACTGACGTTACTAGGGATTCAACTACCCGTTCCTGTGCCACGGGGATACCAACTGCTTCTATGACGTCAAGACTATCCCCAGAAATAAAACCATCGCACCCGTCTGGGAGTATGTATGGGGATCTCAGCAGACGGGGGTTCCTAAGGGACACACCCAAGTGATGTGGTACTGGAAGAAGATCTCTTAGTCCGGCGTTATGAATACGTCGGGCAGTAGTAATGGGTAGCTAGGATGTGAGGCCTATCTGTTGCAGCTATGCTGGATATCCAATGCGGAATCGGGTTGGGGATGGACTTCTGCTTTGCTTAGGTGGTGTTAAGTTGGTAAAAGCGTGTGTTTTAACGGCTTACTCTTCCTTTGTGGCAGCGAATTGCGTTTACAAGCTCCTTAGCCGTATTCTAAGTTTCTTGACGTGAGACTACATTCGCTTTATAAGTTAACACTCAGTAATAGAAGTAAAGGCTTATATTTGAGATTCTTGGATTGATTCATTACCCCTGCCTTAGATAGGTATCTACCTCTTCAGTATTCTAGCAAGAGTCTAGCTGTCACTCATGGGAATTATCAATCATAACAGCCCCTCATCGTTGCCTCGAACTGTCATGGACATAGAGTGTAATTCATTATTAACAGGTATTCACATACCATATTTACAGTCGAGACTTGCCTATGGTTACCGAGACAGATGAGGATATAGGAGTTCGATGCTTATCATATTAACCCCTACTTAACTAACGAACAAGCACCTCATTCTCAACTCATCCCATCCCATCCCATCTCATCTCATCCCCCTCAACTGTCCCCCCTCGGAATCCTAAAAATCGGATACTCATCCCCCTCCTGCACCGGCACAAGATTAAACCGCACATACGAATCGACATTCTCCGGCTCGAGCGCCACAAACGCCAGCGCGGCATTCTTCTGCCTGGTACCAACCCGGAAGCTTCCCGGCGGAAGCACAAGCTCCCCCTCCTTCCGCACGGACTTCGTCGTCGCCACCGTGACTTGCACCGCGCCCTCGTAGTACCCCCTTGCGACTGATGCTGATGTGATTGTGAGCGCTTCGGCTGGGCCGCGGTACCCATCTTTTAGTGTCTCGACGACGACTCCGGAGTCGCGGAGGCGGGATGCTAGGTCGGACCATGTTCGTGGGATTAGGTATGCTTCGGGGCGGGCGCGTGTTTGGTTTGCGGTGGTGGGTGTTGTGCTGAGGAAGGTTACGGGGACTTGTGTAAGCTGCCCGTTGGTGCGGTTGATGAAGGTAATGTTGCGGTTCGTTGGATTGGGGTAGTCTGTTAGTATGATAGGATCGTCACTGTGGATGAACTTGTCTATAGCACCCTCGACCTGTAAACATTAGTTAGTATCGAGCCTACCTCAACTTGCCCCTGAAAGGTACCTAAGACATCAACTTCGGCGATCAAGGTAAAAGAGACTTACCGTCTGATACACCTCCTCAAAATTCTCCACCGCAATATCCAATATCCCCCCAACCATACTCAACGCCGTAGAAACCCTCCTCTGAAAATGCTGATCCGCAAGCCTAATCCCCCTAACCTCGCACAGAATCGTCACGCTCTGCGCCAGCGCATAATTATTCCTTCCGCTCTTCGCATCGCTCCCCGCCTCGTCGAGCACGATATCCGATCCCGTCGAGGCTCCCGTGAAATACGGTTCCCACCGGAATCCCTTCTGCACTAAACGCTTTCCGATGCCTGCGGAGAAGAGCACCTCCGAGATGTTCCGGATGTCGGGGTGCGTGTTGAGGTTCTTGCCCGCGGCGATCAGAGCGTCCATCCCGTGCTTGTATATCCCGTTGCTTCCGGAGGGCCGGGTCCCTGTGAACTCGTGCATGTCGACTGTAATATGCGGCGCGAAGGAACTAAGGAGACGCTTGTGCCCCCTGGATATTTCTCGGAAGAGCTTCGTATGTTCGCGGTTCGGGTCTAAGTTGCTTGCCAGAGCGCGCTGGAAGTATGCGACTCCGTCCGGATTATACCGGGGCAGCAGCGTGATATCCAGCCGCTCGAGCAGGCGTTCCCTCCAGCCGTGATCTGCATCCAGCTTACCCAGCAGTGCGAGAACTGCCTGGTCTCCCGCGGGCTCATTTCCATGCACGCCGCCCTGGATCCAGACACGGAGTTTTGGCTCCTTGGTTCCTTGCGAGGACGGACTTGAGAGAACTACGTAAGGGAACGCGCGCCCTTCCTCCGAGGTGAAGTCTGCAACCTTATATTGCACCCAGCCATTCCGCTCCGCTATTGAGCGCAGGAATAAGTCTACTTTTCGTTAGTATGATAGCCATATGAGAAATATTTGGACACATATAAAGGCTTCTGTTCATCAGGTACATACCAAGTGTCGCATCATCGGTCGGTCCATCCGTACCATTAGCAAAACCCAGTAAGACGCTCCCTAGGTCTGCAAACGCCGGTGAGAATAGCGTTTCATTGGTGTTGGGGAAATTCGCTGCTATAAGCTCCTCATCTTTCTCGACCGGGGCGTGGTTCTCGCCATAGTTGACGGCGGCAACAAAAGGACTACATAAAAACAAGAGCGTCTGGAACAGTGTCCAACCCTTGAGCGCCAAGGGACTCATCTTGAAAGGGCGCTTACAGTGCTTAAGAAGGTAGTGCTTTGAATGATAGCACGTGAAATCGCCTGGCTAACACAGCATACGAGCCTCTTTTTCATACCAATAGATAATTAAGAGTAGGTAGGTACCTAGTTATCAAGTCTACACCTTTAAAATCCTCATCTCAGCTACATCATTTCAAAAAGCGAATGCTATTTCATATGCAGGTGCACGACCACTCATAGGATAGCGCCCATCTCGCCATTTTGCGCCTGCAATGGCGTCAGGTACCAGCCGGATATAGTTACAATTTAGCATAGCGCAAGTGCAAAGATATCCGAAAAGGTAGTATTAATTGACGTATAATGGCGATGCCAAGAGAACGTAGTAATTCTCCTAGCTCAGTGAGGCAGGTCAAGTGTTCTCTTGTGGGGGATGGGGGATGGGAGGGGAGGGGGAGCCTCTAAAGTGTAACCACAATTAGTGAGGAAAGTCTCGCGATAATAACATCTAGAGAATCATATTGCTTAGAACCCAGAGTATTCTCTAGTCCTTATTTCCAGCACTCATTATAGAGATAACCTCAAATAGAAATATAGCTAAGCTAATAGAGGTCAACTTGCTAACATTAGATACTAAAACGAGACCCTATCCTCACTTGCTACTAAACTCCTCCTATGCATTTATTATTACCATGGGAAAGTGTCAATCCGTGCTTCATTAACCATGCTTCGTCTCTCTGAACCTCATTCATATTATCGTCAATCTGTCATATCACATCCGCAGGATGAATGCCATTCATTCACACAACACCACGCAATTACGTAACACACCTGGGGAGGCAGCAAGGTCCATCGTGAACCTTGCTACTGCATTGACTTTTGTTATGTAAACAATTCTCCCTTCCACGCCGATATCTCTATGCAGATAGACACTCCCCTAAGCCCGTAGAAGAAACAGAAACAAAAAAAACCGTAGAAGCAGAACCCCTTAAAATGCTCCCCGAGATGCAAAGGCTTCTTTCTTTCCTTCTATAAAAGCAGAAGAAACAAATGCGATATTTTCATCATTTTCATAAACCTCGTATACGGCTCTTCCTTGGACTCCGACGGGCTGTTATTCACCCATATAAACCATTTATGTACTTTAGTATCTAAGCCATCAATTGATGAGGCGATACTATGCGCTCTGTTTCTGCTTCCCCTCACTCGGCGCCCGGCTTCTCTTTGTCCTTCCCGACCCAGACACAGATGAGGAAGATGAGGAAACGCTTCCAGTGCGCATGCCATTAGATTCCGGCGGCGAGGTCCTCCTTGCAGATCGAGCAAACTCATCCGTAGTGCTTCCAATATTTTCTTTATTTGATATCACGCCTTCGCTCCGGGAACCGATTGCGAGAGCGCTAAGACTAGGCCGTGGCGCGTATAGGCCTGAGTTTCTTGGTAATCTGCTCTTGCCACCGGAAGAACCACCACCAGCTTGAATATCGCTCAGTCTACGAGGAGAACTGATAGGAATACCCGAGATGCCGTCTTTACTCCTAGGACGGTATGCAACAGGATCACGTTCTTGAGCTAGTGATACACCTGAGCGCTTAGGACTCGATGCTACTTCGATAAATGCGCCCGATTGGGACTGACGAGACGCATGTGTTGGCGTAAGGGGTGTTGAGGAAGCGGAATGGAGAGATGGAGGCGTATATATGCGTCTCCCAGACCGTACACGATTTGATCCGGTTGATGCCGTTGAAGCAGATAGGGGTGGAGCGAGTTGATCCGAATTGGGATCTATGTGTGAAACTACAAGATCGGATGCTAGGTTTCGCACAAGCACGGCAGAGTCCTTCTCGGCTAGGATTTTGATTGAGTCAAGTAAGTGTCGAAGCTGCTTATCTTTCAGATTTGTAAAGTAATCGGTTTCTCGTGCTTCTAGTATATTCCGGACAAGACGAAGAAGATTTAGGCGTACGACGGCTTTCTTCTGCGAGAGTTTCTGTTCAATCCCGGCGTACATCTCCGATTTACCCAACGACGCGGCTAAGGATGGCGATAATCGGAGGAGCTTCAATAGGGGTTCTAAAAGGTTGGGATCAAAGGCATTCGTCTTCTGGGTATTAAAGCAGGATAGGATTGCCTCGGGAAATTGGCAGTTCAGGAGGTGACCCTCAACTTTTGCCGTCTCCTCTTGCAACCTTTGAACTTGTTAGCACATTCCCAACATTCGCCAAAATCAGAGAGTTGCCTACCAAACATAAATAGCATCCAATGCCGTGACCTGCCAGTACTGATCTGATATGAGCGAGACATAGAAGTCAAGGCCTTTATTTTGCCATAAGAATCGTCGCCCCTTACTTCCCGAATGGGCCATGTCGCATAGGATCGGTAATGCAAATTCCTTTGGAGGTCGATCTGTTTTCATAATTTTTAATAATAAGGGGATTATTCCATTTACAGCAGCGTATTCTTGGCGGTCCTTGCTTAAGCGACAGAGATTGAACATCGTATTGAGCACTTGATTAGAGATCTCGCGGAAATGGGGATGTCCTCTTTTCATACTACCACTGAGCAACTCGATGAGAAAGTCAATGGCGTCCGCGGAATGGAGAGCATCGAGGGTTGTTGAGAGCATAGATATGTTCTTAATGAACTTTAGCATCGTAATTTGATGTGCGGGCGTCATGCGTCGAAGGTCCTTCAGAACACCTAGTTGTGTGTCAGCTTAAACTACTAGTACGAACTCGGAGAGGCTTACTCTTCAACACTTGCCGGTCAGCCACCATCTCTTTGACGAAGTTTTCGGCTTGGGAGAACAAGTAGAATATGTTGACGATACGTCCTTCGATTAGTTCCGCCAATTCGTTCTCGACGTCTTCGTCAAGAACGCGGTGAAGTACAAGGGCTAGCGGGTCGAGGATTTTGCTTCTCGAAAAAATTCGGCAAAAGTCGTTCTTCGGAGTAGGACCCTAGAAAAAGCGTCAATGGAAAGGTATATGTAATAAGGTAGACGGTAACAAACTTGAAGCTCGAAGACGTTCCAAACACCATTCACACCAATAAGCACCAAGTCTCTCGCGCTATCATAATCCTCATCTAAGAATTCGACAAGAACGTTGAGACCACCAGCGCTAACAAACATCTGCAGTGTAAGGGTGGATGTTTGATACATCTGTCTTACAAAAGCCGCAGCTTCTAGCCGAATTTCGTTCGAGTATTGCCGAGCTGCAAACTTGGTGATGATCGGGATCCCGCCAACAAAACATAGGTTCTCCTGCAGTTCTACGTCATCCAGGATAATCTAGCAAATAGTCAGTTAAAGGAAACGTTGCACGTAAATCCTGGGTGTACGCACTGTATTGACAACTTGCAATAATTGTAGGATCAATTGCTGTCTGCTCTTCATGGTACCTAGGTCAAGAATCTCAAGAATTGGTAGTAATCCATGGGCGCTGATAATTAGGGTTTTAACTTCAGTATTTTCCCAAAGTAATCCCAGCTGGAGTTTAGTGTTAGTGCTGTAGCTATAGATCAAAGGAAAGGATACTGTCAGATACTAACCAGATCCTCTGAAAGTTCGAGTAACTTGTCCTCGCCCTCGGTCGTTTTGAGAGAGCGGACAAGTTCTTCAATCTTCTCAGCAAGTCTTGCGTGGCGGTCACGCGCAATATTAGCTTCCAAGTCCATCTCATCCCAGTCTGGATCCATAGACGCGAATGGATCGTCCTCGTCTTCGTCATCACCTAACCAAGAGTTGTTAGAAAGTCGGGACAACACCATAAGATTCCCGTCCTCGGAACCTCGGTCACTTTCCTCCTTCTCGGTCAAGTTGTCAGCAAGGCCAAATATATCAGAGAAGTCTTCATCTTCTTCGTCCTCCGCAAACTTTTGGATTTCAATAGATGATTTAGACCTTTGAAACGGTCGGTCGGGAAGAGCCGAAGGTCGCGCTGAAGCTGGTCTCCTTATGCTACTCGCCACGGGCGACTGCATAGACCGCGGCAAACTGGTGAGATCTGAGGGGTGAAATAATTGGGGAGCATCAGGCTGCAAGCTTGGTGAGCGATGGGGTGGAATGGGGGGGATATGGCTAAATGTATATACGTACCTTCTTGGATAGGCCCAATCGTTGGTTGAAGACACTTTCGTTGTCGTCAAAGATATCCGAATAGTCCTCTGTCGTCTGTTCTCTGTATAATAAATCGGGTCGGGAGGGTAGTTCGAATTTATTACCGAGCTGACTTTTGGATTGAGACTTCTGCCTCTGATGACCACTTCCTGGTTTCTTGCGAGGGGATGATTTCGATGGCTGCGGCTTTGGTTCTGCTATCTTCTCAAACTTTTCTGGGAACTTCCAATTGGGACGAATTGTCCTCTCCTGCGGATCCTCTTCTTGAACTGATTGTAGCTTATGTATCGTTGTTAGAAGATCCCCATCAAAATCGTTCTCCCAGGTAGTAGAAAAATCGCGCGAATTGTCAATACACGCGAAAGCTTTCAGACGGTCAGCCGAAAGCATACCACCGAAGTGGTCCTGAGGTTTGACATGAGGGAGCTTTAGGGCGCTGGGTGAAATTGCAGTTGCAAAATCGTCATCCCAGTTATCGTCATCTGAAGAAAGTGTAAGTTACCAAGTAGTCTAATAGATTTACCGAAATATGCATAAATACGTACCCGCAAGTTCAGGAGAACGGAAGTCCTCGGCAGTGGGTCTTGGTTTTAATACAAAGGGTGCCTTTGCTGGGGTGGGCACATTAGATCTAGGTTGCTCTTGGGAGGAGAATCGTGAAGTTTGAAGACCATGGTGAAAAGGGAATGCCGAATCAGACCCTGCTGAAACTCTAAGATTGGTTTCGGAAGAGGTGAGGGCTTTATTCCACTGCTTGACTTCTTCGACGGCTTGACTGAAATTTCCTGGGGCTTTGGCTACAGGCGCATCACTCCGTCGACAACCTACAATCCAATTGTGCTTCAGTAATTTCCTTGCGGAAACACGTAAATTGGGATCTTTCTGGAAGCATTGGATTAGAAAATCACGCGCAGCCTAATCCACAGTCAGTCTCAACTCTTAGGAACACGAAGGCCAACACTGTGGCAGGACTACAGACCGAAGATACGCCCTCGGGGAGTGGCGGATGGTCATCGTTAACGATGGCAAACAGAGCAGGCATGGCTTGTAGATGGTGATACGGAGGTTTACCAGATAATAGCTCAATAACGGTGCAACCCAAACTCCAGATATCAGAGGCCGGCGTGGCACCGGATAGCTCAATTATCTCAGGAGCCATCCAGTATGGCGTTCCCACTACTTGAGCCTCTTTATCGGGTCCGGCGACTGTGCTGGTAGACACGCCGAAATCTGCGAGCTTTACCTTACCGTCCTTGGTTGTCAGGATGTTAGCTCCCTTGATATCTCTATGTATCACACCTTGATCGTGTAGATACTGAAGACCTTGGAGAACCTGGGTCATATAAACCCCAACTAGATTCTCCGGGAATTTCCCATACGCCTTGCATATCGAATGCAAAGATCCATTCTCGCAATATCTGGCATCGGTCAGCATACGAAACACCCTACTGGATCCGGGGAGGTAACCTACTCTAATATAATATTGAGACAGTCGGTTGATTTGACAAACCCAATATACTTGACAATATTGTCATGCTAGAAATTGTCAGAGTACAGAGCAGAGTCATAATCTTACCGTCCGAGAATAGGGGTCACTTACGTTTAAGTTTTTCAAGAGGTCGATTTCAGCCTACATCACATCAGCTCAGCTCAGCCCCTATTATGTGCATATTGCTATGATGCCGGCATACCTCGATCATTCGGAGCTCGCTCTTTGGCAAATTCACCAATTTGATTTGCTTAACAGCAACAGCTTCACCCGTACCCCAATGGATTGCCTTGTATACAGAGCCGAATGCTCCCTTGCCTAGACATTCTCCTAGTCGCTATAACGAACCCAGTCAGCCTAATGTAAAGTACGTGCAACCCTACTCTTGAGGTATAGACGATGCACGTACGTAGTCTCTCAACCCCGGATCTTGTAAAGCTGCCTCGCGTCTGCTAGCCTCCTTTCTCGGGGTATTGGGAGTCCTATCATGCCTGCTTGCTATTACGGCGGCCTTCCCGTTTGCAGGACTGTAACGTCGGTCGCTCGAGGAGGAACCATTGGAGGGGTGAGGGGCGTGTCCGGAGCTAGGCGCCATGACCAGGCGGTCTACACGTTATTCCCCTCTGGTTGACGTAAAAAGAACTGCCCGTCGAGATCTATCGATAGAGAAATGTGTTAAGAGTTGGCACACGTCGTCGGCGGTGCAGACCCAAGTTACTTTTCACATTCCAGCTAAACAGCTATGTTCTCCCACCAACGTTAGGACGATATACTCTCGAAGCACGGACCAGTCGATCGTTGGGCAAGTATCGGACTCGGCAGCAGTCGAACTAACATTTACTTAAAAGGGAGAGGGCGGTCGGATCAGGTCAGGTCAGGTTGGACTAGACAAGGTCAAGGTCGGGGGTTAACTAGGGCTGAGAAGCTTCGTTGCCATGAAATTCCCCAAAATTTGGATTCCCAATGTGGGGGAGAAAGGGAAGTGCATGTGTTGTATTTGTGGTATTTGTGCGGGAAAGAATTTAGGCGCCCAATGATAGCTTCAGGTTGCTTTTTCCTACTGTTCCTGGAATGTTTCAAGAGACTCCAGCTTAATTGGCTAAGCACTTTATAGCATAGTTCAGTACCGGTCTAGTACTGATTTAGTACTGGTTTGGTGCTAATAAATTGATTCTTGTGCCTTCCGGGATAAGGTGCATTCAGGCACAGCTGGAAGAGCCACTTTACTGGTTCGGCGGGGAATTAGAATAAGCGGCTACTGCAGGTTGCCATGAGACAAAAAGCCCCAGTAACGGAATATGTGACGCCAACTCGGCCACTAACCACGTGTGGTATCAACTATGACATGTAAGTAGGACTATTATTAGTATGAAAACTGTGTAATGCAAAACAGAGAACATGACACATATAGACACGTACCTAAGGTATGTATAAGCTTTACAGCCCACAGAAAAGTATCAAATTCTTTAATCATGCTTACAACGTAGTAAAATATAGAACGGCTCTCATAGTTCTTGGGCTACGTATAAGTTGCCACAATCGAACCCTTACTCCTCTATCATAACAAGCTTGGTTACAACCTGTAGCTTCTTCATTCGCCTTGCTTCCTTGGTCTCGATGGACACATAACACCTTCGTACAAGTATAATACAACACCAACCATATAACTTCAGGCTTGCTCTGTTTAAGCAGAGTCCATCAATATCCTCACGCCATAACGCATATCCTTTTCTTTTCCTGCAACGCCAAAGTCCAGGTCAAAAATGAAAGCATAATGCAAACCCCTAAAATCCTATTTTCTCGTCCCTTTCACGAACTGGGATCACATATCGTTCCAGGAAACCCCCACTATCCATTTTCCCTTTTCAAATTTTAAAGGGGCCATCCCAACGACATCGAACGGCTAAGGCCAGCCTGTTCCCACCATTCGTCAGGGATATCCTGTCTAGATGCAAGACCGCTGACAATCCGATGCATACCAGAAAGCCATTCGGGATCGTCAGATGAAAGCCCTGTGCCAGAGAATGTGTCAGCAGCAACTGCTGCATATGATCGTCTACCATGAGGTGTCGGCCGCCTAGAACGGTCCGTGCCTTGAACATCAGGACTACTACCTTCGGTAGTGGCTTCCGGCTCGCCCACAGGGTCGCAAGGGGGTTCGATCTCTTCGGTCGGACTAGTAATGGAGGTGCGAGATGAAGGAACAGTAGGGTTTAGAGACGCTATAGTCGAAGCTGTAGTAGAAGCAAACGAGGAACCAACACTAGGTGGGTGAGGGTCGACGGTTAAAGTTGACTGTAGGATAGACCAAGCCCCATCCCCCTCCGGGCTTAGACTGCGGTCTCGATCGCCCAATCCATCAACATACCTAACTCGGTGTGCTCGACGTCGATCGACGCCAGATCTGCGTCTACGGTCCCTCATCGCTTGCAATGCCGTATGAATGTGCTGATCTATGCTTAAACCAGGAGAATTAAGATTACCAGGTGCACGGTCCTGAGTCGGTTCAAATTCTCGATCTTCTTCTCGGAGGTGTCCAAAACGATCTACAAAGCGATTTATTCTCGTTGTAGGCGAAATTCGTCGAGAACGGGTTCGATAGTAATCGTCTCTAGGTGGAAAAGGCTCCCAGTCATCAGAATCGGCTGGAGATGTACCATTGTCACCTCTGTTAGAGCGAAGGGTTTGAACAGGTTGAGTATTTCCGAACCGAGTAGAATTAGGAACACCCTCTTCCTCAAGGGCAGGGAGTTCGTCATCATCGTCATCGTCATCGTCAGAAGCATCTAAGGTTTGGGTATGATCTTCCTGGGTAAGGTGAGGAGCATAGACAAGGCGACCAGGGCGAATAGGGCGAACACGACGTAAGAAAGCAGCTAGGTCGATAGGAACCTCAGAATCCGGAGCGCGTAGCGCCTGTGGTGCTGTAACAACGCGAAAGGGATTAGAAACGCTCTCGGGGATAGCAGCTGGGCCATTGAGGTTTAATTCGTCTTCGACATCATTGGCTTGCTGGGACATGAGCACGTTAAGACGGTGAGCTCGAATCTCACGTAGTTGACGGCGTCGGTCAGTGTTTCTAGAGCTACTGGCGCGACGCGGTGAAGTTGAGCGGCGAATTGGAGATCGGCCAGTTGCGGGATCAGCAGAGGATTTCGGCGCTGTTTTGGCTCGAGAGCCAGATTCGTTAGGCTCAACCCATAGTCTAATAGTGAAAAAGAGTTAGCAAGAAAAGCAATATTAGGTAGTGTATGCATACAAACAAATGAATAAAGAAAAGAGAGGTAGAACTATAATACAAATGGGTAATAAAAACGTCATAGGTGTTATTTGTGATAATACAAGTAGATAGGTGGACGCGTTGCGACAATAGACTTACGGTAGACCCATTTTTGGTATTAGCTGATGCGCGTGTGGCAACAGGCAGGCAAGTTAACAGGGCGAGTCAAGACAGGATAAACCTGAGTTGTGGGTGAGGGAGGCTGAGAAGCAGCTAAATGAATGTAGTAGATGTAAAAGGGTATTGAAAGGCGGAAATATAAAGATAGAAAGACTGTCGCGTCGTCAGCGATGAGTATAGAGACAAGTACAAAGTACTAATTTAAAAAGAATTTTGTAATGTAGAAAGTTGATCGGAAAGTTGATCTGAAATCAGAGACGGGGAATTGATGGAATATGAATGATGCGCGACGATGCACAATGTTGGGAAACGTCGATTGCAACGGGGACGTGCAAGGTTAACTTTCACTTGCCTCGTGGGGTCGACAGGTTGACGGGTTGACGGGTTGATGGTCTTGTGGAGTGAAAACAAGAAGGCCATTGGGAAAGTTGAAAGAACGCCCGGGTTGTCTTTGGTTGTCAAGAGACGGGAGATGCGACGGTTGCCCTCCGATCCCTAAGTGGACAGTGCGTTAGTGCATTAGTTCATGCGAGCAATGTACCTACACTAAAACCTATCCTCGTTGCCGGGGATGATAAATCGTCTTATATGAGTACAGGTTAAACGCTATATTAGGTACCTATACTAGGTATATTTGAAGTACTACACTAACTATATTACCTTCAAGCCTACATGTACATATGTATACTGGCATAGTCCCGTTCAGCAGGCATCTATATAGGTACCTGCGTACTATATATTCCTACGCTACCAACTTTAACCCCTGCTATCGATACCAATTAACACGCCAAGCATGTACTTCGTATCTACAATGACAAAAGTATCAAAATCGACAGGCTGAGACTTGCCCATTCTGTTGCGCCGTCAACTTCTCAGTTATCACTCTCACCATATATATGATACTGCGGCACATGACTCATATCTAAAAGTGCTTTTACTCTGCAACAGATATTTTAAATCTCATAGATATGTTAGGCGATTTACTTCGCCCAAGGTTTTATTCTTGATCTAATTACATGCCAAGCCAACCTCTGCCTCGTCAACACCCAGCATCATGGTGAGCCTTGGGTTAGCGCGAATCAGCGCTCTTCTCAAGCCGACGCCACAGACATGGAAAGCCATTCATGTTGCTGGCACGAACGGCAAGGGCTCGATATGCGCATACCTAACTGCCATGTTACGCTCCAATCAGATCTCATGTGGTAGATTTACCTCGCCTCATCTCATAGACCCTCGGGATTGCATCACTATCAATGATCGCATCGTGTCCGAGAGCAAGTTCAGGCACTTTGAGGATTTGGTTAAGAAGAGAAACGCGGAGCAGAAGATTGGCGCTAGTGAGTTCGAGCTCCTCACGGCCACGGCTTTTGAGATATTCGAATCTGAGAAGGTCGAATTTGGCATAATCGAAGTAGGGTTAGGCGGAACCCTTGATGCTACGAACGTATTAAAACACAAGTGTGTCACCGTCGTTTCCAAAATAGGTCTCGACCACCAATCATTTCTGGGCAATACTATTGAGGAGATTGCTCGTCAAAAGGCAGGCATCATGAGGAAAGATGTCCCTTGTGTTGTTGACGGCAGCAATTCGAAGTCTGTTCTAGATGCTCTACAGAAACATGCCGAGGAGACAGGTAGCAGCATTATTTTTGCAGATGCCGAGTCCAATGAGCTCGTGAACAAGTTACGAGATACCCTCGAACCACATCAACGACAAAATCTGGCATGTGTATATGAAGCCTTCAGGTTGGCATTTCCGCAGCATGCTATCTCTATAGATAGTCTTGCTTCTGCTGTCCGGAATGTAGTATGGCCAGGCAGGTTGCAGTGGGTGAGCATTGAAAAGGTTACAAATAGAAAGGGTAACATTTTACTTGATGGGGCTCATAATCCTCAGTCCGCGGAAGCACTCTCCGGCTTTGTTCAAAAACACCTACGGTCCCAAAACAAACCAGTCACCTGGGTACTTGCTGCTACTCGAGGAAAAGACGTATCAGAAATGCTGAAACTGATACTACGCGACGGTGATTCCATAGCAGCAGTCGAGTTCGGCCCTGTTGACCAGATGCCCTGGGTCCAGCCCACAAGTTCGACAGATCTACTTGACACCGCGAGCAAATGTGGCGTTGCGATTTCGTCACAGTTCGACGCATCGACAAATGTACGCTCAGCTCTCGAGTGGGCAAGCCAGGCCGCGAACGAAGGACCGCTCGTTATTGCAGGAAGTCTCTATCTAGTGTCTGAGATATTCAAACAGCTCAGGTCCACTGAACTGTAGAAGTGACTATAATATCCAGAAATCGATCACCACATCATAAAACCCCGATGATATCTTATTAACTTCTGACTTATCCTAAAGCCGAAGCGTCAATGTGGCAAATCAAACAAATATAATGAATGGTTCAACTCGGAGAATTACTCCCTCGATTAAACTCTAGGACATTTACGCGGAGGTCCAGGATAATACCTATGCGAAACTTGCAATGATCTTGTCAGAGACGTTGTAAACTACAATTCGTTAGGTACATGGTGAAGTTACAATCAAAATGGGGACGATCAACTCTTCCCAACTCTCAGATTATTTACCAGCTAGTAAAAAATTGGAAAATGCAGTCCTGTCTAAGGGGCGATTCAAGACATTGACCGTTCTTGATGCTTACACTAACCGGTCGATCGAGTGTCCGATGGTGATTCTAAAGTTTCAAGTGAGATCTTATAATTGCATATGATGTATGCACATAACCAGCCAATCACACATCAAGACGCCAAATTCTGAAGCGATTTTTTCGACTTCAGCTCGAATAACGAATGTACAATTACTATAAGCCACACGATGTCCCCAAAACCGCCCGAACATTTAATCATCGTATGCTGCCATGGAATCTGGCTTGGCGGTCCCGCACGAGGTCATGACGAAAATGAATGGCTCATCGCCGGATTTCAAAAAGGCGAAACACCAACTTTCATTGAGCATATCAAGGCCGGGCTACAAGTCTTGAAAGAGAACCATAATTCCATCTTAATGTTTTCCGGGTGAGCTTATCTTAAATTACTTAATCTAAGTATAGCCCCCCCTTAGGTCTCAACAACTCATAATTTGACGTACACTTTTTATCGCATCAGTCTTACGCGAGGGGTCGTATTCCTCAATTATATCTCTATCTAGTTCGGCCCAACTCGAAAGGCAAATCTAATGCTGACTCCGTACTTCTTTAGCGGGCCTACGAGAAAGGAAACAAGCATATCCGAAGCTCGCAGCTATGCGAATCTCGCTATCGCCAATGATTTCTTCGGGATTCTCACCGAAGATGAAACTGTAGACCGGCTACACAGCGAAGAGCGAGCATTGGATTCTTATTACAACGTCTTATTCTCGCTCACCAAGTTCTGGTCTACCTACGGGACATGGCTAGCAACGTTGACAATAGTTAGCCATGCTTTTAAACGTGAGCGTCTGGTCGACTGCCATTGCGGTGCTATTGGATTTCCACTAGACCGGACCAATTTCGTCGGCGTGGATCCGCCTGGTATGGTCGATGGAACAAATGAGGCTGCTATCAAAGGTATCGTTGAAGCGATTACCCAGTGGAAAGAAGACCCTCATGGAAAAAGCGAGCTTCTGGCTGGTAAGCGTAGGAAAAGAAACCCGTGGGGCGTACCCCAGACACTCTTCCTTAATGAAGACGATCGGATTCGCAGTGGTGTACAGTCAACTTTGACTAGAGAGGGAGAGGAACATCTCCTCGAGGGAGTCGCTCATCCATGGTCTCAACATCTAAGCGCTTGGGTTGCAAAGTCAGCTTACATCTATAACTCAAGTAAATCTTAGAAGGGATATTCTCCTAATTATTAGCTAAAGCTACGCTATCAAGAATAAACCGTACGGCATCCTTTCTCATTTCAGCGCTGAATTCGTGCCCGGCAGTCGGATAAACATTATCCTCTACATAAACTCCGCCATCCTTATACCAGCTATTGGTCGCAGTCTTAAAGAATCGGATGAATGGTTCACCCATGCTATATGGTACGAGTTTATCCGCCCCTCCGGAAAGAATCTGGAACCTCTTCCCCGAAACTCTAGACTCGAGCAGAGGGCGCAGCCTCTGCTGCTCTTCCGTTGTGGTAGGCAGGGCGATCTCATCGGTTCCGAACAAGATACCCTTGGGGTCATATTTCTTGCAGGCATTTACTAGAGCATCTGGAAAGTCCTTGCTGCCGATGAAGGAAACACCATACTCTGACTCGTTAAATGTGTGCAGCTGTGACAGTCGCGCACGGTCTTTCAAGAGAACTGTTGATCGTCAGTATCAATGTCACGATACTTACCTCACCTTTCGGCGAATATGCCATTCCCCTTTTATTCGACTGGAGTTGGGGTCTACACTTACCCATATAATCGGGGCATCCAATCACTATAACCCCCGCCGTAACACGAGGGTCCGCGAACAAGAGCTGCCACGCACTATGGCCCCCTAAGCTGATACCGAGAACCATATTGTGGTCAATACGCCTTCTTCCGCTGTCACTTAGTATATGATCATTGGCACCAAATAAGTGACTCTCAAGTAGATCCATCAAATTGATCGTGTCCATGACAGTACCCGTGACGAGGCCGAACATATCTTGGGCGCTACGTAGATACGGGAATTAGCGAAACCCAATCCAAAAGCTCACACACAATTCCAAGTAGTAAGAACAAATGATACTGCCGAAATCATCTCTAATTCCCTGGTGTCACGTACTGAGTCTCATTCCCGTCCACCCAGGACTCATTCGCTCGCTTGTCAACGAGTCGCGAACCGTGATTTCTTTGGTCGAGCGCGACGGCGATTAAACCGCGCGTAGGCTCCGACTTCTCGTGGTAAGCGGAGAGAAACCGGTTTGCGAAAGGGGCCATGTCCTCCTTTTTTCGCAGTCGTCCGTGGTGCAGCCATAGACACGACACCTTGGCCGCGGTTGCGGGCAGCTCTGTCAACCCGTAGACATCGACTTGCAGACCCGAGACTGTCAACGTAACGCGTGAGACACTCGGGACGGCGCCCTGGGTCGGGTTGTTTGTCTCGGCCATTTCTTTGAATCGCTATGGGATTAAGTCCAGCCGCGGTAAAGGCGATTAAGAGGTAAGCCAGTAAGCGAAAGGTGTCTCCATTATTAATACTATTTATTTCATGGGGGAGTTTATGTAGCTAATGATGCCAGCGTTGCTAATGATGCCAGCGTTACTAATCCACCTTCATCGTCGGATTAGCGCCTGCGTAAAGAGAACAGCAGACGGCATCAACACCTCGGATCCGAATTTGCCCATTTAACCCCCGAAAGCGTAATCACACGCCAAACGGCATCATAAATAAACCGAGACGTCAGATATTTACACTTAGATACATATCACTACTCTGCTCTTGTTTGATATGTACCAAAGGTAAGGTACGGTATTTACATTTTAAATGGCTACCTCTTTCAACAGTCTCTAGCCTATGGACCTAATAGTCCGCTTTTCGTGATTAGTGCCAACAAGCCATTACCCAATGGACCTTTTTACACCAAGACTCACAGCCTCAGCTCTTCCTCCTCCAACGCATCGATCAGTGTCTGCCACTTAGCCCACTCGGCATCGCCACCGGGGATGCCGCCGAACAGGGGCAATCGCGTGCCGTCGGGATCACCTAACTTGCGCAGCCTGCTGATAGCTTCTTTGATGCCAACAGTACCAAACTTTGCAATTAGCTCCTCCACTGCACTGATCTTGAACTGCAGGAGGCGGCGCTGGCGGACCTCGTCGTCTGTGGGCTGGTTCTTCACCGACAGATCGTATAGGCGCACCACGCTCTTGGGGAAGAATCCCGCACAGCCGTCGATGGCACCGGCAGCGCCGATAGTCACGACCGGGAGCAATTGCTGGCCTAGTCCCGTGAAAGTGGCGAACTTGGAGTGGTCGATGGAGGGGTTGGATGCGATTTGCGAGTGATATGATACGTCGCCGTGCGAGAGCTTGCAGCCAACGATGTTGGGATGCTTAGACAGGGTTTCGAACGTAGCCGGGACGACTTTGACGTTGTTTGAGACGCCCGGGTAGTGGTATCTATTTACCGGGATCCCCTCTATTAGTATCCACATCCCCCAACGCTTGTCAATTATAACCGAGGGAAGAAAACTCACATTAAGATGGGTATGGGGCTCCGGTCAGCCACGGCAGTAAACCACCTGATGATACCCTCCTGCGTGCTGGCGCCGGCGAAGTATCCCGGGACCAGAGTTAAACCGTACTGCGCACCGGCTTCCTTAGCGCCTTTCAGCTGCTCAACCGTCTCTTCGATGTTTTGTGTGGCAGTGCCGGCGATGATGGGGTAGTCCTTGAAGCCCTCGTTTTCGAACGCTTGTCTCACGCCGGACAGGACCTCGAAGCGCTCCTTGTTCGTGAGATGTATCGCTTCTCCCGTGCTACCCAGAATCACCAACCCCCTGATACCAGCTCGCGCCAGATACAGGGAGTGCGCAACCTGCGTAGCAACGTCGACCGGCGCCGCAACGGGGTCGTAGTTGGCCGCCTTCTTGCTCACGAAGAAGGTCGGCACGGGGACGTATATTCCATGTGGGGGAGGGGCAGCCATTTTTGTGGATTTGAGCTTTGCGTATATACCGAGTAGGTCTTTGTCTAGTTAACGAGATTATTTATTCGCTAAGTTATAATCACACCTTGAGATTTTTCTTAATTGCTTTGACTTTTTTACATAAACTTGCTTGGTACTTCTCTGTCAACTTATCACGACAGACACTCGCTCCTATAAATTGGACGAATGACGCGGGGTCAAGTTGGCATTGTCATGACGCGCCGGCAGTTCGGTAGAGTCTATAGCGATCGGCTTTTTCGGGGCGAGCGAATGGGGTTCGAGTATACATAGCTCTAGAGCCCCCTTTTCTAGTCGTTCGTCATCCACAGGCCGACTAGTGTCATTAGATATACATAATTGGCTGTGACAATACGGGGTTGTCTATACCTGCGGACCTATCATTGCTTTACACCTCTCCGATGTTTTGAATAGTCTTAGTAATAATAATGTCTGTTATATTTTATGCTGTCTGCCTGGACTAAAGCTTATAATCCCACTAAGATCCCTGCTAGTTCTCACTTCATGAACTCAGTCGTGTCCTTAACATGCCACCATCCTAAACCTCAAGCTGTTTTATAGGTATATTTAATAGCTGTCCTTTGTTTACCTGTCATACAGAGAGAGAAATGATCGTCTGCTTAGAAGGCTAGACCGTTAATCCCAAAGCTGTAGGGTGTTTTCAGTTTCCGCCCCCAATGCGAAATATATTGGGTCATAGCTTTTGCTTAGCCGTGAGAAAATTAGGCATCCTTTTAGTTGTTGAATAAGAGTATTTTAAGGTTGAATTATTCTATTCTGATTCTTGGGAGGTTCCTCACTTTTCTTTCTTATAATTCGATATCTTAAGATTCGTCTTGGTAGCATAGCTGCTTGGTATTAGTGATAACTATCATCATTAAGTTACAAGTTACAAGTTTCTCTTTAAATACATTTCAGCCAATCATTTACGCGTATTCCATATCATCACAAACACGGCTCAAGATGTATAGCCTACCCGTCAAAACATCCTACGAGTCCAATGACATCCCCATCCCGGAAGACTTCCTAAATTCGGAGCCGCACGATGCACAGCCTATCGCTTTCAAAAAGATAGACTTCGCTGATACCGTGCTGACGGAGTACAAGGGCCTGTACGCCGTGGTGCTAGACCATGTTATCAGCCCGTCTGAGTGCGCAAAGCTCATTGAGCTGGCCGAAGCCAGTGTGCCCCCCAAGAACAAAAACAAGATCAACGGGTCTCCCTGGGCACCTGCACTCGTCAATGTCGGTGGTGGATACGAGGCCGAGGTATTGGATTACCGCAACAGCGACCGCATCATCTGGGACCAGCAGGACATCGTCAACCGTCTCTGGACACGTCTAGAGCAAGTCCCAGAGATTAAAGACACGCTTCTCACGTCTGAGGAGCCAAAGGGAACGGTGTGGGACTTCCAGCGCCTCAACAAGCGCATGCGCTTCCTAAAGTACGGCCAGGGCCAGTTTTTCAGGCCGCATTGCGACTCCCCTTACGGCCAGACCGGAGAAGATGGGAAATCAGTGCTCACGCATTATACCTTGCACTTATACCTGAACGACTCGAAGCAGGAGGTTGGAGACGCGGCTGATCTAGTCGGCGGCGCGACGTCCTTCCTATCGTCTGACCAAAAGCGGAAACTTGATGTGAATCCTAAAGCTGGCCGGGTCCTAATCTTTCAGCACCGGAGGCTGTATCATGCGGGAGATGATGTCTTGGATGGGATCAAGTATACGATGAGGACGGATATTATGTATACTATTCGGGATTAGGAGATTAATCTCGATGCGGCGATTGTGAATACTAGCTAGAACGTCGTCGCATCCTTCGCTTACCCCCGAGACGTTCTGTTCATAGTTAATGGAGATACTTGAGAATATATTTTATTCCACATGGCCAAATATCTCCGTGTTTTGATTTATCTAGATCTATATTTTAGAACGTTAGTTGGTTGTGAAGCGTTCTGGTGATAATAACTTACACAATGGCCTATGGTAAAATGCTGGCTTTGTCTTCTCGAACTGTTATCCGAGTGCCACCCAAGGTTTTTTATTCTCTGATGATTTAAATGTTAAAATAAAATAGAATACCTTCTTGGGCAGGAAAAAAGGAAAAGGAAAAAGGAAGAAAAAAAATGGCCGCTGCTGAACCGCCCCGCCATCCATCAAACTGTGGTGTGTTCTCACAAATATGAGGTGGCAAGGGCTAAGTTACAACATGGCAAACCCCTTTTTGTGGTCTATGCTTCCGGTAATTGGAAAGAGAGTCTTTACCAATAGACCATCAGCTGCACACAGAGCGGGTGTTTTTCGTTGAAGATCCATCTGTTGTTCGGATATATGAGGCATTCAGTTGCAGCCTGAGTCACTAACCTCGCAGTTCCACCTGGCGGGAGTGCCAACACGGATGATACCGCACGTCATATCACGACCATATCTCCTTAATAGACCGAATCACCTTACAATTCGCCTTGTGCCCTAATTCGCTCCAGCCCTGGACCTGACAAGCCTTGCTGCAGTATGCAACAACGCCACATCCCGTACATCGCATTAGCGAATACTCTGCTTCCTCTTCCTTGCCGCATGCCGCGCACTTCTTCCCCCGTGCGGCCCCCTCAATTCCATCTAAAACTGCCCCTATTTCAAAAACTTGATCCAAGCCAGCGGGTAGGATTCGAACACCAGCTCCTTCCCCCGGTGGCACGCGGACGATAGCCTTTTTTCCCTCCCCGCGGTCCGTGCGCGTCGCGCGCGGCACAACTAGTGTGTGGCCCTTTCGGAAGCGTACGCCGCCCTGCCCGAGACCACGATGGTCGCCGTCTTCAAAGGTGACGGCGAACTCTGCTCCGCTCCGGTCCCGGACGATCACAGTGGGTTTGGTGATCGTCATGTCCTCCTTGATCTGTGCCAACAGGAACCAGTCTGCTGTTGGCGCGGGGGGAGTTAATGAAGATGGCAATTCATTGAATGATGGGAAGGTAGCTGGGTCGGCGAATAAAGGCATTTTGATCTTATGGGTATATCTACCGCTTCGTTTGCTCACTTTTATGTTTATTCTTATTTTCCAGAAGGGGGATGAGAGGCGGAAGATAGGGTCTTTCGGTTTCGTACTTTAATGGTTGGCTTGGCGCCGTGGGGATTAATCCACTACCCTAGGGTATTTGGCGACGTACAAGAAGGTATGTAGAAAGGGGTATATACCTACTTTAATATAAATATTTACTACTAATAGCGTTATGCTTCATTACATGTATTTCCCTTATATTCCGTACTATCTATGAAGTTAGGGGGAAATGGTCCTCCTCTCTTGAAATACCTAACCGTTTTTCGAAGATTAAAACACGGGATGTTTTAAGCGGGGTTTCCTTGTTTATGCACCCTGTAGAGCCCAGACATGGCTTGAGGCGTTTATAAATCATATATGGGCAATACCTAATCATCAATATTTCTGATTATTTACTCGGCGTGGATTGGTTCGCCATGTATGACATATGCAAGTTAGGTAGCAGTGCCTCTTAGAATGGGGTATTAGTGACATAGCCTCATAGCTGAATCACTCCAGTTCTGTTACTCTTTCTTCTTCATCTTCGGATAGCTCATAGTAACGCCTGTGTCGGCTCCTCTGTATATCAGTAAAGTAACATATCCGGCTTTTAATGGAAAATGTCATCACAAAACTCAGTTAGCTTTGCTTTTCAAGCGGATGTCGCCAATACCGGCTCTCTACTCCACCTACTGACGGGTAAAGCCCTCAAAGCTCTGAGCGACGGCGGAGTCGATTTCTACTCTGTAGTTGTCGCTATCACTCTCGGCAAAGGCTTCGAGGTTCGCAATTCCTTAGGAAACACTGTCCCCGCACATGTCAAGTCCAAACGTGGTATTCAATCCGTTTTATCGAAAATTTTGAGCATTGGATGGGGCCAGCCAGAGCTTGCGATTGCAATGACACAGACCAAAGCAGGTGTGAATGCTCTTGTCCTGATTGACGCTATTGCCTATGGATCTACCTACTACCAAGCTGCTGAGTGCTTTTCAAACCTCCTCTCACTACGAGGCTGTGAAGCTGACAAGTTGCCTAATGTCGACGTACTAAAACATATGATCGGCTATCTCGCCCCCTTTCTTCTGGACCTGGGCTTTTCAAGAGTCGTCGCACATATTACAACGACTGCAACGCGTGCTATAAACTTGAACAATTGCGGGCATGATGAATGTCTGGGACGCCTTGCAAGAGCTGGGGACGCGTCAAGTGTTGCGGGCGCTATAAATCAACTGATGCTGACCTCACAAAGGAAAGAGAGTAATTATATGCCTACACGGTACGTAGCATCCAGAGATTCTAAAATATTACCCTCGACAGTCATATTATCTCCTTATACCTTGCTGTTAAGAGGTGTGATCCTTTTACTTAACTAACTCTGCTTTGTCAAGCATGAGGGGCGCTTGGTTTTCAGCATTCGCAAGCCATGTACTTGGGATGGCAGTCGAGTTACGTCTTAATAATGCCATCATATGGGAAAGTGCAGGAAGCAACGGAATTGCTATTTTTGAACTGGGGGAGTATCAAGCCGATGACTCCCACTTCCAGGCCATTATAGGCCAGAGGGTTACAATAATCGAATTACCAGATCCCAAAGACCAGGACTCTATGCTTGACAGCTGCCTCCCGATCGATATGGCTTTTGCATCACTGATTGCTCGCGAGCCAAAGATTGACATTTTACTTCAGCAAGAAATTCGTCGGGCGATATATCGGCTCAGCTTGAAAATGCGAAAACAGAGCCTAGAACAGGTTGAGATGCCACGTCCGTGGTGTTATAGGGATTTCGAAATAGCTAAGGCACTTAAAGAAACGCTTAATGCCTTCGGATTCGAGAACGCTATTTTTGATTCCGTTGATAATCAACCACCTACAGAGGAGATGCCAAATGCTATACATAGCATAGAGGCACTAGGCCTGGAGGCATACGATAGGCTAAGAAGCGCCTGTGGGAGCCATGGAGATAATACTCCTGAGAACAGAATCCGTTCGCCGGACTTTTATATGAATGATGAGCCGCACTTTCATATAAATGTTGAGCCGCACTTTTATACGACTTATCTAAGATCCGGCCGCAAGTATGAGTGTGATTGTTCTCTGTTGTGTGGATATGTTAACCGCCTAATTGTTGGGTTTGCGTCTTCTGCAATACTTCTGTAAGTTAGCACCTATGATAAACTTCCTTTCTCAACACCCCTCTGCCGATACTTTTATTTATACACTAAATTTCAGACTCCCTCGTAAATGATTGCTTGATAAGTGTTTAGCCTATAAACTAACCACTGGCTGTCTGCTATAGAGCACAGTGCCGGTTTGATGCCAGCCAACTCAGCATTCACCCGGACAATCTTCTGAATCAGGCATGGCGTGGGCACTATTTAACCTACGGCTTTCAACGAGATGAAGATCTCTTGAGAGATATACTCTTATTGGTAGATAACAGCAAGGTGGTCAGAGAGCAAAGAATGTCTAGCCACTTCACCTTGGGAGTTTCAGGTAAAAGCTTTACAGTTTGCTATACCTGTATACTAAGCTACGACTGTTTCGACAGCCAGGGTCGCTTCTTAACTGTGTTACCCGGTTGTGCATCTGTAGCAGGTGCCTTTAGATCCAAAATATTAGAGAACGAACCTGGTATACCTGGGCAGTTTTCAAAAGTTCCCGTTTCAACTCTACTCGCACCAGGGCTATCTCTCATGCCACACCATGCTCCCTCAGAAAATCATATCTTCATGGACGTGTCATTTGACGAAAGAATAATTTCATTGTCATTCAAAGTTGGATACAAAAAGGCTTCTGCGGGAAACCTATCCATCGGGATATGCATCGAAACTTTTCTGAGAACACAGGGTGTGAGTTGCCCGCATGAGCCTACATCGGAACTACGGGTGCAAAAGGACCAAAATTTAGCAGTTGTTGGATTCGGAGCCCTAAGCAGCAAAATAGGCAGAAATAAGAATGTCACACATCTGATAGCCTTGCGCGGCAATAAGCTCGAGCAGCTCCTTACATTTGGGATGCTCGAGTCATACAAGGATACTCACAATACGGGATTCGTTTTCCAACTTACGGCATGTCTAAAGTGCTGCATTGCAACTGCGAAGAACGAGGGTAGTGATCTTATAATCATGGGTGGGTAAGTACCGAAGGTAGTTCAGTATTACGATATTCCTCAGATTTATGTAGTTACTACTACTTGGAACTTACCCTTGAATTTACGAGGCAGCTGGCGAAGATCTGGAGGGCCTGCAGATCTACGATGACCCTCATTGCGATGAAGCAGTCAACGGGTATATGTCCCTTATGACATATTAAAATCAAATAACCGTCGGCACAAGGAAGCTCAAAATCAAACGGACACAATTAATACACATGTATTTGCTGTAACCTATCTCTAATGGAATTTTGGTCTGTCTAGAGCTGAATGCCTGAAATCTTGGATGTAGCCATTAAATCCATACCCATAATAAGTACCTTAGGTAGTCAGAGGAGATGAAAAATTATGCACTGGCTAAGATTCGAGGATATGGACAGTGAATAATAGATGGAGATATATGTAAACGATAGCCTCAGAGTACGATTTTTAAATATCACCGTCTCTGTTTCTAAATTACTCCATACATTAACAAGGGAAACAACCTGTTGATGATATTGTATAGTTGGACACACATGACTACAACCGTGAGAATATTATAAATAGGTTAACTAGGTAGGTCAATGGAGTTTGATACTATATCTAAAGCTAGGATAATGATCAAATATCACAATAATCATAAAAATCTACCGCTTATCAGTCTCTAAAGCCACTTAAGGTACCTAACGTAGCCCATCACACCCAGGATGCACTATAATTGGCTCCCTAGCGTCATCCCAACCGCTCCAATTCTTTCCTTTCGTCCACTCATCCACCTTCAAATCTTATAAACGATCTTCTTTCCAGTAACCCGTCCCTGTCGCAGATCATCCAGTCCCTCGAGGATATGGTCCAAACCACCCTCCCGAACGTCCACCGGGTGCGGCTTAACCTTGCCTTGGGCTATCAGCTCGCCCGCCAGCTTCCAGAACTTAGTGGCGAACTCGAGGTCGGCGGGGTTCGCCGTGAACGTATGTCCCAGCTTGACGAACGTCTCTCCGGTAGCCGTGTACGCCAGAGTCTGGAGCTTGGTGACGTCGTCGCGGGGGAAGTTCTCGACGGTTAATAGGGAGCTGTACTTGCCGCCCTTGGAACTAAGCGCCTGCGCCGAGATCTCAGGCGCCGAACCCTCTGCGATACAGTCGAACACGTACTCCAAGCTGTCGTTGGTGAAAGCGCGGATATCCGCACCGACGGTCGGCGACTTATAGTCGAAAGTCGCGTCTGCGCCTAGGCTCTTTAGGAGATCGAAGTTGTGGGGCGAGGATGTCGTGATAACCTGCAGACCGGATAATTTGGCGAATTGGACTGCTAGCGTTCCAGTTGCAGTGCTACCTCCGTAGATAAGGACCGGGAAGGGCTTCTTAGCCGGCTCGGTGGGCAAGGGGAGGCCTAGCGATTGGTAGAGAGCTTGGCCGACTGTGGTGATGCCTACACCCAGCGTCGACGCCTGTTCCATTGTGATAGTGTCAGGGACCTTGATGGCAAGAGCGGCTTTCGCTACGATGTGCTCGGCGAAGGCGCCGTCTTCTGCGTTGCTCGCATTGGCGCCGGAGACTAAGCCAGCGATCTTGTCGCCGACTTTGAAATTTGTGACGTCGGGTCCTAATTCCTCGACGATGCCTGAGTAGTCGCAACCAACCAAGCCGCCGGGAATTCCAACACCATCAATGTGCTTCCAGTCGGTAGGGTTCAGAGCGACAGCTACCGTCTTAACCTTGACGTAGCCGGGGCGCACTTTGGGAATAGGTGCGTCGGTTACGACCTTCCCGACGTTTCCCTCCTGGATAATAAGAGCTTTCTGAGTTGCAGCCATTTTCTTTTTATGCGATTGGTATTCTAGTGTTGGTGTAGAGTGTCGTGTGTTAGATGTCGAGTAGTGTCGAGTAGTGTTGAGTGGTTTTAATAGTGTGATATAGTTTGCAACAGCTGTTCTTAAGTGTTCTATCCTGTTCTCTTCTCTTCTTAAGTATGCGATATGTTTATGTTACGTTTCGACCCCTCGACCCCTCGACCCCTCGACCCCTCGACCCCTCCTTGTGACAAAGCTATCGTGATATCGTCTGCAATGTATGACATGAGCAGCCGTAACCAATCAAATTTGGATTGGCATTTACATAGTCTATGGTGATTTTAGGAGATAATGTTATGTCCGACCTATTAGTAACAGGGTTAATATATTTCCGATTACAAATTCTCTTGTCTATTCCCGATTGTGTTCGTGTAATTGAGCGACTATCCACTTAACTTGAGTCGTGATATCATCAAGTTGGTTATACAAAATGATTGCATCCGTCGATTAACCACCATCATGCAGGAGAATCCTACGAGCCTCATGCAAGACGCATTCCTAGCGAATGAAATGATCTACCTCTTCTTCAGTGCTAACTATGGATATGCTAGTATATTTGAATAGAGTATATTTCAACTACTCCTGAACGAAATAAACCTTTTGGTCGAATTAAAATCACCTGATATTATTAATAATATTGGTTAGGTATTTTTGATGATGTTTTATTGCCATCTTTTATCCATAAGTTACCTTGATTTAATAGCGGAGTTAAACGGAGTTAATATTATCGGTATTTTTAAATCAAACATACCGGAACAAAGACGTCATTGTTTATTGTGGCTGGAATATAACGTTTGCAATATTTGTATAATACCGAAAAATACCAATTTTAAGTAACCAGCACTTATAAAAAATGAAACCCATAATACTTCTAAAAAAAACATGAATTATCTTATTTTAAGTAACTTTAAACCCGAAATTTTCGAGGCGGGCTGCGCCCGCTTACGCCACGTAACGCGTGGTTTATGTGTTTATACCTATAAATCATAAGTAAAACATTTAAAAATTTTTAATTTAAGGTTATATAACATTACAAAAGTTTTTAACGGTTTTATTAATAATAAAAAAATCAAACATTATATTTATAATAATTTAATATATTATAATAATGTATAAAATAACTTTAATTTTAATAATTTAAAATTAATAATATGTTTTTTTTAACTTTTTATTTTTTTTATATATTTATACGGTATTACGTTTTTATATATTAAACTTTAACGTTTAAAAATTCCTAACGTTTTAAAATAATATATATTTAAATATAATAGTTAAATATTTTATAATTACGTATAAAATCTTTTTTTTTAACAATTTAAAATTAATAATATTATTTTTTAAACCTTTTAACTTTTTTTACATATTTATACGGTTTTATATATTAGGTTTTAACGTTTATTACAGTTATTATTACGGTTATTATTGCAGTTATTATTGCGGTTAACGTTGCAATTAATGTTATAACCGGTATTATAATTAATATTAACCACTTTTAATACTTTAAAAGGTTTAAAACGCGTAAATTTAATTAATAAACTTAATAAAAAAGTTAATAATTATTGTATAATTAATTATTATTTATTATAAAAACGCGTTAATATTATTGTTTTAATGATATTATTAATGTTATTGTTTTAAAACGTTAAACGTATGTTTTTAATGTGTAGGATTTTAAACCTGCTTTAAACCACAGATTCGATGTTGTTTTAGGGGATTGTTCCGGGTTTTGATTGGTTGAAAAGTGGTGTGGCTAGGGGAGGTACAACCTTACGAACGATATCGAATTTGTGGTCTGAGTTTACTGAGATAAGAATTATCGATGCGAAATCGAGTAGACTACCCTTGATCATGGTAACATCACCTATGCTGACATATCAAATAGAGCCTCAATATAGCGTCAACTGCGCCGCAGCAACCTTGGCAGACTAAAAGATCTCGAGGTGCGAAACGAACTAGCACGCCTCAATTATAAATAATCATATTTTAGCACACCGACTACTGCTACGCCCGACGAGCTAAAATAACTAGGTAGAAGATCAGTAACCTCTAATTACTAAGTATATAGAATCGGCGATAATACACTTCATCCTTAACACTGCTTATCAAGCTGTAGGCCCAGAGCTGTTAGGATTCTAGATGAGACGTCTAGAATAAAAGATGCTTTCAGTACCTAATAGACGTAGGCCCCCATAGTTAGCTTAGAGTTCCTCGCGGAACAACAAAGTCGTTTCCTTGCTTCTTGCTCCACCTCATGACAAGGTTTCGATTAGCAAGTCAACATAGTTCCTACCAAATATTCTAACCGCTAAGTAAATCCAGTATTAATCAAGATTAGGAAGCTAGTTCTATAGGACCATGATTGTGAAACGACCTATGTATTAGCTACGGAACATTGGCTCTTAATAATGAAGCCAACGCATACTCCAAATTCCTATAATCACGGTAATGTGTGTTCTATCATTCCTATGATAGAATCCCGAGAGCTTCTAATTAACACGCGAAACTCAATCCAAATTAGCCGTAAGTCGGCAAGGTATAGAAAGTACCGCGTCTAATAATTTTTGCTAGAAAACATTTTAAAGTAGATCCCGGCCAATATCCCCTCTTATGATAACTCGATCGTGGCTGGCGGCTTGCTCGTCGTGTTGTAGAATACACAGCTTATGCCATCGACTTCGTTAACAATCCGTGTGGATACATTCATGAGGAAGTCCATGTCGAACTTGTAAGCCTCGGCACTCATGAAGTCCTTGGTCGTAACTGCACGCAGCAAGCAGAGGTATCCTTCGTAGCGCTTATCACCCTTTTGGAATATTAGTAAAGAGAATAGGAGGGAAATAGATCTTTGGGTTTCTCACCATAACTCCTACAGCCTTGTTTGTGTCAAGACCAGCATAAGCTTGGCTGATTTCGTTGTAGATACCTGCCTCCCTAATCATACTAATGAAGATCTTGAGCAGTGTCAGCATCGACAAGCCCCACATGTGAACAGGTCATATTTATCTAAACTTACGTTGTCTGCTTTCCTTGCAATCTCGACTCGCTCCGGGGTGACCTCACCGAGAATTCGGATAGCAATACCAGGGCCAGGGAACGGCTAAAATATGTATGTAAGCAGTTGTTCAGGTGAATTAGATTCCAGAGTGACCTACATGTCTCATGACGAGTTCTTCGTTGACACCCAACTCACGACCTAGGGCTCTGACTTCACTGTTTTTCTGGTGTTAATACCTCATCAAACCCGTTTGCGACTATTATGCAATTGGAACTGCATTCAGGACACTTACTCCTTGAATAACTCCCTAAAAGGCTATAACTAATTAGCCAATGTTTCTATTCAGCAAAAGAATATCTTACCTCGATAAGTTTGAGACCTTGACCGTCCATCATTCGTTGCGGTAGACCACCAACATTGTGATGCGTCTAATTTAAAGTCAATTTTAAACTTGTAATTAGGTAAAATGATTGGTAGGACGTACCTTGATAGTCGCTGAAGGACCCTTGAAGGAAATCGATTCAATGACATCCTGCATAGAGAAAAGTGTTAGAGAACAGATTTGCTGGTTATTCGGCACGCATTAGAAGTATTCTTACGGGGTATAGTGTGCCTTGGAGAAACCATTCAACTTTTCCGGCGTTTGGCGTGTTCTCCGCGGCCTTCTCAATCTTAATTGCCTCCTCTTCGAAAATGTCGATGAAGGTGTTGCCGATGATCTTTCGCTTTTGCTCTGGATCTAATACACCCTTCAATTTGGAAAGGAAGATTTGCGAGGCATCTATAACCGTCAAGTTGATTCCAAGATGCTCGCCAAGTGATTCTTTCACTAGCTGGCATTCATTGAGACGCATCACACCATTGTCCACGAGTACAGCGTGAAACCTATCGCCAATTGCTAGTTTCACTATGGGGGTTTTGTTAGTAATCTTAATCTAATAAAAAGGGCAAAAGAAGGTGGCACGCCACAATCTTCTCATTTATAATATATATAAAAAGTTTTAGTATGGCATTGACTTACTTAACTGTGCGGCAACTGTCGAGTCCACACCACCTGAGACGGCGCCGATCACCTGGCCGTTACCCACGAGTTTACGGATTCGAGAAACCTCCTTGTCGAGGAAGTCCGTCATCGTCCAGTTTTGGTTAACACCGCAAATGCCGACTGCAAAGTTTTTGAGAAGCTCGGTACCACGAGGGGTATGTGTAACTTCAGGATGAAACTGTATACCAAAGATCGGCTTGCTCTGATGTGCGATACTAGCGTACGGAGAGTTTTTAGTGGTGGCTATGGTGACGAAACCATCCGGGAGTTGACTCAATTTGTCACCATGGCTCATCCAGCTGCTATTTGTTAGTAGGACTCTCCATCTATTTGATAGACGCCTATTGAACGACAAGGGCTAGTATGCTCACACTCTCATGCCCGCATCTCCGTACAAGCCTTCGTATAATCGGTCAACTTGACTGTTGTGATGTTGTGGTATGAGATCCTAATTGATCATGAGTATTAGAACACTAAATTTAATAATAATCGAAAGGCCGAAGGGAGCTGTACCGCTTGTCCGTATTCTCTCTTGGTTCCGGCGACGACATTGTCTTTGCTCGAGTTCCAAGCAATTTCTTGAAGACCGTAACATATACCTAGGATGGGGACTCCGAGATCGATAAAGGCTGAGTCAACATGAGGCGCATCCTTGTCATAAACTGAAAATGGACCACCAGATAGAATAATTCCCTTGGGCTTCCAGCTTAATTCTGAGAGCTTTGTAGTGCATCTATTTGGGATATTATTAGCATTATAAAATTCAGATATTTTCTCGGTTTTTTTTTAAGTTTTCTTTTTGGGGGTTTTTTTTTTAAAAAAAAAAACACTTACGGAAGCATCTCGCTGTAGACGTTCAGTTCTCGTAGTCGTCGAGTAATAAGATGCGTGAACTGGGACCCGAAGTCCAGCACCAGGATAGTGTCGTAGGCATTATGAGGAGCCTCGGCCTGCTCAATCACGGCCGACATCTTGGTTATTTGATATTATACGCGAGAAAGGACCTGTCTCCGAGTTCTGGTATGGTCTTGATTTGATTTGCGACGCTGAGGTAAGGATTTGTTCGACTAATACTTGAAAAAAAATGGTTGCGCGGAGGGGTTCAAATTTCTTATCTTTCTTATCAGTCCTGAAATAGTTTAGTGCGGGGTAAATTATTATCTTTGCTAGTACCTTTTGTACTTCGTACTACAGATTGTTTGCATGTGTTGCCAAGTTTCACGTGATCTCAGCTTAGCAAGTAGAAATACTTCGTAGGTATCTCGGTACATGGTGGAAGATGGTTAAAATTCGTTATACGACTACCTAGATCAGGGGCAGATTTCCCTATTTTTAATGTCCGCTCTTAAGGTCTCACAACAATCTTATGAATTCAGCTTCATTACCTAAATAAACGTCCATTTCATCCTTGGCATGATTACACATGTCCAAGCTACCCCCGAGACAAGCCTTCCTAACATTATACCTAAATCACCTTGGCCGAAGGTGATTCGTGGTCCAAAATTAAGTAACAAAGTCAAAAGCCAATTCTTATCCCACGGGAGAACGCTCACTGATAACCGTTCCGAACGCCTCATACCCTTGTGGTCGTGCTACATATCTGTCTTTCCATCCTAGACGCCGCCATATATGCCCTACTTGAATGAGATCCTCGGAGTGCCATCATAGCCATCGATCGGTCCTCAAAATGATATTAGTGGCGAGCTCGGCTCGTGCTCGTTCGCAATAGCGATTGTAGATAATACCCTTCACACTCCGATGCTCATCCATCCAAATGTCCCAACCGCAGAAGCTAGAACTAGGGCGGTTAGAATACCAGCACCTGCTCTATCTCCTGTTGTTATTGGCACTGGCGTGTGGATAAAAGAGTCGCTTCCCGCTCCGGCATTCGGATCGCCTTCGCTCGTACCACCGGATTCCATCGTCACTGGCGGTTTAGCCTTCCCGACCAAGAGAGACGAGACAGCTCCTAGAACATTCATTGTCTGGCCAGCACCGACACTATTATCAAATGTGCCACTTGCCCATCCGAACCCGCAGGTCTTCCCGGCTGGCGGCCCAGTACACTGCTTTACGGCAGCCTGGGCTGAGTCCTTTAGAACCGGTAGGACTTTTTCGGCCGTGAACGGGGCGATCTGTGTCATAGTCGTCATCCATCGGTGTAAGTAACCCTTGAAGCTCAACATATCTGTTGTGCAGGTCATGTGATCTTCGCATGCGATCTCATAAGCAACGTTGTTTTTGAAGAAGTCGCGAATCGTTGCGTCCAAGAGTCCACTAAGTCGCTGTTCCCATTTCGAGTCTCCACCAGTCTAGAAACATGTCAGTATCGGTATTAAAGGGAAATTACGGATAATTCCTACGTAGTTGTACATATGCGCCGCCCCTAATAGGTATACGGCGTTATTGTATGAGAATTGGGCCTTGTTGATATCAGTACAGTTGGTCTCAACGTGAGCGCCATCGTATATCCTGTAGTCGCTGTCCATCAAGCCAACACTCTGGACCCAGTCCCAGGTTTTCTCTGCCCAATCGGCGTATGTTTCGTTATTCAGATAACGTGCCAAGCGGGCGCCAAGATTGAAGAAGCAGCCATTGGCGATACCTAAATCGGTATTAGTCTTGTACAAAGTTGAAGCATATGTTTATCTTACTGTTCTTATAGTCATATCCATTGTTCGCGAATGGGATTTGCCATCGCAAACCACCACCACAGGTATCATCATGGCGACTAGGGTCGGCTTGAGTATTAAAGACTGCTTGGGCTAGATATAGCCACTGAGGTTGATCTGAAGGAGGGTCGGGGAAATTGAGCTCAGCCGCTAGCATGGCAGACATGCCCCAGAATCCCTGATCATCATTTCCAAGCGAGGCGGTAACGTTGGGGGGCATATAGTCTTTATTTGGGCCAACCTGCCAAAGCATGGCTTGGGAAACTACGTCGTTGTAGGTGGTGTCGCCAGTATAATGCCAATAATCGATCATTGCTCCCCAAAGCGCACCGCCTTCCCACCAGTAGTAATCACCTGCCGGGGGAGGGCCGGGGAGTATGCCGGGTGTTTGACCGGATTCGTTCCCGTGGTAATAAGTCATGAGAGTTTGAGCGAGAGACTTGGATGTTGACATGATGTCGTCTGCAGTAGGAGATATTAGAATAATGGCTCACGAGATTATGCTATTTGTAACATATCGCAAAAGGTAAAAGTAATAGACATACCATCAGAATCTATCTGGTAAGTTTGCGCGGATACGATATTTCTTGTTAATAGCAGCGCGATCGGGAGCGCGTGCGAAACAAAAGGCGCCATGATGCTAATGGTCGGGAGATTTGACATTCGTGGAAAGTTAACGAGTGACAGAATTAGAAAAAGAGAAAGACGATGGTCGCAGCTAAGACCGCGTTTTCTTCAATACCAGTCTGTTGTATCGCACGAAGTTATAGATCAAGGCGACTTTGTGATTGCTACGACAAATACGATCTCCTTCTCCATACGAGGACAGATTTGGAGAGATAGTTAGGTACATTAGAGTTTCGGACAAGACTGGAGATGTAGAGGAAGAAATACGAATTGATTGTCTACAGGTAAGAGGTGTTACAAGTAACAGGTGTGACCCGGAAGGGTGATGTATTCACCGTGCAAGTACTGTAATCATATTGCGTGTCACAATGCACTTTCCATATCAACTTGCTAACTCACCAACTGTACCTAGATTGGCCCTTACTCCGCACGTGTATACTTATTATGGCTGATGACGACTTTGTGACCCACAGCTAAGAAAGACCTGCATGGTCACCCTTGCTGATTCTCCCAGCATTTGCCGCCAAGAAAATACAAGCTTTTCACTTTTCACTTACAATTCTTTCATCGATCGGTAGCCGTCTTGGCAAAACGCGACCTAATAAATCTAGAATCTAAACACCCCACACGGAGCTATTGTCTCCATATTCAAGGTAGTAAACTATGTTTCTACTATATTCAGCAGGTCCAAAAACATTTACGACCATAAATTCGATAGAAATGAAAAGGAATTATCTTGGAGACGACGATCAAAGAAGTCTATCCAACCCCTTATTATAATTTTGGTCATCCAACAGCAATATTACGCATACACTGTGACGAAAACGGTATAGATCAGCATGATGATCCCTAGGTAATTATGTACACTATGAGAGGTTAACATGTACAAATACAATCGGTAAACCGGCATATGGGTGAGACTAAGGTTTAATAGGATTAGGATAAAGAACTTCGTCCCTGATAATGACCTTTAAGCGCGACTACGTACAATAGAATTTTCACTATCGAAATCCTTCACTCTCGTCTTTTGAGAACGGTTGTTTCAGTAAGTTAGAGGCACAGCTCATTCGGTGGCTGGTATGTAGGTAGAAGCTTGGGATGGATGCAAGCGCGTAGCCCACGTGCGCACTACATAGCAAAAGTCCATTTTTAATAAGCAGCTTAAAATATTGATTAATAAAGTAGCCTCATTAAAGTTCTGCTTGTCTCTACCTAACTAAAGACTATCTAACATGATATCTCATATGTAGGAGATTAACCCACTGCAGACTCACTATATTTCCATGTACTGTGACGACATAGTTGATAAAAAAAGTGTCAGAAGATTTGAATTATTATACAAGTCGTATATATAGTTTCATTCATTAACAGAACTTTTCTATAAGCCAAAGGGGAGACCCGACTTATATACACCTTCCTGCTAATGTGTATCTCACTATCCCTAGTAACATCTTTTAGAGCATTCCTTTCGACATGCATTTACCAGCTATGAAACACGATTAGGATAGTTTGGCAAGTGGAAAATGACAAAAGGCACTTGCTTGAGCTATGGCTTAACTTTGAGAACACTTATACTTCCTAACGTGTATAACTATTTGTTGCTGTAGTATATGTTCTATATGTGGAGCCAGCGCTAGTGAGTCTGTGCAAGTTCAAATGGAATAGTCTAACTCTAGGTATTCAAGAGAACTTCAACGAACAGAGATTTCATATGTATGGTATTATATAAAGTACGAAAATAGTAATCTGCTGAGAATCCTAAATATGGTGCGGATATCCAAGTGTATGATGATAAGTTAATTGAAAGTTGAACGAGCGAGTTATGTAATTCAAGGTGCTCAGAAGTTTTGAAAAATAGCTAGCTGAATGCTCAATCCCCCAAAAGAATAATAGATTGTTTTATCAATTATGATCTTAGGAATATTCTCAATTTTCAAAGCAACTCATACATTTAATATAATCTTTTACGTTTTAATGCAGCTCAAAGGCTATCGAATGCAGTTACATATCAGAACTACGAAGGTCCGGGTCAAAGCTCTTACACATATCTAGATCTTTAACACTGTATTTAGAGCCAAGTGGTGGTCGTCCACTAGACTTATAGCAGTCCCATCTTTCTAAACCTCAAATAATACAGTGCAGCTACTTCATTCGCACATTATTCTACTTAAGATAACTATGTGAAACCTTTGGACTAGATCTTTATATAATGCGATGCGGGGAGAAGATAGTTTGGAAATAGGCAATAAGCCAATATTTATTTTTATGCAGCTCAAATATGAACTGTTTGAGCGCATGTAGGGAACAATATTACAGTAAATATATGCTAGGCCAAGGCATAAAAGGATAGCTGCAATGTCACTTGGGGGCCAGAAATGTTCATGATAGTCAGTTCAAAAACCAACCTACTGGAACTTCAACCAAACAATATAACTATGCAAAAGTGTTTAAGAGTTTCATACTTTAATATTTCAAGTTCAAATTACACATACTTATACCGTAACTGTTAAAAAGACTCAATGGAATCAATGATTTGGTTATTTTAAGACTATAAGGTTATATAGATAAGTCTTATAACTCTGTGTCTTGTAGGTAGCCATGTCTATCAAACCCGAAGGATTCTTGGCGCAGAAGGCACAATTCTACTGGTCGAAAAATCTACGGATTTCAGCTTGATGCCTGCAATATGTTATCGCACTACATGCTTGCACATTAGGATGTAGCTTCGGTAGGGTTGCATAGACCCCTAATTGTCGTATAAGTCTGGCCCCCTCAGTATACATAAAAGCATCAGCCCACGCCTCTTGAAACTACCCTCACGTTTCCTGGTATCCTCCGTTTCTAATCATCATGCCTGTTTTTTTTGCCATTAAACTAGATATAATCCCATATTCCGATCTTTTAACGTGTTTTTTTTTAAAATTTCGGTAGCTGTATGGCGCTCATCTATTATACGAATTTGATTATCTACTACGGCAGGCTACCTCTTAGTTGAATTGTAGCCCAATACGCTAAGCTTAACTGAATTGCGAAGAGTTTGGGACCCTGTATTGATATCTTCGGCCACAGGCCAGAGCAGTCTAATCATGGAGGCCGTGGGTTCTGTCGCGTCCATCGCGCAGCTAATAGAGATCACAGCCAAAGTCTTCCACTACTGCGTCACAGTAATTGGCGCTTCAAAAATGATTGACGAGCTTGGTCGTACGTCAAGTATGATGTTGCAGCTGCTTTATGAGGTGAAGCGGCAGGTCGACGCGGATGCCTCCGCAGCACGTAGCCGCCCTCTAGGACCCGATGACCTTATTCAAGAGTTACAAGAATGCATGATCGACTTATCACGTCAGTTTGAGAAAACGAGCTCCAAAGGCTTCATGCAAAAAATACGATTCGCTCATATGGAAAAGGATATACAGAAGACTGTCGAGAAGGCATCTCGTATGAATGGCTTTCTTAACTCTTGGCTTACACTGGACATCAAGCAGACGACCAAGGCAATTGTCGATGGTGTCAAAGCACTCAATAACCACGCGGAAGAGGAGATGATTAATGGTAAAATTGATCGCATCGTAGAGCACTATGCTTCTGTTAGCTTCTCTGAGAAGCATGGCAACGTCGTTCAACAGAGGCAGGACGGGACTGGCCAATGGTTTCTCGAGTCTGTAGAGTTCCAAGACTGGATGCAATCTGTCGGGGGGGCCATGTGGTGTTCAGGAGCACCGGGAGCCGGAAAGACAGTTATGGCCTCAATAGCCATCGAATATCTCCGGGACAGGGTACGTGAGAGTGGAGATGGCCGTCTTGCATTTCTCTACTGCGACTATCGTCAACGCCAAGATCAGAAAGCCTCAATGATGCTTGGTAACCTTTGGGCACAGCTTTTCCGACAGCGAGGTCCCTCCGCTACAGAGGTTGAGCAACTATTTGGAGAAATATTAGCCCGCTTCGACTTTAAACCATCTAGGACTCAGATAATAAACATGATCCGAGACGAATTAACAAATGGTACACCGGGGCAGACATACATAGTCGTTGATGCCCTTGACGAATGCGCGGACGAGAACGAACGAAATGGCTTCATTGATGGTCTGCGCAGCTTGCAACCTTTGGTTAACATATTGGTTACTTCCCGGACTACACATTTTGACAATGCAGGATTTACTGATGTACGGGCCTTTCGCTTTATACCTACCAACGAAGATATGAGTACTTATATAAACGCACGAATACGAGAATCGAAGAAAATGTCTAGTTATATACAACGGAAACCGGAACTGGAGGGGAATATTCGACGCCTGGTTATCGAGAGGGCGAACGGAATGTAGGTTATAATTTAATTTAATACTGTCCATCATCTTCCACTCGATGATCAGATACTGACTACGCCGTGTAGGTTCCTTCTATGCAGAATGCATTTAGATTCTTTAAGTAGAGCGATCACTCTTAAAGACCTGAAAAGGGAGCTGGGCCGCATCCCAGAAGGTGAAAACGTCATCAAGGATACGTACGACCAAGCAATGGAACGAATTCAAGACCAGGGCGTGAACATAGAGAAATTTGCTCTGAAAGTTATTAGATGGGTCTGTTTCGCAAGACGTCCGCTTAGACTAGCAGAGCTCCTGTGCGCCTTATCTATTACCCCGGATGATACAGAACTCGACGAAGATGCAATTGGCGAAGAGAGTGATATCACTAACTATTGTGCTGGCCTTGTAGTTGTGGAAGGCGAAAGTAAGACCGTGAGATTCGTTCATTACACTACGCAGGAGTACTTCAATTCGCTGAAGGATGTACACAACTTTGCCCATAGCCACGGGGAAATAGCTTTAACTTGTATCTCTTTCCTTGGACTCGATGATCTGACACTTTCAACGAACGGCCCCTTGGCCCAAATCTGGTCCGTAGGAGATGAAGCGCCATTCTTTGCATACGCGGCCATGCATTTTGGATATCACTACATCCAGGAGTCAAATCTTCCGGATCCGGAACAGTCCGATTACTTAGAGGATATCACCGAGTTGTTCCTGAGCTTTCTTAAACGTCCGGAACATGTTCAACGCGCAACCACATCGATACTCAAGAATATAGGGGGTAGAATCTCCGCAATTTTCAACGATCCTAATCTTGGGGATGAGATGCCTGTTAAGGGGACGACGATGGATTTGGCCGCATTCTTCAACGTGATTAGGAAAGAATCTGATAGTCGTCCGTTTGGAGTAACGATCGAATGGCTGTTATTAAATACGTCCGGAGCAGCGGATTACGATAGAACACGTCTCGGAAACTCACTCCATTGGGCATGTCTTAACAATTCAGTTGAATCGATAAAGGTACTTCTGGAAAGCCCAGATATCGAATTAGATGCGAACGCATCTGCTGGGCATGGCATCGGTTGGCCAGCAGCAATGGTTTCCGTTGGCTATGGTTCTCTTGGCACTCTTCAGGCCCTCTTGGATCACGGAATCGATATTTATAAGAAGTCTGCACAAGAATGGCAGACGACACTACTGGAGGAAGCCATATGGTCGGCCCATGCTGTGAAGGGGTCTGATAAAACGATACTGATAGAGGCAATAATGCAGAAGGATCCGCTTGGTAGACTGCTACTCTCACGAGATATTTACTTCAGCACGGCACTCATAGAGGCAGTGCGTACGGCGGACTTCAGCGTGTTTGAGTGTATCATGAAGCATCATAGCAGGATTCAAGAAATTGGCAGAAGGAATGAAGCAATCCTCACCGGCGACTTCCATAGGAGAACGGCGTTACATTTGGCTGTAGCTGATTCCTCTCTGGCGTTTAAAAGTTCTGATGGAGGTGCGAACTCAGGCATCCTTCGAATACTCGAGACACTTTTGGACAGTCCATACGCCGGTCTCCTCCTTAAATGGCGTGATACAAAAGGGGATACACCGTTCGAGGCAGCTATCCGCCGGAATAATATACAAGCTGTCGATACTATCCTCAAGAAGCACGATGAGCACGAATTCCCCGATTTCTATCCATCCCAACTGGTATCGGGACTGCACCTTGCCGCTCGAGTCTCAAGTTCCTCTGTGATAGACCTACTACTAAGCAAAATGGACGATAGCCTTCTACAAAATCCCGGTGTCGATGGCGTATTGCACTATGCTGCTGGTGGGAGTAGACCTGAAAACACAGAATTCCTGCTACAAAAGCTCAAACATTTGTACCTTTATGGAGCTCCGGGATCTAACGGTAACCGACCTGTTCACTACGCGGCAGCAAGCGGGAATATCGACGCCGTGGTAGCTCTGTCGAAACAAAAGAGATTCAACATTGATTGTCAAAATGACCAAGGGCAGACCGCATTACATCTAGCCGCACATGGAAACTTAATTGACATATGTTCAAGTCTCTTGAAGGCCAACGCGAGTATCAACGTCAAAGACCTTAACGGCTCCACGCCGCTCGACATTGCTATTAAGAAACGCTTCGCAGAAGCCGTACGTATTATGGCCCAACGTCCAATAACAGAGATTAGCGGCCTCGACGACGAAGACATCGCCTGGATACGGCAGCAACCTTGGGGAAATGCTTTGATTCACGAGCCTGCTGGTTCCTCTAACTTATCAGCAGACACCGAAAAATGGCCGAAAGAAGAGGAAGACATCATAACGGCAGCGTTGTGTCTACAAAGGAAGCTTAGACGGCAAATAGGGGCATCTAAATACACTCATGTGTCAGCCTACCTCATATCCCGTATCCTCGATCTAGCAGAGTACTGGGCCAAGTCCACTAGCATCCGAGTTAGTATCGAAAGGGGCGGCGAGGTAAGAAGATGGGGCGATCCCTTAACACCGTACATCACCAGCAAAGCCATCAACAGCCTCTCATCCCGACCCGTGCGGCGCATCGTATTCGAAATCACAAGCCACGATCAAGGCTACTGCTCCGACCCAAGTAGAGGCGAGAGCTGGACCTGGTTTACGGCCGACGTCCACCGGCGCGGGAACACCTTTTCGCAAGACTTGGTAAGCCCACAGGATCAAGGCACTACAAATAGAGAGATCCACCTCGCGCAGAACCGCGGCGCAAATATACAGTGGCACACACATACGTTATCGTGGAACCTCGGAGATCTTACGGAGGCAGATGCCGAGCGTGGCTCTTGGATCAAGGCCCTAGCACCGGGGGATCGGATTCTCGTCTTACCGCACGCTCGGTACCCGGGTTGGGAGAATTGGGTGCGCCGTGTGAGAATCGATGTGTACACTACATGTTTAAGGAGCAGTGGGAAAGGGTGGTTAGAATAGGAGAATAGGAGAATAGGAGAGCCTAGATTACTAGAGATCTTTAGTACGGCATCGTGCCATGGACTTGAGCAGTCCCGCAGATTTAAGGGGGTTAGATGCATGGTATGGAGGCGAAGAGGGGCTCTTGAATATTGTGTGTTACTACGGTCAACTTATTAAAGCCATGTACGATGAAGATTTACGAGATATTGTAAGGGAAAACATTAGAATGCTCTCGTACCTAGGCGCAACACTTGGGCGAATTGGAGATGGGACGAATTAAGATGTAGTATAGTATATTATAGTATATAAGTTAGGTAGTCTCATAAATATAACGGGTATCATTGTTTATACTTAACCTAAGGTACCTAGATATACTTGGTGTACATGTGTATAAGTGAATCCATTAGGTACCTAGGTACGGTACCTAAAATACCTCTGGACAAGGATCGGTATACAGTGCTGGTAACTGTATAATTGAAAGCGAGGGAGAAGCAAGCCATACGAAGCTTGCTCGTGTAATCAATAGCTCTTTTAGATATATTCTAACTTTTAATACTTAACACCCTTCCCTTGAGGTTGACAGTTATTCATTGGAGCGTCTTATCTTTTTAATAGCCTAACTATCGTAAACCAATACCTCTTTTTGTTAAACTTGCACTGCCTACTTTGTATACCAGGAGGTAAGTACACACGGTAGGAGGTACCTAATCTATCTAAAATAGCACGCCTTATACCTCCTTTACGGTACCTGGCATAAGCGAACGTCGTGCACTCACCGCAATCTCATCTGCAATGTCCAACCCTAAATCATTTTGTTCTTAATAACATTATTCATTATTCATTATTCATTATTAACAAACTTAACCGTTCCAACACTGAGAGGATAGGTCGTCAAATAAAACCACCAAGATGGCCTTAGCCTACAACCATTTGAAGCTGCTCAATGCCGCTATTGACACCACACCCCTCATTGATAACCATGCTCACCCGCTACTCACCGCCGAGAATGTGGGTAAGCACCCATTATTATCTATTGCTACCGAAGCAAACGGGGCCGCACTCCAAGACTCCAAGAAAAGCCTTGCTCATCTTCGGGCCGTGAAACACTTATCAAATATTCTTAGATGCGAGCAGACATGGGAAGCTGTAGAAGCTGCCGTCGAGCGGAAACGGCTCGAATCGCGCGATGCTTGGATAAAGCGCTGCCTTGACGGCATCGAGACTATTCTGATCGATGACGGACTAGATGTGCAGGGGCAAGCTGAGACTTATTCGTGGCATGACCAATTCACCAGGAGCAAATGCAAGCGCATCGTCAGGATTGAGACTGTAGCAGCGGATATCATAGCTAAGAACTATATTGCGCACGATGAGGACACTTTTGCCACGAGCTGCAATATAGTACATTTCGAACGCCTGATGACAAATGAGATTATGCAGCTTGCTGCGGATCCCAATGTTGTTGCTTTTAAGTCCATCGTCTGTTATCGAACTGGGCTGGACTTTTTTTCTTTGAAGGACATAAACCTTCAGCATGCGGGAAACGCTCTCGAGAGCATTGTCAGCACGGGAGTGACGTCTGGGACACCCGTTTCTGGCTTCTCGCTGCGGAAGAGAATAGCTGATTCGTCCCTGAACAGCCTGATCGTCCATATCGCCGCTAACGTCGCTCGATATCACGGGAAGCCAATCCAATTCCACACAGGTCTCGGTGATAACGACATTACGTTAACCAAGTCATCGCCGTCTCATCTACAAACTTTCATCGAAGAGTATCCTACACTCCAGATCGTACTTCTCCACGCAGGCTATCCTTGGACAAGAGAGACGGCGTACCTGGCAGCTATGTATCCGAACGTCTATGCTGATATCGGCGAGGTGTTCCCCTGTATCAGCCGTCAGGGCCAGGAAAGCGTCCTGAGAGAAATGCTAGAGGTATGCCCGTGGTCTAAGATCCTCTGCAGTACAGACGGACATGGGTTTCCGGAGATGTACTTGACCGCGACGACTCAGCTCCGCTCGGTTCTCAAGACGGTAAGTACCTTTGTAGACTATCCCTACTACCTTACTGACGCGATTCAGGTATTAGGAGACTTGGTACAGACTCAGCAGCTTGATGAAAAACAAGCCGTACAGCTCGTTCAAGATATTTTGTTTTACAATTCCAAAAAGCTCTACAGACTTGAGACGGAATCTACTCTCCTCAGTCTTGCGCAGTTATCAACCGTCTCAACTACCAACTGGAGTAACCACACAATTATCCAGAAGCTTCAGAGCATGAATGCCAAGTATTTACGCATCTACTGGCACGACTACACTTCCAGCAACAAATGCCGACTTATCCCAATCAAGCAGGTGTTCAAGACGCTGTCAAGTGGTAAACCCCTGACTTTATCTCTCGCCAAAGCCAGTTTTGGGATGACGCAGATTGATGTGTTGATTCCCCAAGTATCAGCGACTGGCATGTACACAGCCCATCCAGATTGGTCGAGTCTGAAATCTGGCCCCGTCGATGGTCATGTTAGCTGTTACGCATACTTCACGGAACTGGACGGCTCGGAGGCGATATTGTGCCCGAGAACAATCCTGCGTAATGCGGTTCAGAAAGCAGCGTATCAAGGATTAAGCTTCCTCCTCGGTTTCGAGGTCGAGTTCCTCGTCATGGAACGTAATCCAAAAAGATTTGGCTTGAACAAATTTAGAACAGTACATAATGACGGTCACAGCTGGTCGATGGCGAGAGCATTCGCTGATTGGGGCCGTGAGGGAAGCTTTGCCACAGCCATTGACGAGATCCTGGATAGTCTAGACGCGGCAGGTATCGAGGTTGACCAGTTCCATCCCGAGAACGCGCCAGGTCAATTCGAACTGGTACTTTCGCCACTGCCGCCACTGGAAGCCTGCGACAGCGTACTCCATGCGCGACAGATCCTCGAATCCGTCTCGGCGCGCCACGGGTTCTGGGTAACACTTCACCCTAAGCCGTTCCCTACAAAATGCGGATCAGCCTCGCACATGCACATGTCCATCTCGTCACCCGGAGGCGACCAGCCGGAGGTTTACGAGTCATTCTATGCCGGCATCCTAGAACATTTCCGTGCCATCATCGCATTCACGAACAGCAACATAACGAGTTACGAGCGTATGGTGGATAGTGCCTGGGCTGGTGGACGATGGATTACTTGGGGCACGCAAAATAAGGAGTTGCCACTACGTAAGATCGAGGGCAGCCACTGGGAACTTAAAGTCCTCGACGGCTTAGCAAACCCGTACTTCGCTGTCGCGGCGCTTCTGACCGCCGGTACGGATGGTGTCCGGAGAAAGGCACCCCTAACCTGGAAAGACTGCGCAGGGGATCCCGCCCGCTTTACTGCGGAAGAGAGGGCTGAGTTGTGTATCGAAAAGATGTTTCCGGCAGACTTACGGGAAGCTCTACAGGCGCTCCATTCGGACGATAGTCTCGGCCTTGACCCCGAGTTTGTGCAGCGATATGTCGATATTAAGGAGGCTGAGCTGGCAATGCTGGAGCCTATGACGCCTGAAGAGCGGCGCGACTGGATAATGGAGAGATATTGAGAGTAAAAAAAAGAACATAAATGATAGAATAGAATCTAACGGAGTGGGTTATTAGATTATCGGTCTATGTAAGGTATAGATCATATAACTGATCCCATGGTTTTGGATATCTCGACTGTAGAAGGTCACGTTGACTAGATGGGACACAAAAGCGTGTCTTAGAAATGATAATATTACAAAAGTAAAAGGTGATAATTCCTCATTTCGCGACTTCACATGCAACAATGCAACAACTATCACATAGAAGACTTAAACCCCCCTTTGCGGATCCGTACATAAGACTGAAAGGTAACCATCAATTCCGAACAATCTAGTCAAACGTAATCTTCTTGCCCTGAGGCTTAACAACAGCACCAGTAAGATACGTCGCCACGCCCGCATCTCCATACTTAGGCTTCGCAGGCTTCTCGCTCTTCTCTCCAAACGCCGCTCCATCCTTCTTCCCATCCGCATTCGCATCTCCATCTGTCCTCCGCGCCGGTCTAAACTCCCTCTTCTCACCCTGCGGTCTCTCTCTCCCGCCTTCCCTCTTCCCCGCCCCTTGAGGATCTCTATCCTTACCAAACCTCTTCTTATACCTCGCCTGGTCATCCTCCGCCAGCTCAATCTTCAGCTCGCGCCCCCGGAGACGATTGACCCACCACTTGCGCATCTTGAACTTCTTCTCCTCCTCCTGCGCGTCTCCGTCTCCGTCTCCGTCGGCCTTTTCGTCCGCATCACGGAAATCTTCCTCTGTTTCGATTTCTTCTTTGATCTTGATGAATCCTTTTACTGCCCATCCTGCTGCTTCTGGATCCTTGAACTTGACCCATCCGAACCCTTTGCATTTCCCGCTGTCTTCGAATGTGGCTACTTTGACCCATTCGATGTCGCCGCACTTGTCGAAGTGGGCGCGTAGGTCGTCTTCGGTGGTCTGGAAGGAGAGGTTGCCGACGTAGATTTTGCGGCTGGTGGGGGTTTTCTCTGCTGTTGTCTGGTTGCCGTTTGTTGTTGTAGCGCCGGTGGCAGCGGCAGCTCCATTCTCGGCTTCCTTCTTTGGTCGTCCCTCGTACGAATTGGAATTTTTGATCAATACTTTTCGACCGCTTAATTCGGTTTCTGTAAGCGCCATGGCGGCAACAGATGCGGTTTCCACGTTGAAGTCCACGTATGCGAAACCCTTGTTTTGAGTCTTTGGCGTATCCTCGCTGTTACCGTATCTCCTATCCCCGTTGTATTTACTCGTAGGCATGTTGACTCTCGTGATGTTCTCCTCTTTTATCATACCGCCCGAGCTTTCCACCAGCCATTTGAACAATTCCACCCTCGTCAAGGTAAAGGGCAAGTTTCCTATCCATATGCCGTGTTCAGAGCGTTGGGATTTCTTATCTCCCTTCCCGCCTTTAGATGCGCCCTTTGGTATAGGTAACCCATCCTCTGATTCAGCTTCGTCGTCGCTCTTGGGCTTCTCGGGGAGCGGTTTGCCTTTCTTGAGAAGTCGCTTCGCTTTTTTTGACGGCGGCTCTGGTAGCGACAAGTCTACCTCAATCTCGTCGATTTGCGACTTGCGCTTCCTGGAATCATTGGTCTCTGGCGCGGCATGTTGCTCGGCCTCGGTCATAACTGCGGTTGCCATTGTAGTTCTGAGGCCTCCGAATTGAGTTTATTTTCTGTATTATTGTTGGAAAGGCACACCGGTACTCGCCTTCATTCGACGTTGAAAAGTTGTAGAATGTAGCTTTTACGAAATTTTTATGGAGCTGATAAGATAAGAGTTATGCTAAGCTAGTTGCATATATTATTTAGTCGGATAGGGGTACTATATGCAAACAACCGGTCTACCCCTGAACCACGCTTCATTCTACCAAGAGGCAGCACTTTGCAAGTTACTTTCATCAAATATGTCTAAGTTTTAGACTTATATCCAACTCATATACTATATATCGTCTAATATACTACTCATTTATGAACCCACTTCCCGTCCTCCTTACTTTGTATAATCTCATGCACATCAACCCTCTCCTTTACAATCTGCGCCCCATTCACAAGGTCATTCTCATCAGCACGTTTCCCAGCCTCCTCCTCGTCCTTCGCAATCCCGGCCTCGACATGCCTCTTGACCAGCCGCCTCCTCGCCGTTTCAAAGTCTACATCCACAAACCACCTCTCATCCATAAGCTGCGCAGCCTCGCGCCACTAGAACAGTACGAGTTAGCAACCATCTTTCCAAGATAGGACTTCTGGAAATATCCCGGAACTCTTTACTCCCGAGACAAACCAGTAAGAGTAGAGTAACAAAGAAATTCCTGAGGTAAGGCACATACGGGCTCCTTATCCAAACACACATAATTCCCTTCAAAAACCACAATCCTATGCGCCGGCAATATCGCGATATCATCCGGTTTCGGGTCTTTAACCGCATGATCAAAACTCGGCGCATACACCGGCTGTAGGGGCGGCGGCGGCACAGTACGCAGCGCCTTGACTAAAGCCAAGAACGCGGGGCCGTCAAACGTAAACTCGGCGCCGCGCCGCGCGTGGGCAAGTGCCGGGTCCGGCATGGCGGAGAGTTGCGCACGTGTTAGATGGTACCCGTCCATGGGCACGAAAACGGCGGGCGGCACAGCCTCGGGGACTTCTGGGTGCAAGTTTGCGTGCCGGGCATTGAGGGCTGCAGTGACGATTTGGGAGAGGGTTGTTTTGCCTGGGGTTGGTTAGTGTGTATTCTCTAGTGTATATAAGAGGGGAGACTTACCTGAGCCTGGGATACCGGCTATAGCGATTACTGAGAAATAAATATGTTAGAGACGTGAGAATTGTATTGAGAATCTCCTATGCGACTTACAAAGTCGACGGTCCGCGGGGAGCTGCTGGAATTTCTCCCACGCCTTGTCCACGAGACGAGCTACCTGGTCCTCCATCTCTCTCTATAGCTAGGCTGTAACTAAATATAATAACTAGCAAAAGAAAAGAAAAAGGAACGCTTGAATTAAAGCAAATAAAACAGTTTGAGTAATTATCACAGATCTTTATGACACGCAGTGACACGCAGAGATACGCTGTGTCAACGAGGTACCAGATCTCGCATTTGGAGATGTCAAATTCCTAGTCTAAGTCAATCTTATAAACCCCATTGGCCCATCCCCTCACCCGGGGCGCGGAAGCTTTATGCCCCACTAACGGAAGAAGTACGGAATAGACGCGCGCTGATGTCAAAGCCGAAGCAAACTTCGTCCAATATCTCGTTACACTAAAGTAATTCCTACCCGTCAAAACCGGGTTCCTTTTTCTTATATTCCTTTCAATTCCTATTAAACACTAATAAGTAACCTAATCCTACCGCAATGGATCCGGATCTCGACCCCGGCCTCTTCGGTATCCAGCTCTCCGACTCCGAGGACGGAAGCAATGACTCAGAACCCGCTGAGGGGACTCGGCCGAAGAAAGGAGAAGCGAGCACGCCTGTGGATCGGACGGCCCAGTCGGAGGAGGAGTTTCAGGCAGTGCGGAGGGGATACCGGGTCAAAGTTGAAAACGGAGAAGTACGTATCTTGATATTTCTACTTACACTTGCACGTGCACATTATCTATTATATATAAAAGTGCAAATACCATAGTAAAATAAAGAAAACCAGTTGAAGATAGAGATAATGAAAAGCACAAGTCCAATAAGTTAACGCATCCTCAGATATGGAAAACCATCCAGCTCCCCTTAGGACCAGGCCGGGTCCCCAAGCCCGAGGCTCAAGCCTTATTACACGCAGTCGAGGAGCTATACTTCTTTCGGCGGTATGCCGAGGGCGCAAATTTTGCGCGAGCTATTCTAGGCGGGAATGGAAGTGGAGGTATTTACGAAGAGGGACCATCTGGGCTTGACGAGGACACTAAGAAGCTGTTACGATATTACGAAAAGAAATGTAATGAGAAAGCGTAACCATAGATGAAGAGAAGACCAAAAAGGCTGATACCCCGCTACATAAAAATTTATTCCGAAATACTACTGCTCCAGTCCACAAGTCGATAGGACAGCTAAAAGACAATCAAAATCAATGGGAGAAGAGTATTATTATCCTTATCCCTTGCTCTAAGCAGAGTATTCTCTATATCTAAGTCTAACATCTGTGCTCCCGTTCCTTCGGCCGTCGCGGCGAGGCAAATTGCCTACAGCCTATACCAGAACGTAGACGATCTAAATAGCCCCTTTTCTATGCAACACAGTTTGGTTGTTGGGTATGCCGGAACGCCGTGCTTTTTCGAAACCAAAAATTCAAGTCAAGTTCACCACCCCTATTTTTTTTCTCTCTTCAATACTCCGGAAATGCTCTTGTTATGGATATGGTATGTCGTTGTCTATCCCACTCGTCGTATGGTTCATGACGGACGTCGTGGTCGTGATTTAATGGAATGGAATTGTAGGTTGCCAAATTCCTAGACCTACGCCATCATCTTGCCTTCAACTTGCAACCTCTCCTTTTCCCGCTCCTCGGCGAAGACGCGTCGGCTCATGGCAAGGACACACTCGAAGCCCTCTTTACCCTTGGTCGCATTTTCTCGGAATCGGGTAACCAGGCTGTCTTCGATACTGGTCTTGATCCTCTGCCAACCACCGCACAGGGCCGTTATCCGGGCGTCCTGCTCGAATTGTGTCCTATGGGCATCTAGGGGGCGATAAACCACCGTCTCTTGAACGTTGACCATATTTGCCCAGGTGATGTTCTGCGATACCATAGTGACGGTCTTTGCGGCGGGGTCAACATAAGACGTCTCGAAGACCTGACTCGTCTCCATGCAGCCGATGATAGATTTCAGCCATTCCGGTGCTGATTGCTTGCAGGTGATGAGACGCTCCGTTCGTAATATGCCGGTGGCTGGGTCGACTTCTCGAGCGAGAGTATCAACGGCTATGACGTGAGTTGACTTGTCGTTCCAAGGGCAGTATTTCCGCCAGTTGGCGGTAGATACTTCTTCCCAGGAGTAGTTGAAGGTGTGGGTGTTGGAAAAGACCTTCATCTCTGACGGACGATCCCAAAACGAGCCGGATTGATGGTTAGGGGATAAAAGAGCCCTTCCTCAAGGAATAGACTCGACGTTACGGATACAGTTTTTTTTTTTAAAGTCCGTCCGGACGTTCAACCGTTGAGGTTTAGCAGAAGAAAGTATGCGATGTCGGTCGGAGAGTGCGGACCGAGATAACAAATTCCGTAGGATCGCAGCGGTTTCAAAATAGCACCGAAAAAAATGGTCTCGCGTGCTAATCAGGTACTGTGACGAAACAGATACAGACAATTTAAAAAATCGCTCGTGACACGATAAATGATGGTAATGTGGCAGAATGGCCAAACTCTTAGAAATTATTTTGAATGAATGCTAAGGGTGTCGAGGGATTTTGTTTAAGTTGTTTTAAATTGTTTAAATTGTTTAGTAAGATGCAAGATGCGAATAAAATTATAAAATGACAGGAAATGCAGAGGCTTTTGAGAAAATTGAGAAAATTTCAATGCAAAGGTCCCGACTGCCCGATCAGCATTAGCGATTAGCGACAAGGAATCTTATCGCGGATTCCTTTTTTGCCTTCCCGGCAATGTTCGGTATGTCCCCTTATGTTCCCTTACACAATTACACAATTCCCCTCGCTAAAACATCCTAATTAGGATTAGCCTTGCCAGGTCAGAGAATAGTTCGGAGACGGCGTCAAAGCTTTTAACAAATTTCAAATTTTTAATTGGCTGATAAGTCCCTGAATGGATCCTAAGTGGATTTCAAGCTTAGGCCAAGTGCCCAAAAACCTGGAGCAGGTGCGGAGTCAGCGAAGCATCCAGACTTTGTTATGCTTCGTCAATTTTTGCATATGACAAAGACGATCTTGACGACTTAATTTAGCCGATCTCAGCCTCTTATGTACATCAATCAGTCTCCCATGACGATTTCTATGACTTCAACCCTAACCCAGACCCCTAATGATCATCTACTTAATCGATCCGCCACTTTTCCTAGTCCAAGTGAAGCGAAATCTCAATTACCCGATACAAACTCAGAATGAGGCAAGCTTCAAGTTGACATCTGATCAAAAATTCATTCATATTGGAATACTGGGATAATGGCACTAGCCTGTCAAGGAACAAGTCGCCTTTGTAAATACAGGTCACTAACCCGTTGTTGTCATCCACCTCATAATTCCATCTAGTAATCGTCTCCACGACTAATGACCTCCTTTACGGTAGGTCGGAGCAAGATAGTCTGTAATCTCAAATCAGTACGGCCAACATCTACTTCGTAATCATAATGGAAAAACTCACGTGCTCGAATTGGGCCGTGTACGACCCTTTCTTGTCCAGTAGGGGAGGGTAATCCTCTACAATACCAGATTGGACGAGATTGTTCAGCTAATACGAAGTTAGCTTTATTCAAACATGCGTAGATCATTAGAATGCTTACCCCCAGCAGGTATTTCTCCTGGCCGAGTCTGTCTAGATATCTTCGTGCAAACGGAATAGTACCAAAGTTCTTCTTGATAACATTTAGAAGAGATTTAGCCGAAGACAAACGCAGATCAACCTTGGGGGCATCGCTACGCAGAGCATAGTGGGAGACCTCTCCCTCATCGTGGACATAACCGTTTCCGGTGCTGCCGAACGTCTCGATAGCGAAGACGTCGCCTTCTTCCATCTTCGTGTTGTCTTGCGTTTTAACAATGGGTACACTCTTAGTCCCGTGGATGCTATACGGCAAGATAGTATGGCCGGTGAGGTTACGAATCGATTTGATCGGGTATGTAGTGCCGTTGATCTCGCATTCGTAGCTCTCCATGGCCTCTTGGATGTATCCACCAAGTTCGCCAAGACGGACGCCAATGCCCGCCTCCTTAATACCTGTGTTGGTCGCATCCTTTACGGCTGCCAGCAGGTTGTCGTACATCGGGTCAAATGACATGGTAAAGGCGCTGTCAACGATCCTCCCGTTGACATGGACGCCAATGTCTACTTTCATGACATTGCTCTGCTGCAGAACAGTCTTGTTCCCAGCATTGGGGGTGTAGTGAGCAGTGATGTGATCCAAGTTCAAGCCCGTCGGGAAGCCAACTCCGGCAACCTTAGCGTCACCTTCTGATAGCCCATCGTGGCCAACTAAGCGCCTGATGCTGTTCTCAATCCCTTCAGCGATCTCGGTCAAGGTTTGGCCAGGCTTGATGTTCTTCTGAGCCCACTGGCGAACTTGACGGTGGGTTTCGGCAGCATGGCGATAGTCAACCAGGAAGTCGGTGTTCAGGTTGTCCAAGTGCCGTTTCTCTTCGTTAGTAGTGCGATAGCGGTTCTCATCCTTATATTCGACCTCTTCACCCTTAGGATAGGTGTTGTTCGGGAACAATTGGGACATCAAGACGCTCGGGGGGTCTGTCTGGGCGGTAGGAGCCTTCTTCTTCTTCTTTGGCTTCTTCTTTTTATTCTTCTTTTTCTTAGCGGCCCCGGGCGCAGGTTCGGCGGTTTGATCATCGGCATCATCTTCGGAATCTTCACCGGAATGCTCTGCAGCATCGCCGTCCTTGGTCCCGTTGGCCCCCGCGGCAGCCTTCCCGTTGGTGGCTCCCTCGCTCACTGCTGAATATTAGAGGATTATTCGAGCTATGATTATATTAACTAGTTTAATACTAACCACTGAGCTTTTGGAGCTCATCCGATGGTGCTTTAGCAGCCATTTTGCGACGAGTCAAGGCAAGGCTTTTTCGGTTGTTTGGGTTAAGAAACCTAAATAAGACTTGAAGCTCGGAACTTTTGAACCCCACCAACTTTTTCTCGGTCTTAAGCATTGTGCATCGGAGGGCGCGGGGCAATCCGAAAACCCCGCTACTTGCTTGGCCCGCTCCCAATTCTAATATGATTTTAACCAGTACATGTACGAAGTAGTATGTCCAAAAAGCTGGACCACGAGCACTTATTGTGAGGAGTTAACTTGGTACCTGGTCCCTGGTCTCAATATTCTAACAGTTGGCGTTGCTGATAATTGATAGAATACCTCTTGGAGTTCAGGTGATTTATTCCAGTCCGTATCAGTTACCTATTACCTAAATTAACACTTGAGGTTGTTTCCCCTACATAGGAGGAACTATCTATGCCTCCAGTAACCTAGATACCTTTTTATACGGACTATGGTTTCGACCAAGGTGTCACGAAGTGGATTAAGAAGCTAGGAAATAACTTCGCTTTTCCGCAAGGAACTCTAACCTAACTTCGGGAGCGGTATCGTTAACGCAGCACCTGTTCCTGCAAGATCCCGCGCACTTTTGTGACTTTTGGATATTGTACCATTTTTTCAATTGAAACGTGGCGGAACGCGACAAAAAAATTATAATAATTAATTAAATTAATTAATTAATAATAAATAAATAAAATAATATTAAAAATAAAAATAAATAAAAAATAAAATTTTATATTAAAAATGATATATTATATAATATATTACGTAATATTTTATATATAAATTTAATTTTTAATTTTTATATATATATTTAATTTTAATTATATTTAATAAATTTTTATAAATATTTTTATAAATATTATTTTTTTAAATTATATTTTTAATTTATAATATATAATTTAATAATATTAATAAAAAAAAAATTTAAAAAAGTTTATATAAATTAAATATAATTAAAAAATATATTTAAATTTTTATATAAATTTATTTAATTATATATATATTATAATAATTTTAATTAATTTTTAATTAATATATATAATTTTATAAAAATAATATTAATATTTTATATTTTAATTTTAAAGTTAATTTTTTATAATAAAATATCCGTATAAATTAAAAAAAAAAAATAACGTAATAAAAAAAAACAATATAAAATAAAGTTATTATAATAATTATTATTATATTAATTAATTAATATTATAAAAATTATAAATTATATATATAAATATTATTTAAAAAAATTACTTTTTATGTAAAAAATAATTATATATTATTACGTAATTATTTTTATATAATAATATTTTATTATTAATAATTTTTTTTTTATATAACGTAATTATATATAATTTAATTAATATAATATTAATAAATTTTTTTTTTTTACTTTTAATTTATTTTTTTTATATTATAATATAATTATTAATAAATATATAATTAAATTTTTTATTAAATTTTTTTATTTAATTTAATTTTATATTAAATTTTTTATTTAATTAAATTTTATTAAATTTTTTTATTTAATATAAATAATATTAAATCGGTAATAAAAAATGTAATATATTAATAATAATTATATTATTTAATTATAATTAAAAATTACGTAATAATTATATTATAATTATATATATTTTTTATATAAATTTATTTTGTAATATATATATTTTTTATGTTAATTTTATGTAATTTTTAATCTTTTAAAATATACATTTTTTTATTAACCAATTTTATTATTTAATTTAATAATCTTGTATAATATAATTATTTAATTGGTTATTTAAATTAATTATTTATTTAATTTTATATTATTTAAAAAAATTTTATTTTTAATTATTTTATTTCGAAATAATTATATATAACCGTATAATTTTTAATTAATATATATAATCGAATAAAAGTAATAAATTTTTATATTAAATAAAAATATATAAGTTTTATATTATTATTTTAATAAACAAAGGTTGTGTATTAAATGATTTAATTAAATGATTTATTTAATTAAATGACTTTATTTAATTATGTGATTTTATTTAATTAAATGATTAAAATCTTTAGTATAAATACCTTTTATGGTTATATATACTTATTTTACATAACTTTAACCATATTAAATATAAGTTATTTTTTTTATTTATTATAATATTATTTAAATTATGGTATTAAATTTAATATAAAGGTTTAATTTAAGTTTAAAGTTAATAATTTTGTTTATTAATCGATTTAATTAAATATAAAATATAATATAAAAATAAAAATAAAAATAAAAATTAAATTTAATTAATAAAAAAGTGTATATTTAATTAAAAAATGTTATATAAAAATTATAATATATATATAAAAAAAATAAATATAAAGTATAATAAAATATTAAAAAAATTATATAATAAAGTATATATTTATAATTTACCTTATTTTAATTATAATTATTATTAATATATTACGTTTTTTATTATTAATTTAATATTATTTTTAATATAATATTTTATTAACTTAATTAAAATTAATTAAAATTAATTAAAAAACGGTTAAAATAAAATTATTTTTATATTATAAATTATTTAATTAAAAATAAAATTAATTTTAATTAAATTATTTTATTAAAAATAAATTTATTTTATTAAATTATAAAAATTATTAATTAAAATTAATTAAAAACAATATTAAATCAGCAATAAAAAACGTAATATATTAATAATAATTATATTATTTAATTATAATTAAAAGTTATATAATAATTATATTATAATTATATATATTTTTTATATAAATTTATTTTATAATACATATATCTTTTATATTAATTTTATATAATTTTTAATTTTTTAAAATATATTTTTTTT